TTGTGACCCAGGTGTAGGTTTAATATATATAGAGAGACGAAACCTCTCATCATTCCATGTATTCACGGTGCGTGTGTCGGGTCCATCGTTGTAGTGAGAGGAGCTTCAACAGTGACTGTGACTTGTGACCCAGGTGTATGTTTAAGGGACCCCTATCTAACGTTAAACGATCACCTCCACCGTCCAAGCTCCTCTTTCTACCAAATTTGAAACGAACATACATATCTCAACGTACTTTTGATAAAATTATATTCATTTTAATAGTCACGTAAAAAAGTTAATATTCATAATATTCTGATATTAGATAATAATTTTCTTTATCTACATATATTATAATTTCAATAATTGCTTGGAGACTTACGACTTAGGAGTGAAGTATGTAGTTATAAAGTACTCATTGTTTAAACGAAGTACAAGGTCGTAATACATAGAGAAACTTATAAACTATTATAGATAAGTACTGCTTTTAATTGTATCCTGTATCCCTTCTACCTGGCAATTTCCCAGCTATAGCCAGGGTCTGCCTTACATGTGGTGATTAGTTTTGGCTAATTGTTTTTACGACCGGCCGCCTGCCTGACAACAAGCCTCTTTGGGAATGCATTAATCAGTGATGTCTAATTGCTATTAGATCCTCTATATAAAAGATAAATATATCTTTTTCCTTTAAACCAATCTGGTTTATCTTAAAACCATCTCAAGTCAAGGTTAAGCTCCACTAATTTATGGACTAAATATGGACTTTGAAGTAGTGTCAAATTTTTATATATTGTAAATCAATTATGGTTAGAAAAATGCCAAATTTATAGCCTTACCCTCCTCATTGTCCCTATTAGTATACATTTTTAATCATTTCCGTATTGCATAAATTTAATTTTAATTAAAAGTATATATAATAATAGATTTATCAATACTATTTATAGCTTGACAAAAAACCGGTAATTTTAATTAAACCTGTTTTTAAACAATATTAAATATAACATATACAATGACAATGAAGTCAGTGGTGGCCTAGTGGTTAAAAGGCCCGCCTCTCATGCACGAGGGCGCGGGTTCGATCCTGGCAAGTACCAATGTGATTTTTCCAAGTCATATGTACTTTCTAAGAGTATTTAGACATCACTGATTAATGCATCCCCAAAGAGGCTTGTTGTCAGGCAGGCGGCCGGTCGTAAAAACAATTAGCCAAAACTATTCACAACATGTAAGGCAGAACCTGGCTAAATCTGGGAAATTTTCAGAAAGAAAAAGAACATACAATGAAAATTGAATAGTATAACTCCAAAAATTTTCACATCTAATAAATTGGGACGAAATCTTTCAATTTTATCAATCGTGCCAGGAGATATTGATACAAAATATTTTGAACAGAGTCGCGGATAAAAGCTAGTTTCTTAGAAATACGATAAAATTATATGGTGTAATAAAATGACAAAATACACTTCATAACATATATCTGTAAGTGGATGTTAGTACTTGGTGAAAACTATGAAATTATCAGTCGTTCTGTCGTCTTAATGCCGGTGAGTTATATGCCATATACAGATATATATATATATATATATATATATATATATATATATATAATTTTTATTCTTATATATAATATAGTATATTGATTTTAAATTGTCTAATCATTTTGTATAGTATATCTTAAATTATGTCTAAAATATTTTTTTTAAATATTTTTTATTATTATTATGAATTCATAAAATAATAATAATATGTTAATACAACTTTTTAATATACTTTCATTCGACGAAACTTATAGTTTAAACGAGATAATTATTTGTCAAATATTTGTGCTTACTCTTAGTTATTTTATTTACGTATTTTATATAGTACTAGCTTTCGGCCCGCAGCTTCGCCCGCGTGGAATTCGATTAATCGTGTATCCAAGAGAACCTTTCAAAAGTCTGGGATAAAAACTATCCTATGTTCTTTCTCAAGGTTAACTCTATGTCTGTACCAAATTTCATTAAAATCAGTTCAGTGGTTTAGGCGTGAAAGCGTAACAGACAGACGGACAGAGTTACTTTGACTTTTATAATATTGTGTATTGTGTGGCCATGCCAACTTATACTAAGCTTATAGTTTAAGAGTTTTTGTTGTGCAAACAGACAGTCGTAAATGTTATATGTTATACATTTATCGTTACTCTAATGCTCGCTTTGTTTACATTAACATACACGTGTACATATATATATATATATACACAGTATATAAGTATGTCTTTTCTAACTGATTTGTCAATTTGTTTCCTATTTCCGAACATAGGACAAAATATAAATTGTCAATACTAAGGTAAAAAATAAAATACTTCAATCGTCTTCAAATATACATATATATGTATATTTGCCTTTTCGTTGAAATTTCACAAATAATATCTTTATCAAATAATCAGATCTTAGAAGTTCGCGAGTACTCATTTAAATGAAATTAATATTTTCACGGGCAGACGAGATCACGGTTGCTGTAAAGTAGCCGAAACGTCGGGAGTATGTAGTTTGAAATCAAAAATAAATCGCGTAGTAAATCCGAAAATACCTATTAGTTTCGTTTATATATCTTTATCTCAATACACACACCTATATATATAATATACTAGCTTTTGCCGCGGCTTCGTCCGCGTGGAATAGTTACTTCCGACAGATTTTTGGTTCTTCCCACATAGTTCCCGTTCTTGCGGGGTTTTCGGAATGGTCGAGTTCCCGTAGAATTTTCAGGATGAAACCTATGTTTTTTTTTTATTAATAATGAAGTACTCTTAACCAACAACATATTTATTTGTTTATATGAATAAAGATTAATATTATTATTTTGATACAACTTAAACAAATTATTTCGACAAAATTAGGTACCATAAAAACGGTTTTTGTGAGTTAATCTTAAAAGATAGAAATATACTGTTGCGGACTGTTTTTTAGATCATTAAAAGAGCTATTATTCTTTGATACATATTTTTTGTGTATCTTGAACCGTTTTCACGGCGCACGCAACGGAAGGCTTCAAAGATGAAATAATTACTCCCGTTTTTTACACATTTACCACTATATCTTTGCTCCTATTGGTCGTAGCGTAATGTTATATAGCTCAGAGCCTTCCTCGATAACTCGACTATCCAACACAAAAAGAATTATTCAATTTGAACCAGTAGTTTTGGAGATTAGCGCTTTCAAACAAACAAACAAACAAACTCTTCAGCTTTATAATATTAGTATAGATTGTCTACTGTTTGAAAAATGAAAAATAACTTAGTTCATTTGAAAAATATTGTAATATCTACTGTGAATAGATGACTGTCATCTGTTTTAGAAATAAATTATTCATAGTATAGTATTGCGCAAGGTTTTTCAAACACAGCTACAATGCCAATCAATTGACTGATAAGCTAAATTACCACTAGTTTGCATAGCCAACTAAATACGGTCAGTTTTCAAGTTTATCATCATCCTATCAGAGCCCACTGCTGAGCCTCTTCTCACATGGAGAAGGTTTGAGCATTAATTACCATTGCTCAAGACGGGTTGGTGATTTCAAACTTATAATTGTGAATTATAAGTCCTGGTTTCCTCAGGAAATTCAATTCTTGAAAGTTTATATACATAAAAAGTTCGAAAAGAAAACATGGTTTAATTTAAAAAAAACCATCGCTGGCCAATGGCCGATTTATTAATATTCAAGACTAATTAGGGCAGAGCTTCTCTTGACAATAATTGAGAAGAAAAAGTGTCAGATTGTCAACAATAACGCTCATTATATATGTGTATGGCTTGAGGGTTGCAAGTTTATTAATTAATTATCATTAACTATATATATTAATTATTATTAATTGGCATTAATTTATATTCATTAACCTATTTATTAAGTCGTGGTGGCCTAGTGGTTAAATGTTTGCCACTCATGCATGAGGGCGCGAGTTCGATCCTAGCAAGTACCAATGTGATTTATCGGGTCATAATATGTACTTTATAAGAGTATTTAGACACCACTGACTGATGAAGGAAAACATCGTGATAAAACCTGGACTTATAATTTTATAATTATAAGTTTGAAATCACCAACCCGTGTTGAGCAGGCGTGGTGATTAATGCTCTAACCTTCTCTATGTGAGAAGAGGCAGCTCAGCAGTGGGCTCTGATAGGATGATGATGAATCTATTTATGGCATTTTTATTCAACTAATTATGAATTCACATTTCTACTAAAGCACAACAAAAATATATTTAAATTTTACAAATACATATGTAGGTGTTACTATGCCTATCTTACCTTTGAATGGCTGAATCATTTGTAATGTATTTTGGCTAAAAAATACGTAAAGTATAAGATATCAACAATAAATTTCATCTCAATAGTCCTATTATTATTTTTCAATAATTTCCTTAGCATGAGTTTTTATCGTCAAACTCAATACGATCAGTATTGACGTGTAACTAAGTATATTGTAGTTTAAGTTAAGATGTAATTGGTAAGGTCTATATAATTTTTTTTTACATATTTTTTTGTGTATAATTATTGAATAATATAAAGTTATAACAAAATTCCTACCATTTTCCCCTTTTTCTACTAAAATTCTAGACGCGGAAATATCTTTGAAATAAAACATACATCAAAATAAAGCTTAGGTAAACTATTTCAGAGTTCCGTATATTTTTTTCGGGTTCTGTACATAATATTCATATTATATATGAAGACATATATCTCTTTAATTCCTATTTCACTGTCCAAACGGACAAAGTCGCGGTCATAAATTAGTTATTCTATATAATGATTTATTTCTTCTTTTGTTCCAGATAAGAATTATGACAATAACTTTTTATGCACATTGAAGACAACGTGTAAGTTCTTTTTTATGTAACATAGAAAATACTTCTTAATTAAACTATGGTATTTAGCCTGGAATTGCTTATATTTTGTAAAGAAAATAATTATCAGAATTCATTTACCTTTAAAATTCTTCTTTGAATAAACTATTCTTCTTGTATTTTTCCAGAAAAAATGGATCCTGGCTATTTCGATGCGGAGAGGAAACAAAATCCTCGGGAGAAAGCAAACATATTTTCAAAAATCACGTTCTGGTAAGATAATTGTAATCTTGAAACAAAATATTAATGCAATTAATCAATTATCTTTTGAATTAATATAAATATTAATTCAATTAATTAATTATGATACTTTTTTTAAAATACAATTTTGTTTCCATTATACTATCCTTATAAAAAGTTTCTACTTTCAAACCGACAGTAAAGCGTTCATACATAATTGGTTACGACAATAGTTAAGATTTACTATTTAAATAGACGTTAACTTTCTGTATTTAGTTTGAAACACGTAGTAACTATATACATATATATATGGACTGACAGACGAGTTTTTATCAGTAAGGAACTTTTAACTAGAAGGTTAGAGCATTAATCACCACGCTTGCTCAAGACGGGTTGGCGATTTCAAACTTATAATTTGATTATAAGTCCATGTTTCCTCACAATTTTTTCCTTCATCTGTCAGTGATATCTAAATACTCTTATAAAGTACATATGACTCGGAATCACTTTGGTACTTGCCAGGTATCGAACCCGCACTCTCATGCATGAGAGGCGCCTTTTATCTCTACTCCACCACCTCGTATGACATATATAATAATTTCTTTTCCTCCTACTAAAGGTACATTCTGCCGATCTTCGCTAAAGGAAGGAAGGGACAACTTAGTATATCTGATGTATACAGGTAAATAAGAATTTTAATATAAATAGTATTATATACTGGCTTTCCGCCCGCAGCTTCGTCAACGTGGAGTTCGGTTATATCGCGTTTCCAAGAGAACCTTTCAAAAGTGTGGGATAAAAACTATCCTATGTTCTTTCTTAAGGTCAACTCTATGTCTGTACCAAATTTCCTTAAAATTAGTTCAGTAGTTTAGGCGTGAAAGCGTAACAGATAGACAGACAGAGATGAATAAAAACTTAATGTAAGTATTCATATGACGACTCACACTAAAAGTAAGCATTAGAACGTTCTAAGAATCATTTGTTTGTATTTTTGTACAATGTAATGACATTGTTTTACGATGACTTGATGAAAATTGATATGTATACAGGATTAAACATACTATGAAAGCTAATAGCATATACTATATATATAAATATATATTTATATATACTATTTTTTGCCTTGCGTAGTATCTGTACTATAATTTACTACTTAAATTATGAGTTACATCAAGTCACATGAGTTATGAAGTCAACAACTCATGTACTTACCGTGTTCTGTGAGATACTTAAATATGAGTTATAATATCATTGTTAGACTTAATTCTACATTTTTATTAATAACTATAAATTAGATAGATTTCTATTTAAAAAGTTTAGGTGCTTTGGAATGAAAATAAATAAAAATATTGTATTTTATACCTAATAATGTAAGCCTTAAGGTTCGATATAGTATATATGTATAATATACTTTAATACTATACAAGAATAAGTGTTGCCCAAATGCAAGAATACGACGGCCAGTCTTGGTCTTGCAGCAAGAGTCTCGCAAGACTTCATCATCAGCCTATCAGAGCCCACTGCTGAGCCTCTTCTCACATGGAGAAGGTTAGAGCATTAATCACCACGCTTGCTCAAGACGGGTTGGTGATTTCAAACTTATAATTGTGAAACTATAAGTCCAGGTTTCCTCACGATGTTTTCCTTTAACGTATGCCAGTGATGTCTAAATACTCTCAGAAAGTACATTATTCCGAAAAATCACATTGGTACTTGCCAGGTTTGAACCCGCGCCCTCGGCACGAGAGGCGGGCCTCTTAACTACTAGGCCACCATTGACTTGATCTTGTAAAAATGCAAGACCAAGACCAAGTCTTCAAGACCAAGACCGATTTTGGGCAACACTAATTAAATTATTTAATGAGGTTTGTGGTATAAGAAGGTTTTTGAATTTCCAGATGTTCTCCAGAACACAGATCCTCACCTTTGGGAGACCAGCTTGGCGCGAAATGGCAGGAACAACTTAATAAACAAAGTAAGCTATTATAATATATAACTTTAATACACGAACGTGTCAAAATATTAAATCCTATTTTTATTAAAAATTCCCATCAAAATCGGCTCAGCCGAAGTTATATGTTCGTTATTTCCAACAATTATGGTTATTTAGTCAGTTTTTTTAAATTTAACCCTAAAATTAAGTAAACCTTTTATACCTTTCATCTAAGCGTCTGTAATAAATTCAGATTCAGTAAAATTTCTTGCCAGTGGAATATTTCGGTCATAAAATTGCACTTATGTAGTTTTTATGTCTTTTTCACGGACGTCGTTCTGTTCGCACAATACAAGTAGTGCCGCCAAGTTAAGGAATATTATGAACTGACAAATAGAACCACTTAACCTAATAATTTGGTGACGTGAAGTAATAAAATACTTTTACGTATATAATATTACTATTCAGATATTTTAAATTATTCTTAAATATTATTTATCTTAAACATATACAGGGTGACTGGTGGATTACTATCGATATTTGAGGACGTGATATTTGACGATCATATATGACAAAATAAAAATTAATATAACATAAATATTAATAAACTTCTAAGTAAAGTTAACCAAAAGTTATGTAATTAATTACGCATTGTATGAACACCCTACAGATTAGGTATACACACACACACACACACACTCGCGCGCGGCGGCGTGTTGTTGTATCAGCACGCCGCCGCACGCGTCCACACTTGGAACACTTGGAACAATCATACTAAAAAATGTAAAATAAATATTAGTTAAAAGCGTGTTTTTTTAGTTTTTTTTAAACTAAAATTGATTAAATCAATAGTTTATTTTTTTCAGTATTTTTAAAGAATTCCATACCATTTTTATTTTATGATTTCTCCAAATATTTTTCTTTTATATATTTAAATGTTTATACAGGGTGACTGGTGAATTACTATCAACATTTAAGGAGAATACTCGGTACATGATTCTCATTCGAATTATGTAAAAAAAATAGGTACTTAATTTTTGACCAAATTTCCGTATAAATAAATAAAGCGTGGACACGTTCCAAGTGTTCCAAGTGTGGACGCGTGCGGCGGCGTGCTGATACAACAACACGCCGCCGCGCGCGAGTGTGTGTGTGTGTGTGTATACCTAATCTGTAGGGTGTTCATACGATGCGTAATTAATTACATAACTTTTGGTTAACTTTACTTAGAAGTTCATTAATATTTATGTTATATTAATTTTTATTTTATCATATATGATCGTCAAATATCACGTCCTCAAATATCGATAGTAATTCACCAGTCACCCTGTATATACAGACAAACTGACGTATTATTATATATAATTCAGATTATAATCTAAAGCCGCTGTATTATAATAGACAATGTTTTTACAGCGTCGATAAAGCTCTCCAAATGTTTGTTCAACGTGTTGGTTGTTAAACAGCAAATGATTTTTATTACATCCTTTGTTATAATAACATTGATAATGAATTTAATATCCTTTGTTTTGTTATTTTATATCCTTTGTTTTGTTTTGTTAATCTATAAGGCTTGGTGTACATGATGAATGTAGGGTCTACTTTTAGTTTAAATTCTCTTAAACTACGTACTAAATCTAGGTCATATATATGGTTTTGTAAGCTTGGTAAGGGTTTGGTACCCTTTTATAGATGGTAGAGCCAAACTGTAGTCAAGTTACTACAGCTCGAACATGTTCTGTCTCGTGGAAGTACCACCCTCTCACAGAAGATCGGCGTGAAGTAGTCTTTAATGGATGTGTTTCTGATGAGTGAGAGAGACGGTTGCCCTTCCCTTTTTTCTCTCTTTCCCACCTTCTCCCCTTCTTTCCTCAATCAAGGGTGGAAATACATACGTAAATCTATTTTGCTGATGTCCATGACGCACTAACTTCATTAGGTAGGCCGTCTGCTCAGTTACTCTCTTTATCATAAAGAAGCAATCACATTTTCGGTATTTTCAGATCATTTTTTTGAAGAGAAGTTCTCAACCGTATCTTCATTTCACACTTTTTGGGGAAACTGTCAAAGCTTAGACTAATAGCTATGATCCAAGTTTATAAATTGTTTTTTTTTCTTTCAATGAAAACTATACATCATAGTAGATTGTAGTACAAATGTTTGTGGCATTTTCGTTTTGTATGATAAAAGCGTTGTTGTAAAATAAATATAAAAGTTTTGAAAAAAATAAGTTTGAAATTGTGACAATAACAGTAAATTTATTAAATATCTTTTCTATTCTTTTTTTCTAGAGATAACAATTTTTTCCTGTTTGTCCTAGTTGCAAAAGTTATCACAAATATTTTCTTGGACTAGGCATAACGATATTTAAAAACTAAGTATTTCCCAAGTTTGCATTACACTACACACGTAGAGTTAACAGTTTTTCATTCATAACTTCTCACATTATAGTATTAACGGAGGTTACTAAGTAAAAACGGCAAACTATTGGTATGTAGTAACTATGTTATATTCTGCTACGTGTACTAAGAGGCAAAATTAATTATATATACTGTGATTATTATGTATTTTAAATGAACTTAATTCTTCTACCTGGCAATTTCCCAGCTTTAACTAGGGTCTACCTTACATGCTGTGAATAGTTTTAACTAATTGTTTTTACGGCCGGCCGCCTGCCTGACATCAACCCTCTTTGGGAATTTTATATGAAGTTAATTAATTTATTAAAATTTATTTTTTATACATTATTTTCGTATAATTATCTTTTAAATTCGATCATTAATTAAACTAAACTATTGTAAATTATTTAAATTCATTCAAATAAGCGTATCATTAAATTAATTATATGTCATTTAAATTCAATCCTCGTATATTTTCTGTTTATTTTAATGTCTTAATTTTATTACTATATATGTATATGTTTGATAGCTTAAGAGTTTCCTTACTGTAAATCTTTCTATATATATGTATAATTAAAACATGAGCTTCTATTCTTCTACCTGGCAATTCCCCAGCTTTAGCCAGGTTCTGCCTTACATGTTGTGAATAGTTTTGGCAAATTGTTTTAACGACCGGCCGCCTGTCTGACATCAACCCTCTTTGGGAATGAAACATAAGCTTCTATTGTCAGAATAAATACGTTTATACTTTCAGTTTCCAGTTCGTAGTAAGGTTCTTAAAGTAATAGCTTTCCCGTTGACTTGTAAAGGCGTTCAGCATAAGATATCTTCTTCTATCTGACATTTTCCCAGCTTTAGCCAGGGTCTGCCTTACATGTTATAAATAGTTTGGGTTAATTGTTTTTACGACCGGCCGCCTGCCTGACATCAACCCTTTTTGAGAATGCATTAGTTAGTGATGTCTTAATATTCTTAGAAAGTACATATGTCTCGGAAAAATCACATTGGTACTTGCCAGGGCCAGGATCGAACCCGCGCCCTCATGCATGAGGGCCTCTTAACCACTAGGCCACCACTGAATTTAAATCATTTATTCATCATCATCAGATATCTTGGTTAAAAACATTATAAGAAGCCAGGAAGTCTAAAATCGATATTATTATCGATTCAACATCGATAAGTTATTAATATTCTGCTATCAAAGCTTTATATTGATAACAAATATATTAAAAATATTAGTAAGTGGGATGTAAAAAAATTAATATACCCACGAACAAATAACTCACAATCTTGTAGTTTATTAAATCAGTATGCCTACAACAAGTTTTCGTCGTTACAAGATACGTTGCGTTAAAAGTATTTCATACTAGCTTTCCGCCCGCAGCTTCGCCCGCGTGGAGTTCGGTTATATCGCGTTTCCAAGAGAACCTTTCAAAAGTCGGGGATGAAAACTATCCTATGTTCTTTCTCAAGGTCAACTCTATGTATGTACCAAATTTCATTAAAATCAGTTCAGTGGTTTAGGCGTGAAAGCGTAACAGACAGAGTGACTTTTGCATTTATAATATTAGTAGGGATTTCATTCATAAATCTTAACATAATAAGCAGGGGCGTGCGTAGAGATTTGGTAGAGTAAGCAGAATATATATTTGAAAGAAAAAATAAAGATTTTCAAGATAATTTCCTCCTTTATCCTCTAAATCGTGAATCATATGTCATTTTAAATGTCTGTTAACATTTGTATTTCGTAATGTATTATTAAAAGTACATAAGTAAGAATTAAACAATATAGGTTTAGTTGTAATATGGGTATATGCAGTGCTTATTTGCGTCTATAGTGTGCATGCCACTATAAGAACCAATTGGTAATGAAAATGTTTGTTTGTATCACCCTGTATACAATATTATTAATAATTATTTAAAAATACAATTAATTTGAAATATTTAGCCCTTACTGATAGCTTTTTAGGTGCGAAAAACTCATTTTTTTATTATATTTTCTTTACCAGGTATCGGAAAGAAGCCATCCTTGATGAAAGCTATATTTAGTGTTTTTGGTTTGGAATTTACGATAGTGAACACCCTGTATTCTGTTGTGGACACATCAGCTAAGTAAGTGGGACTTTCTAAACATTTCTGTATTATACAAATATTAAAAATAATTAAATTAAACTAGTATTGATCAAGCGTGATTTTGATAATTTTAATTACATACTCCCGGCGTTTTCGACTTAAGCAGCAATAATCACGGATAGAAAATCAATAAAATATTAGTTCTATTCCATTGAACACTCGCGAAAAACTTAGATATTCTTGAATAATAAATATAACTTTCTTTGCAGAATAATTATACCCACCTGCCTTGAAGGCTTGATAAATTATTTTTCTTCAACATCCGGTGTTACAAAGTTTGATGCCTACATGTACGCTGTTGGTGTTTTGGGGTATGTATGTCTTTGACACTTAAACTAATGAACTATCTATCATCAGTCTATCAGAGCCCACTGCTGAGCCTCTTCTCACATGGAGAAGGTTTGAGTATTAATCACTACGTTCGCTCAAGACGGGTTGGTGATTTCAAACTTATAATTTGAGATTATAAGTCCATGTTTCCTCAGGATGTTTTCCTTCATCTGTCAGTGATGTCTGAATATTCTTATACAGTACATATGACTAGGAAAAATCACATTGGTACTTGCCAGGATCGAACCCGCACTCTCATGCGTGATTTAAACAATGAACTATCTATAACTATCAAATATTGAGCTCTGTATATATAAATCTGTTTTGAAGGGTTTAAACTGTTAGTCATTTTAAACTCACTTTTAGATTATTTTAGTTGGTATAAAATCTTCTTTTTTTATTTTATTTAAAACAAAAAAAGCAATTTCATATTTTACGGTCTGTCAAATAAGCTCTAGATTCGAAGATTTTCTATATAAACTTATTAAGTATTCAAAATGAGACCATTGTATTTACTTCAAGATCAACTTTTAGTGAGGATACACGTATTTTATGCTATCGTTTTTGTGAAGTTTTAAATAAAAATTACCAAAAAAAAAGCCTCGGATAGGAAATAGGAAACCTAGGAAACGAAATTTTTCTTCCATGTATCTTAATCTTCTTCTACCTGGCAATTTCCCAGCTTTAGCCAGGGTCTCCCTTTCATATTGTATATAGTTATGGCTAATTGTTTTAATGACCGGCCACCTGCATGACATCAACCCTCTTTGGGAATGCATTAATCAGTGATGTCTTAATACTCTTATAAAGTGCATATGACTTGGAAAAATAACATTGGTACTTGCCAGGGCCAGGGTCGAGCCTGCGTCCTCGTACTTGAGAGGCGGGCCTTTAAACCACTAGGCCATCAATGACTATATATGACTTTCCATGTAAATTCATATTTTATTATATTTATTCCAGATTAACTTTCATAAGCGCCGTCATAATGCAGCCGACCATATTATATTTATTTGATATTTCCATGAGGGTCCGAGTCGCAACGTGTTCGCTCATATATAGAAAGGTAATTTATATATTATATATATGCGTTTGTGATGGTGTCTATTGCACTTCAACGGAAAAACTATTGAACAGATTTCGATGAAACTTTATTGTAGTGTAGCTCAAATATTAGAAGAGGATATAGGCTATAATTTTCATAATTTATGTCATGACACACCCATGTCCATGACCGTTGGTTGATAGATCTGTTGTTTTTACATTAACCATTTTCCTCTGAACGAAATAACTCATGAAAAATAATAGTAACCATATTTGAAGTACGAACCTCTCACAAAAGTAAATTTATAAGGAGAATGAAATATTTTTCTGCTTGGATTCCAACGAAATGTTAGAGTAATTTTACAAAAAAACAAAACATTTACGCACGACAAAACTACTAGAGCAAGAGCCAGGGCCAGCCAGGCATTCGTTAATTTACAAAAGCTGAAAGTTTTTGTATAGATGTACCCAATATAGGTAGTCACGATCCCCACCTATGAAATTTGGGTCGAGGTGGCTTTGGCAGGTAACACGTTCTTAAGGTGTATAAAATTTTCTTTCACTTTCCTCTTAGTACAAAATTCAGTTTTGATATATTTTCATCGTAATAATATTAGATCACGCTGTAAATTGCCCGGCACTTAGTAAGGTGGGAAACCCAGCCAGGCACCCCTAAATTATAAGTAATTTTCTTGGACTATACGCTATTTTTTCTACAATTCATAGTATCTTCTTCAAAATCTATGTATACCTAGCAAGTTTATACTATATGAAAATTGAATCAAAGGTCGTTGACCCGTATTATGACCTCTTCAGATTCTCCGTCTTGATATAAACGCTGGCGGCAAGGCCTCCGAAGGTCTTTCTGGTCACGCCATCAATCTCTTGACCACCGATGCCCAAAGGTTCGACATGGCCTCCTTGTTCATTATGGACCTCATAAGAACTCCGATAGAGGGCGTGGTTGTGACCTATCTGATGTACAAACAAGTCGGTGCGTCAACATTCATTGGAGTTTCATTGCTCTTCCTCATCATACCACTTCAAGGTGAGTTTTTGTATTGATGGCCCATAAGCTAAATTTTTTGGTAATTTTTATCATCATAGTCCTCTGAATGATAAAAATACATTCTAAAGGGCATTTATTAAGAGTAAAATTTCATTTTTGCATATATCATTATCAAAAAATAATTTCAAATCGTTCAAAACAATTCAAACTTCATACAAACTTAACTTTATTGTTTGTCAGTCATAAGACTTCGAAATCATTGTTTTTGTGATATATTTAAGTTAAAACTAGTTTTTATGTCTATTAAATAAAATTTCCAGTAGAATAACATTTTTATCACTATAAATATACTTTTAACAGCTTATTTGGGTAAAATATCAAGCAGACTCCGACACCAGACAGCGATTAGAACTGATAATAGAATACGATTGATGAACGAAGTTATACAAGGAATAGAGGCTATCAAAATGTACGCGTGGGAGAAAGCGTTCGCACGGATCATAGGCGAAGCCAGGAGGTAGGACATGTTAAACGCGTGGCGTCTGTACATACATCGTCATACTGTCACCATATTAATACACGTCTTTGGTTAGACATTGATTAAGAAGTTAATATATCTCCAAAAAGAAAAAGCTTATTAATATTAGGTATAGAGGAAAAATAGTGATTTTAGTCCTTTTTTACGTTTTCTGACGTACACTCATATATAATTTCATATAATATGAAATTTGGACGATCTTATCAATTAGAATAAGATTTTCTTGGTCATAAATAAGTAAATTATAAATTTAGTTCATAATGAAGTTTAGTTGGTGTTTTTGTATCAATGTCTAGTAAATAACTTTGAACTCAAAGTAAATTTTAACCATTATCATTTTTTAATAGATAGACACGATGGCTTAGTTTGCTGAAAGACCAAAACGTGTTTCCCTATTTATCTCAAATTTGAATCCATTCAAGAATCATTATTACATAAAATCTTTAATCATAATCGTTCTAATACATTATTATTACATTACAGGAAAGAAATGAACATCATAAAGAAAATATCATGGTTACGAGCGATTATGATATCTTGTGTGAAGTTAAACTCAAAGATCGCTATATTTCTGACCCTGGTTTCGTTCATATCATTCAAGAACGAACTCACAGCATCCAAAGTGTTCGTAGTATTTTCGTACTACAATATCTTGAAGTATTCCCTCGTGGACTTCCTATCTTTGGCAATATCTTTCACATTGGAGGCTCAAGTCAGTGTTCATCGGATGCAGGAGTTCCTCATGCTGCCAGAAGTCGATAATTGTGATGGAACTGACCTCGTCACTATTGAAGGCCCAAAAAATGTAGCTATGAGCAGAATCTTCGAGAAAATTGGCAACGGGTGAGTTTTTATCTAATATAATGTACTTTAATTTCGTGATTGGCTTGTGTTTTGTTATTAAATATATACGTAATAGTAGATATTGAGTAACAATAAAAACAATAGATTTGAAGTTATATATATAATAGGATTGACTAAAGAATTTCCTGATCTAGATATTTCGTTTTTTTCTATTGATATATTATTAGAATTTTTTCCCCAAAAGTTTAACTTAAATATACATCAATCTTTCTAATAGTCTACTTATATTACTAAAAAAAAAATAATCAAAAATAATTTGTATGATTATTATTAATCATAATCTAGCATACCAACTTTTTTCTAATATGCCATTAATTTCTGCTTTGTTTTTCATTGATACGTAATATAATCAGAATTTTATGCCCAAAACCTAATATTACCAAATACAAAGCATGATTATTAAATGTAGTCTTTTCTAATAAGCCATTAATTTGTATTTTTTTAGACAACAGGCGTACATTAAGTCTGAGTCTAGTCTGGAGCAGCTAAAGCCGGCTGTTTTCATTAGTTTTAAAGACTACACCGCGCACTGGAAGAACTCGGAAGACGAAGATGTGAAGAATAGAGTACTGGCGCTCGACGACATTAACTTAAACGTAATTACGTCCATACTTACAGTTTGGCAGTATTCATTAAGTTCAACGATATATCTCATACTAGGTTTTTATAGAAGACCCGGCGAACTTCGTTTCGCCCTATAATCAAGAAATATCTGTTACGTTTTTTATTTATATTTTTGGAGTTTACCTATCAAAGCCATAAATCTCCGTGTTTTGAAGTGCGACAGAATGATTGACATATTAGTAAGTTGTCAAATCTAATGTCAAAAAAAAACGTTTGTATCAACAACTACTAATAAATTTAAAATTAATTAAAAAAACATTGTCCAGCGGACAAAATTGTGAATCTAAACCATTCCCAGATCCCCTTGAACACACACAAAAAATTTCATCAAAATCGGTCCAGTCCTTTGAGAGAAGCTCAGTGACATACACACTCACAGAAGAATTATATATATAAAGATTATATAAATTTTGGTCCTTAGTTTCTCATTATTTATAAAAGAAAATAAAAAGTCTAATATATAAGTTTTTTCATAAAATATTCAATATATGACTTTTCATACACTTTTGGGTCATACTTCAGTTTAAAATGAATTGACCCATTACAATATCAAGTTAATACACTTGGGTCATAGATCATTTTGATGGCTTTTATAACATAACTAAACCAAAATTTTGTGAAATACATATATTTTTTTAATAATAAATGTTTCTCTGGCGTTATTTTTTCAGTACTAATGAATTTTCTAACTACCCTCCATGACAGATCAAACCGGAAACCTTGACTACTATAGTGGGCACGGTTGGTTCGGGCAAGTCGACCCTGCTACTCGCCATGTTGAGGGAACTATCGCCTACTTCCGGTCACCTCTCTGTCCGTGGGACCATCGCCTACGCTGCGCAAGAACCTTGGCTATTTGAAGCCTCCGTGAGTTAACTATTAAAATATTATTGGGAACAAGACCAGAATTGGCTTTGTTAAAAATAATATTCGATATAATTTTGCCGTCAATTTATTAAAATTACACAAAACTAAGAACAATTTGAAATTAGTAATTTTGAGTATTACGATTTAAACTTATCGTGAAACTAAGATTCCTTATCTGTTTGGCAAAACAATATTTGGTCTTCACAAATCACGTAAATCCATTCACAAAACAAACCTATTGATCTGTTTCAAAATTAATAACTTGTAATATCATAACGTCCAATAATTATGGAGAAGTAACGCTACAATATTTATACATTTATATATTTAGTTCATTTCTCTCTCATATTAAGTATACTGTTCATAAAGTTATAAAACATCTTTTTACCAAACTATATAACAAACCGAGTTATACTTTGTATCTCAAGAATCTTTTTATATCTCCTCCTACCTGTCAATTTCCCAGCTATAGCCAGGGTCTGCCTTACATGTTGTGAATTAGTTTTGGCTAATTGTTTTTACGAGCGGCCGTCTGCCTGACATCAACCTTCTTTTGGGAATCAGCATTAATCAGTGATGTCTAAATACTCTTATAAAGTACATATGACTTGTCAAAGTCACATTGGTACTTGCTAGGGCCAGGATCGAACCCGCGCCCTCGTGCATGAGAGACGGGCCTTTTAACCACTAGGCCACCACTGACTCAAGAATCTTTTTATATATTACATACTATGATACTCTCCTTGCAGGTCCGCCAGAACATTCTATTCGGTCAAGACCTGGACCTGCGCAGATACAAGCAGGTCATTAAATGCTGCCAGCTGAAGAGTGACCTGGAAATACTGCCTTATGGAGATAAGACGGTTGTTGGCGAGAGAGGTGTGTAGATACTTTAATAATAATAAATTCATACAATTATAATGTACACATGCTGTTATTTTAATGAAAATCCGTACTATTAGTGCTCATTTAACGTAATACTGACAGTTTATCTGTTTGTTCGTCAATATTTAACACGAAAGGTGACACTTTACTTGGCGTTGCGTATTGGAGTATTTGTTATGTTAGGCCAAATAAGACCATGTGTGGAGGATTTGTACGTCTTCATTAGACATATTTGCACAAATAATACACATACACAAATAAGCGAAAACAAGTAAAGACGTGTTGGTATGCCAAGTGTGGATGTCATGTTTGCGGTATTTGGACTACGTACAAATATTTGGACAAATGCGGCGAATACGCAATGCCAAGTGAAGTGCCACCTGAAGATACAATGATTCACAAATAAAAAAATAGTATTGTGATGCCAAAAATATGAACTTCTTTTGTACTAGGAACTTGTTTATCTTAAGCTATGAATATCTGGTGCGCGTTAAGTCACTCATAATTCAGTACCTATTTCCGTCGAGTGTTTTCACATTCACGTATCACGAAGGTCATTCATAGTAATTGTATTGTGTTGTGTATTGATGTTATTGGAGTGACCTCTATCAATTGACCTCTGACCTTTGACCTTTCTCTAGGTGCGTCATTATCTGGAGGTCAAAGGGCTCGCATCGCGTTGGCTCGCTGTGTGTATCAACATGCAGACGTGTACCTATTAGATGACCCGCTGGCAGCTGTAGATGCTAAGGTAATGAAGGGTCTGATTATATTGGTCGTGACCGCGATTATTATATTTAAAATTACTCTTTAAAGATATAAAATGCAGTTTTAATAATTCAGTTGAAAGAATGACAAAGAATTGTCTTGTATAATGGTATTTAATGTATGAAATTAAACAGTTTTGTTAAACCTATATATTAAGATGAAGTATATAATATTCGTTTATTTTGGGACGTAGTAGGAAATATGTAATCTTTATAAGACTTCTGTTATTGCTTTTCTTTTTTTTGGGTCACCAAAATTTTAAAAATGTATATGTTACTAGCTTTTTGCCCGCAGCTTCGCCCGGGTGGAGTTCGGTTATATCGCGTTTCCGAGAGAACCTTTCAAAAGTCTGGGATAAAAACTATTATATGTTCTTTCTCAAGGTCAACTCTATGTCTCTACCAAATTTCATTAAAATCAGTTCAGTGGTTTAAGCGTGAAAGCGTAACAGACAGACAGACAGAGTTACTTTGTCATTTATAATATTAGTAGGGATGATGACCAAATGAAATTATTGTGTTAATAATTCCTATATATATCCAGGTAGCCCAAGCTATATACGAGGAGTGTATCCGGTCTTTCCTTCGTGAGAAAGCCACAGTCTTGGTCACTCATCATGTGCAGTACGCGCGGCACGCGGCTCAAGTGTGTGTCATGAAATTGGGCAAAGTGAGTACATAATTATTACAAAACTAAAATATATTATGTATAAAAGGAGCAAATCAAACCTCCCAGACAATTCATCATTTGAAGTAGTTAACGTGTGCGCCAAACAAAAACGATCTTTAAGTAAAGCTATCCTCAGATTTAACTAAGAAATGCACCTTTCCAGCTCTCGGTACACATTTTGGACATGAATGTATATTTTTTTGATATTTGTTCCCTTTTCAAGCACAAAAATTGTAATTGGTGGTACCATAAATTTTTTTTGTTGTAATAATTATCATATTTAACTTGGCTATCGAACAAGAATACCTACAATCGGTTGCCGAAATCATCTATTAAATGTATATGAAATTCAACAGATCGTAGCTCAAGGGACCTACAACGACTTGAAGAACGATGTCAAGGAGTTTGAAAAGCTGATTGAGATGGAGGCCAAGGACGAGGAGAAGAAATTGAAGCAGAAGGGAGCCTCGTATGAGAACCAGGACAGTCTGGTGAGGGAAAGAGATGGAGATAGAGTGTGTGTACGTGCGTGTGTGTGTGAGAGAGAGAGGGAGAGAATTTGTGTACGTGCGTGCGTTAGAGGGAGAGAGTTTGTGTACGTACGTGCGTGTGTGTGTGAGAGAGAGAGAGTGATAGGGAGTAGACAAGGAAGAATGACAAGGAAACCAATAGTCTTGACAAGTCATATTAATGACTGTATTGGAATTCAACTCATAATTGATTGTTAAACATTATGAGAATGAATGAACGTAATTATTAGGAAATTAATGAATGTAAAAGAGTATGTAATGGAACTGTTTAACATTATAACTGATGTAGTAATAGTGAAATGTAACAAACACTGATATTAAAATAATTTTATTATTCTATTTAAAATATCAATAATAAATATATGAAATTTGGTGATAATTTAGTTCAAACATCACAATAGAGACGAAACCTCTCATCATTCAATGTATTCACGGTGCGTGTGTCGGGTCCATCGTTGTAGTGAGAGGAGCTTCAACAGTGACTGTGACTTGTGACCCAGGTGTAGGCTTAAGGGACCCTATCTGGCGCGATAAACGCTCACCTCCACCGTACAAGCTAATCTCTCCTTATGTCGCTGATAGTGTTCGTTATAATATCGTAGACTCAACTAATAGACCCTTACCTTTAGGAGCACGGCCACAAACTCCGCTCACAGAGGTCAATGTCCGAGGTGTCTCAACTGTCCTTCAACACGGAAGGAGAAAATATTATTGGACCGGAATTTGAAGGTAATTGTGATGATAGCCCTTATTTCTTCTTCTTCCCGTCAATTTACCAGTTTTAGCCAGAGTCTGCCTTACATGTGAATAGTTTTGGCTAATTGTTTTTACGACCCGCCGCCTGACATCAACCCTCTTTGGGAATAATAGAATAGCACTTACTATTTGTTTGTAAGACACATTAAACTCGAAATGACTTACGTATATGAAATTAAGAATTGATAACTATACTCAGTTATATCTGTCTTGTTTGATATTACAAACAGGTGGTAAGGTCATTTGTAATATACATTTCTTTATATAATTTTATTGAATAAGTCCTTAAGTGTTTATTCTACACTACAAAATATCTAAATAAACTAAAAGGACGTAAATATACTATATACTAGCTGACCCGGTAAATTTTGTTTTGGCATATAAAAAAATAGGGGTTGTTGATTAAAAAGTAAAAATTTTTGGTTGTATGTAAAAGAAACAAAACATTTCGTCTGAAAAACAATTAAGTGTGAATAACCCTTATGATATAGTATGGAAATAGATGTTATCCGATTATCAGACCTACTCAAATGCTCATAAAATTTTACGACACGAGAATTTTATATATATATAAGTTATACGTATATATAGCCGTAGTTTTCTCTCCTTCTAGGTGAAAATCAGAGTGAGGGTTCAGTAGACTTCGGAGTATACTTCTCGTTTATAAAGAGCGGCGGAACCCAGTTCACGATGCTAGTTCTGGGTTCGCTTTTCGTCTTCGCTCAGTTCTTCTACTCAGCTACGGACGTGTGGCTCAAAGATTGGTGAGAAGAATATAATATAAGAAGAATACTTTACAGACTAATATATTAAAGGATATCCCCAAAAATAGATAAACGATATATTACTTTTGAGTCATTAATGTATCTCATTATTGTGGATAAAAAAGAAAAGCGTAACACCGAACTAAAATTAAATAGTCTTTTTCTATCCCTACTAATATTATAAATGCGAAAGTAACTCTGTCTGTCTGTCTGTTACGCTTTCACGCCTAAACCACTGAACTGATTTTAATTAAATTTAGTACAGAGATGGAGTTGACCTCGAGAAAGAACATAGGATAGTTTTTATCACAAACTTTTGAAAGGCTCTCTTGGTAACGCGTTATAACCGAACTCCACGCGGGCGAACCTGAGGAAAGCTAGTTTCTAATAATTAAATACTATACATTTTTTTGGAACACTAATATATGTAAAAATATGATATTTTATTTATTTCCAGGGTTACCATAGAAGAGATGCAGAGCGCTGATAAAGCGAGCAAAATGAATATGTCAATATATAATGCATCAATAATGAACAACACATCTACAATACAAAATACATCTATAATAGATAACATAACTACTGCAATAGCTGGTAAGACTTATATTGTATCTTAATTTAGTATGAAAATTTATGTTTTATATACTTATATATGTTTTTGCTAATACTTTTAGGACATAGACCTATAAGATTATCATTAATATCTCTAATGAGATCTAAGATTTCCACGACATTTAAATGAATCTAATGTTTTATAACCATAATTACGCTTGGTGAAAAGTAGTAAAAACTTCGTGAGCATATAGTCTTTTACAAGAGACGAAACCTCTCATCATTCCATGTATTCACGGTGCGTGTGTCGGGTCCATCGTTGTAGTGAGAGGTGCTTCAACAGTGACTGGGACTTGTGACCCAGGTGTAGGTTTAATATATATAGAGAGACGAAACCTCTCATCATTCCATGTATTCACGGTGCGTGTGTCGGGTCCATCGTTGTAGTGAGAGGAGCTTCAACAGTGACTGGGACTTGTGACCCAGGTGTAGGTTTAATATATATAGAGAGACGAAACCTCTCATCATTCCATGTATTCACGGTGCGTGTGTCGGGTCCATCGTTGTAGTGAGAGGAGCTTCAACAGTGACTGGGACTTGTGACCCAGGTGTAGGTTTAATAAATATAGAGAGACGAAACCTCTCATCATTCCATGTATTCACGGTGCGTGTGTCGGGTCCATCGTTGTAGTGAGAGGAGCTTCAACAGTGACTGTGACTTGTGACCCAGGTGTAGGTTTAATATATATAGAGAGACGAAACCTCTCATCATTCCATGTATTCACGGTGCGTGTGTCGGATCTATCGTTGTAGTGAGAGGGGCTTCAACAGTGACTGTGACTTGTGACCCAGGTGTAGGTTTAAGGGACCCTATCTAACGCGCGTTAAACGCTCACCTCCACTGTACAAGCTCCTCTCTCTAAACAAATTTGAAAAGTAAACTCAAGTCAAATCAAGTCACGTAGTACATCCAAAAAATATAAGTTTCATTTAAATATTTCTTATATCTCTTAAACGATATTAAAGTCATTTATTCTCTCTCTTCACAAAATACTTGATACACATAGACATCTTATATAAATAGACATTTGTGAGAGACTGGAGCCCGTGATGGGTATAAGAATAAGTTTATTACAGGTCTCCAAAATAAATAGAGAACTATCATATTAGATAAGAAAATATACTTTATTGTACACCGAAACAAAAAAAATATAAGAAGCAATACAACAAAATAGAAAACACGGTACAAAAGGCGGTCTTATCGCTAAAAGAGAGATCTCTTCCAGACAACCTTTGGATGAATACTCTACGAAAGGGGTTCGGAGGTGTAAATTAATTACTTTTATTCATACATATATATTTATTTTGGTCATTTCTCCTTCTCCCAGCCAACTCCAGCCTTCTCCGCTACGAAGACCTCCCTTCAAACTTGTTCCACTTATCCCGTGAGCAGTGTATATACATCTACGCGGCCCTCATAGTGGTGTCCATGTTTCTGACCTGGAACAAGTTGCTCGTGTTCTACAACACATGCATCAAAGCCTCCGTAGTACTCCACGATACTATGTTCAGGTAAAATACTTATAAATACCTCTTAGAACATTCCCAAAATTGGTTGATGTCAGGCAGGCGGCTGGTCGTAAAAACAATTAGCCGAAACTATCTATAACATTTTCTGTTTGCCAGACCCTGGTTAAGCTGGGAAATTGCCAGGAAGAACAAGACCCAATTTTAAATAAAGTCGTTTAATTCTCTTATATTTGTTAATAAATTCCAATTAAAATAATGTCCAAAATTAATAAACAAATATTTGGTTACCGAGCTTTTTTCGGTATTTAGTAATTATTAGTATTTATTTTGTGTTTCTTTTATTTCGTTTAGGCATTTTTAAGTGAACACGTTAAGAAGACACAAAACAATATTTAACAATTAATTTCTTAGTCTAACGTCAAAACAAACACTCGATGACTTCCTGGTACTTAACAGCGCCATCTGCTGTTGTGTCGTTAAAGAAATTAGTAAAAGCAATTAGCAAGTAGTATTACTATTCGCCAATAGATGTCAGGAAGAGTCATATTTTAAACGACTCCTTTTTGTATTCTTTTTTTAATAAAATAACATTTTCTAAAAATGATTCCTAGCGAGATCTATTTATCGCCCCCGAAATCCCCTACATACAAAATTTCATGAAAATATATATATGTATATACACAATAATTGCTCATTTAAAGATATAGGATAAGACATATTAAAAAAATTACAATATTTCTTAATGTTTTACAATTAAAATAATGTCCGAAATTAAATGAAAGAAAATATAAGAAAATGTTTTCTTGGTCCTTTTTATACAAATATTGTTGTCGTACATAATAAATGATCTTTAATATGTCATAATATTCTTTCTCATCATCACCAGAGGTGTGACGAACGCCCCGATGTGGTTTTTCCATCACAACCCGTCGGGTCGTATCTTGAACCGCTTCTCCAAAGACATGGGACAAATAGACACGTTACTTCCCGTGGCGTTGGTTGACTGTCTCGGGGTGAGTTAAGGATATTTTTGCTATTATCTACTACCGAAATACATCATCATCTAATATTATTAAAAAAAATCGCAAAATTATTATCAAAATCAATTAAGTTTTGTAGTTTTTCATTTTAACTCATTGATAAAAACGTCTATGCAAAAAACTATATAATATTAATTATTAATTTAATTTTCCAATACTAATGAATACTAATTAAACTTTGATCTTCCTCCAAAATAAATATGTAATGTTCTTCAATATTGTTATTCATGTTCTTTATTCTTCTCCACAGTTCTTCCTTGAGGTGATAGCGATCCTGGCAGTAGTATGTATTGTTAACTGGTGGCTGCTTCTACCAACCGCTGTGTTAGCATTCCTTCTGCATCTCATGAGATCTCTTTATTTATATACAAGTCGAGAATTAAAAAGAGCAGAAGCTATAGGTAAGAAGTCTTAAATTAATCAAAATATGATAGCTATTACATTTTAATAGTAATAATATTTCATTGGTAGTATTGGAAACTTGAAAAATATTACGTAATAATTAAGATAAGGATCTTTATTATTGTTTATTTAGATGTAAATTATGTAGGTGGCAACAATAGGTTTCAGGAGAACTACGAAACCTTATATGTATGACAATTATATTAAAACTTATAACCTACGAAGTGACAAACTAAATAATGGATAAGAAAATATATTTAATCACTATTATTGGCTCTTATTTGAAACCAATTGCTTTATAAATACATTTAGGTTATTGTTGAAAATGTCAATACTATCAATCGCGTCGTTTTTACAAAGCCATGCTGTTTTTCAGAGAGTACTGGATATATAGGTGATGATAAATTTTATAGTATACTATAGATTCGAAGATTTTGGAGAAACATGACAAAATACTGATAGGTCGGTAATTTTCGCGATGCGAACGGTCGCTAGATTTAATGAATAGGAATAATATAGGCTGTTTGATTTTTAAACTAATTGATCATAATAATGATATTTTCAGCCCGTAGTCCATCTTTATCTCATTGTGGTGGTACGGTCCATGGTCTGACCACAATTAGATCCTGCCACAAGCAGGTGACGCTCGCTAAGGAGTTCGATAAACTACAAGACCTGCATTCCTCCGCCTGGACCTTAGTCCTCACTACTAACAGCGCGTTTGGCTATTGGATGGACATGGCTTGCTGCTTATACTTAGCTGCTGTGACATTTAGCTTCTTTTTCTTCAGTGAAGAAGGTGAGAAATAAAATATCAACCTTTAGTCCTACGCAATAAGGTCTATTATCGTAGAAACACATTTAATCTTTTCGGACAACTTGGTGAGCATCTAAATATCAACCTTTGCTACAAAGTATAGTTCACCTTTTTGCAAAACTTTTTTTATCTAGACAAAACTCTATGTAATGTTTTGTGAACATAAATTTTAATTATATATAAATTTATGAAAAACCTTCCTAAATGATAAATATTATTCGGATTACTACACGTTATTTATTATATGAACTACATATTCCCGAAATTTCGGTTACTTTACAGCAACCGTGATCATTAAGATGAGATATGATAAAAATCCTCTCTAACTGACAAATAAATGATAGCTTTAACGAAATATTTCTCCAATTACCTTAGTATGATTCATATTACTATAGGTTTTATTACTGACAAACTGACAGTGTTGCGTTTGTTACAGACTCGAGTGGTGGTAACGTGGGACTGGCTATCACACAAGTGATGGGTTTAGTTGGCATGTGTCAATACGGAATGAGGCAGACGGCCGAAGTGGAGAACCAAATGACTTCTGTGAGATATAGATATAGATACATAGAATAGATATAGAATTATAGTTAGTGGAGGCCTAGTGGTTAAAGGACCCGCCTCTCATGCACGAGGGCGTGGGTTCGATCCTGGCAAGTGCCAATGTGATTTTTCCGAATCATGTATACTTTATAAGAGTATTTAGACATCAATGATTAATGCATTCCCAAAAAAATTTGATGTCAGGCAGATGGCCGGTCGTAAAAACAATTAGCCAAAACTATTTACATGTAAGGCAGACCCTGGCTATAGCTGGGAATTGACAGGTAGAAGAAGAATAGATATAGAATTAGATTACATGATCTCAATGTACTTATGAAATATCAAGAGTTTATTATACCTAAATATATGTATTTATATAAATTTTTGTGAATATTTGTAATGAAATACATATAAAACTAATTGTAATTGAAACTAAGTACAGCTAGTTTATGCTTTATTGTCACTATTATCTGAGCTATTGAAAAAATTAACATCATGATTCAATACATTAATTTTATACTTTTAATATTTTTTCATACACTCTCTAATTTCATTATATTTTCTTAAGCTGTTACAAATAATAATAAATATATATTTGTTTTAGGTTGAAAGAATTTTGGAATACATCAACCTCCCGGCGGAGCACCCTGTAGAGCCTGACAACCGCGCTCTGAAGAATGAACACCCTGGCTTTGATTTCAGCAAGTGGCCGAGTGAAGGTACGGCAGATAATATTACGAGCATGATAAAAACAGCTTAAAAAAGTTATTTAAAATCAATACAATCTTTGATTTTCACAAATTTTGATAAATAATAAAAGTATTTTTAGTTCTTTAAGAAATAGATAATGTACTAAATAAAAATAGATCATATTTTGACAGTTTTGTCCTCTTTGTTACAATGGAATTTCATCATAGGACATATATATGCAAATATTTTAGTAGTATCCAAATATGAATGTAATTTCAAAGAAAATTGATGGAAGTACATACTTTAACAGACTTCAAAAGTTTTTGCAACATTTTATATAACATCATACTCTCTCTCTCTCTCTCTCTATATATATATACATATATTTATGATTTCCAGGCGAGATAATATTCGAGAATGTATCTCTGGAATACGAAAAGCCTCCGAAAAGTGACGGTAAAGTCGACCCGGAGCCGGCCTTCGCTATAAAAGGAGTGAACTTTAAGATAAACGCCGGAGAGAAGGTAGCTGTAGTGGGACGAACCGGCGCGGGGAAAAGCTCACTCATAGCGGCATTATTCAAGTAAGAATATATATACTAGCTGCGCCCCGCGGTGTTACGGATTTCTGGGTTATAAAGTAGCCTATGTGCTATTTCTGGATAACAGCTTCCTGTATACAAAATTTTATTAAAATCGCTTCAGCCGTCTGAGCGGGAAGAAGTAACAAACATACACACACAAACTTTCGGAATTATAATGTTAGTAGGATTGTGATGCAGTTAGTTCTAACTTATTTTTACCTTTGAGTGTGACGAATAATTTAGCTTCAAAATAAAAGATATACATCTCAAAAGAAATTTATTTATTTGATTATATAAAATATTTAGAGTATGTAGGAGCCATATTTTAAAAATCAAAATTTTTCATCGTTGCCCATCCCGCAACAGCCCTTGTTAGTGGAATTTTGAAATATTCTTTCTTAGTTGACGTCTACTTTTCCAAAGAAATATTCCAGATAAATTTTAAGTCTCTACTTCTTATCGTCACAGATATATTGTGATGAGTCAATATATTTTATGTATCACCTAATTATTTTTAATACTGTAACTACATATAATTCTATTAAATGTTCTCATTAAATGTGTAACCCACCAGGCTGAGTAAGATCACGGGTCGCGTGACTGTCGACAACATCACGTCAGACGAGGCGGGTCTGCGTGCGTGGCGGGCTCGTCTCTGCGCCCTGCCGCAGCGGCCCGCGTTGTTCGCCGCCTCGCTCAGAGATAATTTAGACCCTGAGAGGAAATACACTGACGCTGAGATATATACCGCGCTGAATGAGGTGAGAAAGAGTAATAGAATAGGGAGGGGATGAGGAAATAGCAGGTAAGGGAGGGAAAGAGATAGGCAACCGTCTCTCTCACTCATCAGAAACGCAGCCATTAAAGACTACTTCACACTGATCTTCAGTGAGAGGGTGGTGCTTCAACGAGACAGACCATGTTCGAGCTGTAGTAACTTACCACAGCTTGGCTCTACCACCTAACAAAACTATATATTACTCGTTATAATACTTAATTTAGATTTTATAGAGTATATTTGATTGAACCTAAGTTTTTTTGGATACTACGCGTTTATAATTAGTCTATATGTATATAATCCCGTCTGTTCGTGATTGCGGTTGCTGTAAAGAAACTGAAAAGTTGTGATCATGTAGATGTAGAATAATAGAAAATGCGTATGAAAAAGTTAGTCTCGTTTAAACTCGAAATATTACAAATACTATATATAACTAATCTGACTAAAATCCAACTATACAGTACAGATAATTAAATTCATCTACATTCTCCACAAGCATATTCTAATTTGTGAGTTGCTGTATCGTTGTATTCGTTTTAATAATTGTATCATTTTAATATTGTCGATATTATAACTATCATATATGTATTGTAATTGTAATCGTAAATAGTGTTGGTCAGTCATAGTAAGGTACAATACACCTGGATAGTCAGGCAAGCGGCCGGTCGTAAAAACAAATAGCCAAAACTATTCACAACATGTAAGGCAGACCCTGGCTAAAGCTGGGAAAATGCCAAGAAGAAGAAGAAGATCATTTATTTATTTATTTTATAGGATCACCAACAGAAATGACAATAGTATTACAAATATTATATAGTTAACAATTGATCACACTTGATAATTGTATTTCTTTTTATAGGTAATCACAGCATGACTATATACAGCATAATAACTACACCTGTATAATCTGTAACGTCTGTCCGGTTCCAGGTGGAGCTCCAAGGCCTAGTGTCTGGTCTGCCGGGCGGCCTGGCGTCCAAAGTAGGGGACGGAGGGGGGAACCTGTCCAGCGGACAGAGACAGCTTGTGTGTCTGGCTCGAGCTGCGCTGGCGAGACGAGCTGTGCTTATACTGGATGAAGCTACAGCTAACGTTGACACAGAGTGAGATATATATTATATACGATACTACTAACATTCAGTGTATTCACGGTGCGTGTGTCGGGTCCATCGTTGTAGTGAGAGGAGCTTCAACAGTGACTGGGACTTGTGACCCAGGTGTAGGTTTAAGGGACCCTGTCTAACGCGTTAAACGATCACCTCCACCGTACAAGCTCCTCTTTCTACCAAATTTAAATAGGACCTACTAGGGCTTCCTTCGAAGTATGTTCTAAGAATGAATGGATGGTTTATCTATTATATATATTTATATATAATCATAGTTTTCATCACTATATATATATTTTTACAGGACAGACAAACACATCCAGAGAACGATTCGCACCAAGTTCGCTGACTCCACCGTACTGACCATCGCTCACAGACTCAACACTGTCATGGATTATGACCGGGTCATTGTAATGGACAAGTGAGTGAGAGAGACAGATATATATAGATAGAGAGAGACAGATATATAGAAATAGAAAGAAATAGATATAGTACTGACGTACAAGTATTATATGTTTAGTCAGGTGTGGCCTAGTGGTTAAAAGGCCCGCCTCTCATGCGTGTAGGCGCGGGTTCGATCCTGGCAAGTACCAATGTGATTTTTCCGAGTCCTATGTACATACTTTAAGAGTATTAAGACATCACTGATTAATGCATTCCCAAAGAGGGTTGATGTCGGCCGGTCGTAAAAACGATTAGCCAATATTCACAATATGTAAGGCAGACCCTGGCTAAAGCTGGAAAATTGTCAGGTAGAAGTACAAGTATAATACATAATACATTTTATTTCAGGGGTCGTGTAGTAGAATCTGGTCATCCGTACGAGTTGTTAACTCACCCTCAAGATCCCTCGCGCCGCGCCCCGCCCACTAAGACCCAGGTCAGTGACCTTTCAACAAGCACCCTCTATCAAGCAGTCAGTTAACCTAGTTTAATTTCCAGGCTCCGCTCGCGTTGCCTGAAGACTTCCTCGCGGCTCCTGAGAGGCTGGATGAGGAAGGAGCGCCGCTGATGACGTCATCAAGACACAGAACATACTCCAACAGGTTGGGTTATAAGAACACGAACATATTAGTTATATTATGAAAATCATTGTTATGTAACATACTAGTGTTTGATCGCAACTTCGTCTGTATTGATTTCGGAATTAGTACTATATGTTATGTGTATAGCTGACCGGGCGAATTTCATTCCATCCTAGAGGACGTAAATAACCAGTATCAAAATGTATTGCGAATTTTTGTCTTTTTCGATTGAATAGAATTAAATATCCTATGTCCGTCTCCTGGTTCTAATCTATATCTCCACCAATCTTCATCCATACCCGTACAGCCGTTCTTGAGTTATAAATATTGTAACTGACACGACTTTCTATTATATTAGTCACTTCTAATATGATTCTGAATTATTGTGACTTAAGTTAGTATACTACATACATGAATAGTATTGATGAGTTTATGTTCATGTTCAGATCGGAAGCACCTGAATACTTGGGGCTGTTCCGGTCACTGGTGGAGCAGACGGGGCGCGCCACGGCCGACCAGCTCATGACGCTCGCCAAGGAGGTACACACACACACACACACACACACACACACACACACACACACACAGACACACACACACACACAGACATACTCATACATATAACAGACACACAAACAGACATACTCATAGCAGACACACACTCGCATATAAAAACAGACATATATGTATACACGCATCCCAAACAAACGAACACACACACATACATAATTTTTCCATAAAAATAACACACAAATTCACTTTGAAGAACTCTTGAATTGAACTTAAAATATTTTCGTTTTGTTCACAGAGTTACGATCGTATGATGGAGAAGAAGACGTGCTGACATCGCGCGGTCAAAGAGAGCAGTTAGACTTAACTGTACTAGTTAATTATAACGTTACTTCATTGTGAAGCATTTAACTTTTAGCGAAATTATGTTGTTAGTTGTTATAAGTTAGAATAATTGTTAACTAAACAGTGAATTTACGACAGTTTAATTTAAATTGTTAGTTTGGCTATCCGTATATAGCTCCGTAACCTATTTACTTATTGCGGGTCGATGTTTCTTAGTTAAAATATATTACAGGTTCCGTTTCCGCTAACTCTGTACTTAGATGACTTAATATTTATAGAAAATAAGTTAATTCCGAATAGTATTTTGTTTAATTTAAAATATTAGGTTATGTTTGGCACTCCGTAGGAAATGGCAAATGAGGGCTTGTTACTTATAAAATCTACAATAATGTTATTTCTTCATAGAGATTTTAATGACAGACCAAAGTTTAAAACTTATTTTTACAAATATTTCTTATCAATATTAGTCGAGGTCGTTTCAGTGTTACCATTTAAATATTAAGCCACTTCGAGGCCATAAAATATGTTACTATAATAGTATCACAAATATTTAAATATTTATAATTACATGTTCAATAACCGATCAGTCAATTATCAGTTATATGGTTAATATAATAAATATATTTATAATTCATATTTACTATTTTCTATAAAAAAAAAATCTCCGTCCTTAAATGTTGACATTCACGAAGTGCGATTATAATACAAATACAGTGCTTTAACGAATTATATATTTACAATATATTATATACTTTATATCTACTCGTATATAACACGAGTTAAGCCGGCTTAGTATTACTATATGTTAGTATCATTGTGATATGTTGCTGCTTGATCAATAAAGACATATATACATATAGCGAGTGCTTATTTTTAACATAACCCTTATTTTTGGTCATTAAAATGGTTTGTGTGGAAGAATTCTATATTTGCACGTTTGAAAGTCAACCGGTGAACCAAAGCTCAAGTAATCGCACTCACATTAGGTCTTTAATACCATGTTTTGCCCACACTGAAGGCATTAGGGATAGAAGTCGCCTACAAGCTTTGGAGGTTAGATATGAAGATAGGTACCTCGAACATATGAAGCAAACACAGCTTAATGATCGGGTGTGGTGTAGTGGCGAGGACATTCAGCGAAGCCTTGGAAGTGGATCAGCTTGTACGTAAACTTTAAGAGTCTGTATCAGCACTCGTTGATATAAATCTGGTACAAGCTAAGGCACTGTAAGATCCACAGATATGCTTTGGATCATGCTCTCAAAGTGGGCATGACATAGATCTCACTGACTCAAGACGGGAACAGCTTGATCACGGAAACATTTTATGAGATATTATGATTATGAGATCTAATTGAAACATGGAGTTTTAAATGTGCGGCAATTATAGCAAGTATTTATGGACGCTGAAGGAATCTCTCATTATTTATCAAATAATTAGATTTTGTGAAAATAAAACTGCTTAGAATTAAAACATAATTAGCGAAGAGTTATGTTCCTGGTACGGTCATAAGGCCGAAGCTATTTGCATCTCTTTCTCCATAACCCTGCCTCTAAACTTAATTTTCTAGGTCCAGACTTAGCTAAAACTAAATCATACATGTTTTGTTTGTTAATAGAAAGGTCTTCTTAAGGAAAGATGAAGAATCAATAAGTGAGGAGCACCAACGCCAACAAATTATTCAAAAATGACTATTTACTAGTAGGATTTCTAAAACACAATACTTTCTTATCCTGTTTACCTTAGATACATTAATTATTTTGTATCTTCTTCTACCTGGTAATTTTCTAGCTTTAGCCAGGGTCTGCCTTACATGTTGTGAATAGTTTTGGCTAATTGTTTTTACTACCGGCCGCCTGCCTGACATCAACCCTCTTTGGGAATGCATTATTACATTAATTATTTTGTACTACATTTATTGCGCGTATTATTTCAATAACATTATTTTTACTACCTATCCAGAAGGATAGAAGATGATAGAAATCATACATTCATATCAATTAATTACGGATACAAATAACTCTTAGGCTCCATCCACACACTATCAAATTCTCACAATACTTGGTATTACAATTTTAACTTTTTATTATTTATTAAGTAGAAATTTAAATTTAATAGATACCCAATCAATAACAAGCAGACAAAGTAATATAAAAGTAATCTTTAGAGACTTACTACTACATCAATGTGGTATATGGATAACTCAGTTAAAAATCTGTGTCAACTATATTCTGTTAGGCATAGCTAGTTCTATTGAATGCGCTACATCTGACCTACACTAATAAAAACTTATCTGCAGACACTCCCACTGTCCTATCACAGAAAATTATAAGCATTTACCATAATTTTGATGTTTTTTTAATAACATAACATATTATTATTATTTAGTAAATATTAGAGCCTCGCTGTGGTCAAGTTACTACAGCTCGAAAATGGTCTGTCTCGTGGAAGTACCACCCTCTCACTGAAGATCGGCGTGAAGTAGTCTTTAATTGATGCGTTTCAGATGAGTGAAAGAGACGGTTGCTCTATCTCTTTCGCACTCATTCCTCTGTCTCATACAATCAAGGTTCGCAAATCATCCACAACATCTCTTATGTTGCAGACCTTACCTTACCTTACCATAAAAACTTTGTTAACTAAACCATTGAAAAGTAACATTTAATATATTTTTGTATGTGTGAGAATAAGTGGTGGGGAGAACGAAATAAAACATCAATAAAATTATTAAATATTTAATTACATTTATACAGATAACGTGAGCCCGATCCTAACAAAAATGTTTTCTAGTACAACTTATTCCATATCTCGATTCTGGTTACCAGTAGCCAAATGACTTACGGATAGCCGAATGACATACCGATAGCCGAATGAGTTACTAATAGCCAGACAAGCTACCAGTAGCCATACCAGTAAAAAAAACAATACAACCACAATAAATACACAAGGAATGTTCAAAACATGTGTTTAAGTTTCAATAATGTATCAATTCTATTGGCACTGTGTATAAAGACTTATTTTTGATATGTAATAAGCATTAATAAGGAACTTAATAGTTCTAATCACTGTACGGACTCTATACATGATATATTACAACTACAGTAAGCAAACCCCGGAAACACAACATATATGCTTTAAATATAAACACACACCCGCATTATAAAACATACATCATAATAACCCATGTTTAATTTATATTAAATAGTTTTTAATTAAATAAAAAATATATAATTAATAAAAGCATTGGAGATTTTAATAATTGGACCCAGTGTTTAAAAAAGTAAGAAGAAAAAAAATATCACAATCACACTTCTATTGGAGAAAAAACGGCCGTTCGGTTTAAAAAACGGACGGACTGAAAATTATGCAACTTTCCCATAAAAATAGTCGTCTCACATGATTCACTTGCGATTTTTAAACCTTATTAGCATTGAATAAGGTCTTGAAGGCACGATATAATAATTTTGGTATATAAATAATATTTTTTTTACAGCAACAAGTGTGAACTATAGAAATTAATATGGCTACGATTTGTTCGATTAAATATAAAGGGATAACTAAAATTATATATATAGAAAAACAACTAATATTGCATGCAAATTAACTAAGTGTTTGTTCGTTACATATACATATATATATGTATATAATTTCTACTTAACATAATTTGAGAGCATATCAAGGTACTTAACATAGCATCCCCAAGTATATTATTCTATGTTGTAAATATTTTCATTCATTTTCTTCATCTAATTATTATATTCCGTCTCCATATCTAATGCTGTAATCTTTCTGATGAACTCTGCTCGTTGTGATGGACTCAGTTTCTGGAAAAATATTATATATATAAGCTTTTATAATTTAAAAATATATAATGATTTTTTTTTTAACAAATACTCTATATAGTATAAAAAGTAAAGAAACTTTGAAAGTTATATAAAAAATGAATCCTTTTTTCCTTGGTAACCGCATCACTTGTGAATGGGTGGACCGATTTCATTAATTCTGTTTTTGATGTATTTGTTATTATTAGGAGAAGGTTCTTATGTAAGAAAAAATTACTCAAAAAAAAATTAATACAATATTTCACTTTTTTTTAACAAAATAATGTGTCACTGGCAATATGTAATATTGACTTAGTTGACATTAAAACAAAGAAAAAATCAAAACAAATTTACTTTTTCTTTGTAAATATAGGGCTTGATTATAGGGCTGTCTCAAAACTCTTTAAAATATCTCTTGTGTATATATATATATATATATATATCTCAGCCTATCAGAGCCCACTGCTGAGCAAGGCTTCTTTCTCACATGAAGAAGGTTAGAGCATTAAACACCACACTTGCTCAAGACGGGTTGGTGATGTCAAACTTATAATTGTGAAACTATAAGTCCAGGTTTCCTCACGATGTTTTCCTTCACCGTCTGTCAGTGATGTCTAAATACTCTCAGAAAGTACATATGATTCCGAAAAGTCACATTGGTACTTGCTGGGTTTGAACCCGCGCCCTCGGCAACGAGAGGCGGGCCCCTTAACCACTAGGCCATCACTGACTATACAACACTATATATACAACACTAGTTAACTCACCCGAACCAACTCATTGCATGCCTGCAACGCAGCATCCTCAGCGATAGCCCTCAGATTTCTCTCCAGAACCGATTCATTATCCATTACTTGTGATTCCAGCCAGCCACAGACCGCTTTATTATCATGCTCCCACTGATGTGATTGTGTTTCTCCCCGGTCTTCTGTAAACCATCTTCTCAAAGTGGCAGCCGCTGCCCGTTGGTCCATTTTAGCTGGTCGGGTTGCTGTTTGTACTCTTCTCTCCTGTTCGTTCTGTAGTAATAACCTTTTCAACCTCCAGTGTAGTAGATTACGGGATTCGCGCCATGGTATTATGTCCTGGGGATAGAGATAATAATATAATTAGATTTATTGATTGATTGATTATATACTTCTACTTCTACCTGGCAATTTCCCAGCTTTAGCCAGGGTCTGCCTTACATGTTGTGAGTGAATAGTTTTGGCTAATTGTTTTTTACTTCCGGCCGCCTGCCTGACATAAACCCTCTTTTGGAAATTCATTAATCAGTGATGTCTAAATACTCTTAGAAAGTACATATGATTCGGAAAAATCACATTGGTACTTGCAAGGATCGAACCCGCGCCCTCGAACATGAGAGGCGGGCCTTTTAACCACTAGGACACCACTGACTTGGATTGATTGATTCTATATATTCATGAGATTTATTGATTGATTAATTATTTATAGTTCCCAAAAGAGGGTTGATGTCAGGGAGGCGGCCGGTAGTAAAAACAAATAGATTATTCACAACATGTAAGGCAGACCCTGGCTATAGCTGGGAAATTGCCAGGTAGAAGAATGAGATTTATTGAAATGTATATATATATTTTTGGATGTACTAAGCATATTTTATTATAGATAGCAATTTTTGCTGTAAATTAACCAAAACATTGAGATATATGTAGTTTTTAAACATAATAAATTACGTGAAGTAGTCTCGACATTAATATCTTTTTTGAAGGACAATAAAAAATAATACATGCCATTACAATGTTATGTGACAGTAGCTTTAAAATTACAAAAAAAATGTTGTCATGACTCACATATATATTTCAGTCATAGACAATATACATACAAGAATATTAATAAAATTTGTATATAAAATTATATATTTTACTTACAAATATACAACCCTTTTCCAACATCCTCTCAGCTGTATCGTGGAGCTCAGCAAACTGTACCGCTATCTGGAATATACATGTATAATTTACATATAGTATATAAGTGTATAAAAATCTAGATTTAATGTTATATATACATATATATACTAGAAGACCCGGTGAACTTCTTATCTCCCTATAATCAAGAAATACCTATCTGTTATGTTTTTTATTTATATTTTTGGAGTTTACCTTTTAAAGCTATAAATCTCCGTGTTTTGAAGTGCGACAGAATGATTGACATATTAGTAAGTTGTCAAATTTAATGTCAAAAAAAAAGTTTGTATCAACAACTACTAATAAATAAAAAATTAATTAAAAAAACATTGTCCATCGGACAAAATTGTGAATCTAAACCATTCCCAGGTTCCCTTGAACACAAACAAAAAAATTTCATCAAAATCTGTTCAGTCGTTTGAGAGAAGTTCAGTGACATACAAACTCACAGAAGAATTATATATATAAAGATATATATTATGCTTACCTCGTGATATATAGGACTTAATTCCTTCTCTCTGGCCTTTATAGATTTCTCAGCAGTACTTAATTCTGTCTCCAATTCGTGTATTTTAGCTTCGGCTGCAATAATAATATATTATTATATATCTTCATATAAAAAGAAAGTCGTGTTAGTTATACTATTTATAACTTAAGAACGGCTGTACGGGTTTGGATGAAAATTGGTGGAGAGATAGATTAGAATAAAGAAAAGGACGGGATATTTTTCATCCGATTGAAACAAAATAAAATAAGCTGATCAAATCTATAAACTTATCTATTGTCTTTAAGGAGGAATAGAGTACGCCCAGTTAGATATACATTTCTAATTCTGAAACTAACGCAGACGAAGCCGCGGGCAAAAGCTAGTATATGTATATATATTATATATATTAATATGTATGTATATATATATATCACCTTGTTTCCCAGACTCAGTCTTTATGAGCACGTCATCAATGGATCCCCGCCTGTCCAAGTTCTTTGAGATATCTTTGATTTGTTCCTTAATTTCTGTAAATATATAGTATATATATATGTTATGTATATGAAATAGGAAGGTGATAAATATTATATATAGTTTGTCTTGATTATAATTAGTATGCCACAGATGGCGCTATTTGTAATAATATGTGCAATATCACAAGAGAACATAATATTATTAGTGACATATATATGTTTATATGTGTATGTGTGTATGTGTGTGTGTGTGTAACTCACCACTAACTCTTGAGTTGAGTCTCAGTAAGTTGGGGTCGAGCCTGTTCATAGTTTTGAGTATGTCTCGTTGTTTGAACTTCACTTCAACAATACCCTCTGCTTCTAAAACGCCGCCACTGAAATATATATACATACATATATTAAAATATTATTATCTATTTAGCCTAATAATATATAATGGTTTATATATCTGTTAGTTTTAAGTGTAATAACTACTCAACCGATTTATGAATCCACATGCCTCTATAACTTATATATTCAAATCATTTTATTCTACTTTTAATACATATATTATATTAAAGTGCCCTTCCTTAATACATCTTATATTTAATTTAAATGAAACTAATATATTTTTTGGATTATACTACGCGAGTTCTTTTTGGTAAAAAGCTATATACTTCCCTCTTAATAAAAACAAAGTCGCGTCAAATCCGAAAAATATTATAGTTTCATTTAAATGAATACTCTCGAAAATCGTAGATCTCATTATTACATATAATACTGAAACTATATACCAATATTAACAACTAGTTTCTGAGTTTATCTGTAACAAACATATTATTTATATATATCCTACTAATATTATAATTGCGAAAGTTTGTGATTGTGTATGTATGTTTGTTACTTCTTCACGCTCAGACGGGCGAAGCGATTTTGATGAAATTTTGTATACAGGAAGCTGACGTCCGGGAATAACACATAGGGTACTTTACATCCCGGATATTGGGCTCAGCTAGTATATATATGTTCAACTGACCGTGCTTCATTATCAGCATACATTTCCATTCTCAAGTTATTAACGCTCGGGTCTACAACGGCCCAGGCCCCGCCTCTTAATTCGGCCCCGGGAGGAATGTACACTAATACTGGGGCCGAGGCCCCGCGTAAGGCCCGAACGATTTCAGCACCGAATTTCAATATCTGTTCGTACATATCTGAAATAAAATTAATATGATATGATAATTATAAGGCCTAGTGGTTAGAGGGCCGCAACTAAATGCCGCGGGTTCGATCCTGGCAAGTACCAATGTGATATTTCAGTCATATGTACTTTATAAGAGTTGATATAATATTATTTAGGATAATTATAAGGCCTAGTGTTTAAAGGCCCGCAACTAAAGGGCGTTGGTTCGAATTTGACAAATATCAATGTGATTTGTTCGACTCATATGTACTTAAGAGTATTTAGACATAACTGATTAATGAAGGAAAATATGAGGAAACATGGACTTATCAAATTATAAGTTTGAAATCGCTAACCCGTCTTAAGCGAGCGTGGTGATTAATGCTCTAACCTTCTCCATGTGAGAAGAGGCTCAGCAGTGGGCTCTGATAGGCTGATGATGATGTGTCTATAGTTAATGATTATGTACCTTTCTGTCCTCCACTAAATCCTCTCCAGTTTGCGAATATGATGATGGGCAGGTTCTCTCTTGAGAAGTCATTGATGGCTTGGGAGGTTTTGTAGGCAGAGTCGGGGAACCACACCTAGCAATCAATATAATATGAGATTATAGCTTTTACAGTTTTTGGTTCATGTATATACATACTAGTTTTTAGCCGCGACTTCATCTGTTTTAGTTTCAGAATTAGAAATCTATAGCTGTGGCGGCGCCCTCTATTCCTTCTTAAAGACAGTAGAAAACATTTTGTATTTGATCAACTTATTTTTTTTCTTTTTAAACTTATCAAAAATATCCTATGTCCTTTCTGTTGTTCTAAGCTCAATTTTCAAACAAACCCGTACAGTCGTTCTTGAGTTATTAATAGTGTAACTAACAAGACTTTCTTTTATATATAAATATAAAGTTATTGTTAATGATGATAGTCAATTATTAATCTATCAACCCTCAAGCCGACTATATAAGGAGCGCCATTACTGACAATCTGACACTTTTTGTTCTCAACTATTGTTGAGAGAAGCTCTGTCCTAATTAGTCTTGAATATTAATAAATCGGACATTGGCCGGCGAAATTTTTTTTAAATCATATTTTATATATGTACCTATGTATAATATTTTATATATTTACCTGTCCCGCTTGCTGCACAGTCTTTGCTTCTGAGTCGTAATTGGCGGGATCGGCGGGCAAAGTTAGCTCCACGGTTCGAGTCTCCACTGCTATGATGCCAACCGGGATACCGCCTAGACGACCGCGACCTACACACAGACATACATACATATACATACACACATACATATACAAATATATCACTCATCGAACGAAACGCAGCCATTAAACGAGCAAACGTCCCACTTGATGGTCAGTAGTGACCGTCGCCCATGGACATCCGCGACATAGATGTTAGGGATGCGTTGCCAACCTTGATAGTTGAGGAATAGGGAGGGGTGGGAATAAGGAAATAGCAAGAAAGGGTGGGTAAGGGATAGAGCAACCATCTCTCTCACTCATCAGAAACGCAGCCATTAAAGATCACGCCGATCTTCTGTGAGAGGGTGGTACTTACGGTCGAGCTAGCCCATGTTCGAGCTGTAGTAACTGACCACAGCTAGACTTTACCACAATAAAAATATTCTCTATACATAGTATACTATATCACTTGAGACTGTCCCCCTAAATAAAAGAATTTTGAAATATATATTATGCACAGAATTATGTATAGAATTTTATTTATTAGATCACCAATAAAATACACACTAAAAAACATTCCAGATACATGAATAAAAAATAAGAATTTTGGCTGTATAGGAGATATGGCTTGAATATGAAATTATTCATTGTTAATAGCTATCTCCACTATATATATATGATAAAACACTATACTTTTATAACTCCTATCATTTGTTCCTATATCTCATATTTATAAACATTACATTACTAAATGATTTAGTTATCAACTTATTTTCTTGTTTATAAATATATCTTTAAGAGATGAAACCTCTCATCATTCCATGTATTCACGCTGCGTGTGTCGGGTCCATCGTTGTAGTGAGAGGAGCTTCAACAGTGACTGGGACTTGTGACCCAGGTGTAGGTTTAAGAGACCCTATCTAACGCGTTAGACGCTCACTTCCACTGTCCAAGCTCCTCTCTCTACCAAATTTTAAAAGAACCTACTAGGACTATCTTCTAAATACGTTCTAAGAATGCTATATATGTATATATATATGTACCTGTAACAACAGTCTGCGCCCACGGCCTCATGATCTCATCAAAGGACCCCATGTCCAAAAAGCCGGCTCGCACGCCGTCTCCGGTCAGCATTAGTCGCGGGTCGTGAGCGGCGCGGGGCGGGACCCACTCTACTGGCCGATCTATAGGGTCCGCGCTACGAAGTATGGGGACCATGCTTAGTTTGTCCTGGAATATATACAAAAATAATTATATTATGTTTAATTTTAATTTTGTATAATTTTGATGTCCCCTTTTGTATAATTTAAGTAGAAAAAAAATACATGAAGTGATAACTTTTAACTGAAACATCACTTAGCGAAAAATGTAATTATCTTTATTTTTTTATAACTTATAAATGGTGTATGTTTTGTTAGTTGTTCTTATATAAATAAATAAATTATGGAAATATATATAATAGAAAAAGAATATAAAACAACTTTATATTGATAATATAATTGGTTATTCCTTAGAAATTTCTTTTAAGGTATACATATGAACTAGCTTTCCGCCCGCAACTTCGTCGAGTCGAGTTGGGTTATATCGCATTTCCAAGAGAACCTATCAAAAGTGAAATAAAAACTATCCTGTTCTTTCTCAAGGTCAACTCTGTATGTACAAAATTTCATTAAAATCAGTTCAGTGGTTTAGGCGTGAAAGCGTTACAAACAGACAGACAGAGTTACTTTCGCATTTATAATATTAGTAGAGATATACATCCTACTAATATTATAATTGCGAAAGTTTGTGAGCGTGTGTATGTTTGTTACACCTTCACGCACAAACGGCTGAAGCGATTTTGATAAAATTTTGTATACAGGAAGCTGACGTCCAGGAATAACACATAGGCTATATATATTAGGTCCTATCTATCATACTAGTTCCCCCACCCGGGTTTGCTCACCTTAGGTACATATGCCAGCCACTTGAGCGCCGTTCTCACTGCTTCCAAGTCAGATGGCGCCACAGCGTGTGTCACTCCGTTATTATGCATGATCTGTATTCCTCCTAATTGATTGTTCGATGCGTACACTGAACGACCCAAAACTTTGTTCAACGCCATGTAACCCGTTAAAATTATGTAGGAGGAGTCAACTTGGATGACGCGGTGACCGAGCCTGGAATTAATTATACATTAATATAGGAATTAAATTAATATATAGAAGTAGGAATTTATTTAATCAAATCGATTTCGAAGTCGACTTATAGAATATGTATTGTATGTATATGTAAGCTATTGTGCGAATAGATTATATATAATTTGTATGTAGTGTAAAATTTAAGACACAGATTATATAAAGGATGCTTTATAATCTATATTGTATAATTGAGTTGAAATTAATTTTATATATATAACTATATAAATTGATTTGGTTTATATATATGTTACATAATCTTATATATTCCTACTATTATTATTCTAGTTACATTATATTTAACTCTTATAAGTTATATGATGAAATTATATTGTTATTATGCTATTAAGTGTTTGGTGAGATTTATCTAATGTTAAATAACAATTAATACATATATACTAATGACATTCTATATAATGTCTCCATCTCACTCTATGCATATATTCTCTCTCTCATGTCCTCAAACCTCATATTTATCTCTACACAATTAATTTAATTACTTATTTCTCTATATATTCTATCTCTTTCCCTCCCAATATATCTATCTCCCTCGTACCTCACAACATATGACCCTATGCCAATAGCTCTGCATGTCACTATAGAGATGGTAACTATATCTTCGTAGGCCTGAGCCGTCTCCCCAGCAATGAGGCCAGCGTCTCTCAAACACTCCACGCCTAAACCGTCTTCTTTACCTGGAAAATAAATTATTATTATATTAAATTATTTGATTGGACTATATATGTATATGAATTAATATAGTTAGTTGTAATTGGATTTTCTGTGAATTTAATGTAGATGTATGCAAGTTACAAATCATTAGGCGGGGATTAAAAATTGTTGGAAAATATTATCTTTTTAAGATATAGAAAAAGAAATTGAAAGAAAAATCGCAATAAAATCATGATAGTTTATAAAATGAAATGAAATAAATAATTGGATATACAGTTTAACTCAATTATTACTTTGAACAATTTATTTTTTTCATGTACTTACTTAATTTCTGTACTAAAAATATTTTTTATATCAAACATACTACCTCCCTTAGCAAACAGTACATAAATATTATTACTAATATTGTAGAGACCTATCTTTTATACAAACACTCCCACTCAAACCCACAAGTTTATGGTCCATATATAAGCAAAAAACCAAGAATACCCTACAAAAACATTATACCAGGGTCACTGACCTATGATATCGGTTATCTTATATCTGGATTCTCCCTCATCATCAATCAATTCGGTCTTCACAGAGTTCAATGCCCCCAGCCGTGAATATGCTTCTGGACTGAGGTATAAATATTTAAAACCTCTTTCGGGGCGCTCTGAATCAAGCCAGGCTACTTTGAATTCTGATTTCACTTCTTCAGCTACGCCGATACGTGCGCCGGAATTTACGCTCACGTATAACTGGAAATATATTATAATTAATACATGGATATATTTGGCAGACCCTGGGTAAAGCTGGGAAATTGTCAAGAAGAAGAAGAAGAATACACAAATATATATATATATATATATCTTCTACTTGGCAATTTCCCAGCTTTAGCCAGCGTCTGCCTTAGATATATGTATATATATAAACAAAGTAGTCTCTGAAACCGACTTTGTCTATATTAATAACTTAATTTTGTACTAAATTAAATAACTAAATTATTATGACGCGGTTAAGCCTGCTAGTTTTATAATTCGATATTAAACCCATCATAAATAAGATGATTTTAAATACAATTTATTCAAAATAAAATATTTCTAGTGTCTTAATTTACATATAATTATTATTTTAAGATATTTTAGGGGTGTTTAATACCCCCATAACATACCCGGGGTATTTTGAGTTCTCTAGCGTATTCTGAAGCACGATAATACACCCAGTCCTCTTGGGGTCCAAATGACCCCATATAATGTGTTAGGTCGTTCGCTATCAGCACAACATCACGACCCGACGGCACTTCGGGAGTGTAGAGCGTCAACCGCCACGCCACCATGCCGACCTGGTGGGTAAACATCAATTTTTAGCGTTAGTTATATACTTAGTTAGTTATCTTAAAAAGAATAATAGGAAATAGAACTAGTATCGGGTATATTAGACCCATGTAACTTGGGAAAAGATGATAGATGATCTCAATAAGATTTTTAGCGGTCATATATATGACGTTCTAGTGTACACTTGCGAGCACTTAAAAAAAGTTACGAGGTTTTGTTGATTAGCATCAAAAGTGACCACTTTTTGTTACACTCAGTATACAATTATACATGAACAAATGTATCCCCACTAGGACAAAACCTTGCCAAATTACATGCCTTGCCAAATTATTGCCTATAATATGAAATTTGATCAGTTAAGCAAGTGAATTACTGTATGACTGTATAATTAATTAATTTAAGGCAATCAATGACAATATATTCAGTACAATTGTAGTCTAGTCCAAATAATTTAATAAAATTGTAGAAAAATGGTGCAAGGACCATATTATAGTGAAGTATATCTTTGTACTGACGGTGTTCTATGTTCATCTATTAATCAATTTGAGTGAATCAATGACAATAGTTTCAGAAGTGAAGTATAGCTTGAAGTGAAGTATTGGTAGAAGTGAAGTATATCTGTATACTGACAGCGTTCTATGTCCATCTATAAATCAATTTGAGGGAATCAATGACAATAGATTCAGAAATGAAATATAGCTTGAAGTGAAGTATAACTTGAAGTGAAGTATAGTGTAGTATATCTGTATACTGACGGCGTTCTATGTCCATCTATTAATCAATTTGAGGGATTCAATGACTATAGTTTCAGAAGTGAAGTATATATTGAAGTGAAGTTCACTCACAGTGTTCTGTCCGGGCAGCCTGGTGACCTCCATGATGCGTCTCTCTCCGTCAGTTTCCACCACCAGTTCACGGGAAACCATTACTGTGTCGGGCATCGGACCTAGGGTGCAAATATATGGGTTACTTACTATATTAATATGGAGAATACACGAATAAAGGAATGACACTAATATGGGTTTTAATTTAAATACAACTAATCTACTCAAACTCAACTCGAACGGCTGAACCGATTTTGATAAATTTTGTATACATGAACCTTTAAATTCCCGTATTCACCGAAGTGATGTTAAAGCGATGACATTTGTTTAGTTCATTTTTACTAGTAAGTATTTGTCGACGCAATTTGTCTTTGTAAATTGAATTGAACTTATTCAAGGTGTTTTGGCTTAAGATGATAATTAGTTTGTTCTTGTTAAGATTTGATTTGCTATTTAAAAATACTGGCCTTATAAGAAAACTATTTTTAATGATTTTGTTAGAATCCTATATACATATATACCTCTCGTAAAAGCCAGTTTCTACTATATATGTATACAGGGTGACTGGTGAATTACTATCAATATTTAAGGAGAATACTCGGTACATGATTCTCATTCGAATTATGTAAAAAAAATAGGTACTTAATTTTTGACAAAATTTCCCTATAAATAAATAAAGTGTTGACACGTTCCAAGTGTTCAAGTGTGGACGAGTGCGGAGGCGTGCTGATACAACACCACGTCACGACACGCGTATGTGTGAGTGTCAGTGTATACCTAATCTGTAGGGTGTTCATACGATGCGTAATTAATTACACAACTTTTGGTTAACTTTACTTAGAAGTTTATTAATATTTATGTTTTATTAATTTTTATTTTGTCACATATGATCGTTAAATATCACGTCTTCAAATATCGATAGTAATTCACCAGTCACCCTGTATATGTATGTATAACTATAACTAGCTTTCCGGCCGCAGCTTCGCCCGCGTGGAGTTCGGTTATATCGCGTTTCCAAGAGAACCTTTCAAAAGTCTGGGATAAAAACCATCCTATGTTCTTTCTCGAGATCAACTCTATGTCTGTACCAGATTTCATTAAAATCAGTTCAGTTGTTTAGGCGTGAAAGCGTAACAGACAGACAGAGTTACTTTCGCATTTATAACATTAGTAGGGATGTATTCTGACCGTCCACGATCCCTTCGTCAATGCTGTCCCTCCAGTGTCCCTCAACCACTTGTCGGAACATGTCCGGGATGTCGTACACGTACGTGGTGCCTTGAGATGTAGCCTGGAGATATATGAGATACATGAGATATATATATATATATATATATATATATATATATATATATATATATATATATATATATATATATATATATATATATATATATATATATATATATATATATATATATATATATATGTAACTTGCACAAAACCATAGTACAGTGCGTATGATTTAAGCTGAGCTTTGCATTTGTGTGAGTGCACACGGATAGTGTAGGTGAGATGTTAAAGTTTTGAATGCCACGTTCTTTTCTAGGTTTTATCCGGTTTATTCTGCTTCTACTTTGCCCCGCACCTTCCGCACTTCAGCATTTGTACTGGTAGCAAAATCAAATGTTGAAAACAAAATGTCAAGTGAAGAAAAATTTGTATAGTTTTTTCAAAATTTTTATTAATTAATAATTTTTTTTCCATAATATTCATAATATTTCCATCTGGCCTTTTACAAACTTACATGTTATTATAGCACTTATGTTATGTATCTATTTAAAATATAATAAAATTTAATTCAATAAGTTTTTTGTTTTACTTTCACTCACACAAACGCAAAGCTCAGCTTAAGTCTAACGAACTATACTTGGTAATGAATTAATTTTCAAAGATCAAAGAATGAGTTTTATAAATTAAGAATGAATAGTTATAACAAAATTTTTCAACTTTCTAGTATAACAAATATATGTGCAATCATTCGAAGTCGTGTTATAAAATTATACATGTATTTATATGAGCTTGCATGTAACAAATAAACATACATACCAAAAACCTCTTCTGCTGTAGATAATCCTTTGTGACATAAGGCGTCGATATTGGCAGACCGTGCATTGGACCTTGTTTGGGGCCGAAGGATTGGAATATAATCTGAAACATTATATATATAAATGACTATATATAAAATAATTTATTTACTATGTATATGTGAACTACTGAACAATTATATTTTACCTACATTTTTTTTAATTATTAATTTCTTATGTAAGTGACTATGTTCTTAATGAGACAAAATAAATATTCTTTAAACCTATATATCGCTGGGTCCTATGTATAGGGACCAACGTAGCAATATGAACATTTAAATTTTTTTGCATAAAACATTTCATAATATGTATTTTACAAAATCCATTTAGAAAAAACATATTTGTTGGTGGGAAGACTTAGTTTTTATTGCAATTAAAGGGCATAAGTAACACACTTTAATCTATAAAGACGTATATAAATTATTTAAAAAACTAGTAAGTTCACAAAAAAGTTTCATCAATTTAAATGACGTATATGTATATCATAGTTGGTATACAAACTTTCAAAAGCATCAGTTGTATGTACAAAAACATTGAAATCAAACTTAAAACGTCTCTACTGAACAATTGACATTTTGCACATTGGACCTTATACATAGGAACCATCGATATATAATACATATAACCTTGCTACAAATCTACTGCCTAGTACTACCAAAGTTATAGTAGAATTTTTTAATTATTATAGTAGAAGTATAGTATAGTAGTATTTTACCACTCCGGTCCGTGGGTCGACTACTTCCTCGTATGTATACACGTCCAGAGAGTATCCCGAACCATTTGACAGACAAAGACGGACATTCTTCGTAGGCACGCCGGGGCCTGGAAATAAAAAGAATTATACAGGGTGACTGGTGAATTACTATCGATATTTGAGGACGTGATATTTGACGATCATATATGACAAAATAAAAATTAATATAACATAAATATTAATAAACTACTAAGTAAAGTTAACCAAAAGTTATGTAATTAATTAAGCATCGTGTGAGCACCCTACAGATTAGGTATACACACACTCACACAAACGCATGTCGTGACGTAGTGTTGTATCAGCACGCCGCCGCGCGCGTCCACACTTGAACACTTGGAACGTGTCAACACTTTATTTATTTATACGGAAATTTTGTCAAAAATTAAGTGCCTATTTTTTTTACATAATTCGAATGAGAATCATGTACCGAGTATTCTCCTTAAATATTGATAGTAATTCACCAGCCACCCTGTATATATATAAGAAAATCTAAGATTTTCGCCAGTTTTATTCTTCTTTTTCCTAGCAATTTCCCAGCTTTTTAGCCAGGGTCTGCCTTACATGTTTAAAATTGTTTTTACGACCGGCCGCCTGCCTGACATCAACCCTCTTTGGGAATGCATTAATCAGTGATATCTAAATATTCTTATAAAGTACATATGACTCGGAAAAATCACATTGGTACTTGCTAGGGCCAGTATCGAACCCGCGCTCTCGTGCATGAGAGGCGGGCCTTTTAACCACTAGGACACCACTGACTTATTCATTTAAATAAAACTAATATTTTCTGATTATACTAAGCAATTTTATATTTGTAAAATACAATATACTACCGACGTTTCATATCTCGTCTTAATGATCACGGTTGCTGTAAAGTAACCGAAACGTCGGGAGTATGTAGTATATAACAAAAAATGTAAAGTAATACCGAAAATATTACTTACATTTAAAAGCGGTTTATATTTAATTATGTATATGTAATTAAGGTCTAAGGTTTAGTATAAACTGTAAAATCTGAATTACAAAATAGACTAAACTAAACAACCTTCAATTTTTTTAAATTCTAGTTTAAGTCATTTGAGATAGTTTCCTTATTTTTGTATATCATTATATTCTATTAAAATATCATCATATATGTTCATATACAGACATGAGATTTTAAATGTTCATTATTACAAGTATTCATCTGTTTCATAAGTCATATTTGATCATAAAGTAAACATGAAATAATTGAGATTGAATCCTTTTCATCACAATCACATACACCATTAGATAATATTAATATACTAGTGTAATCCCCCGTTTTTCCCTGCCTACCTGTTCTTAAAGTGAATCTAATTTCCGCTTGAAGCACTCTCAATTTCCACAACCGAGGACCATATCTCATTACCATTCCTAGCACGGACTCCTCAATCTGAAAATTATTACAAAATATATCCATACACAAACATTATTAAGAAAACCTATATGGTTATTGGTTACAGGTCAAGATATATTGGTTTTAAGTTTTAAAAATTATACAATCTATTTAGTTGAGCTGTATTTAGTCCAGTAATTAGAGCCACGACTTAATATCTAATATAAAACAAGTTGAGTTAATACTCAAGCATTATAGCTCAGTTGTTAGAGTGACTGTAATATACTATTTGTGTGGTAGTCGGTTCGATTCTGGACTGTGTATATATTTTCATATAATTTTCACCTTAGCAATATCCATAATGACGGTTGGGCCAAAATTAAGGAATATATGGTTGCAGTCAGTTCTCTTGGCGAGCTGATGTGAGAAAGCTACTTCTAGTTCATCCATTGCTTCTAGAAGTGATCTGAAAAATAATACATCATTCAACTATAGTTGAAAATACTACTACAATTGTAATATGAAACTATAGTAGAAGTTTTTATAGTTGTAATATGAGATTCATTCTGATAAAATACATTTATGATCAAACCAGATAGGCATAAAATTTGAGTATTGAAACGTTAATTTGTTAGTCATAATCATTGTTCAATAAAAACTTATATAAAATATGACTAAGTTAGAATAAAATAAATCAGTAATAGTTATATAATATGTATGTATCTTCCTCTTCCTGGCAATTTCCCAGTTTCAGCGAGGGTCTGCCTCACAAGTTGTGAATAGTTTTGGCTAATTGTTTTGACGACCGGCCGCCTGCCTGACATCACCCCTCTTTTGGGAATGCATGAATCAGTGATGTCTAAATACTTTTATAAAGTACATATGACTCGGAAAAATCACATTGGTACTTGCCCGGGCCAGGATCGAAGCCGCGCCCTCATGCATGAGAGGCGGGCCCTTTAACCACTAGGCCACCACTGACTTATATAATAGGTGTATGTATGTATGTATATATGTATGTTTTTATCACCTTTCCCCTTCATTCTGCAGATACTCGAAGGAAGCTTCCTTGGTGATGAGATCCTGGTGCCTGATAATGGATCTGATGAAGAAGCGGTAGTCCGTCACCTCCTGACCTTTCTTCACCTATTACAAAAAATATATATCACTAGCTTTCCGCCCGCAGCTTCGCCGCGTGGAGTTCGGTTATATCGCGTTTCCAAGAGAACCTTTCAAAAGTCTGGGATAAAAACTATCCTATGTTCTTTCTCAATGTCAACTCTATGTCTGTAGCAAATTTCATTAAAATCAGTTCAGTGGTTTAGGCGTGAAAGCGTATTTTCCATTGTTTACTCCCCGCAACCACAAGGGGTGTGGGTGGAATTTCGTAAAATCCGTTCTTAGCAGGCCTCTACTCGGCGAAAGGGATAATCCTACCAAATTTCAAGTCGCTGAGCTGAGTCAATATATCGCTGAGATGAATCAATATAAAGGTGGAAATCTCTTTTACATATATACTAGAAGACCCGGCGAACTTCGTATCGGCCTATAATCAAGAAATATCTGTTACGTTTTTTTATTTATATTTTTGGAGTTTGCCTTTTAAAGCTATAAATCTCCGTGTTTTGAAATACCACAGAATGATTGACATATTAATTAGTTGTCAAATCTAATGTCAAAAAAAACGTTTGTATCAACAACTACTAATAAATTAAAAATTAATCAAAAAAAAAAAAACATTGTCCAGCGGACAAAATTGTGAATCTAAACCATTCCCAGATCTCCTTGAACATACACAAAAAATTTCTTTAAAATCGGTCCAGTCGTTTGAGAGAAGTTCAGTGACATACACACTCACAGAAGAATTATATATATAAAGATCTAGTACCTTGGCCTTTCCTAGATACAAATGCATTTTCTGGTTGCTAGTAGGCAGAGCCTCTAGTTCATAACTCCTCATCCGGTATAATTCCAACTGGAAAGCGGATGCTGGCTCGAGATGACGGTAAATAGTGTCTTCAGAGAAATCATTCCTCGCGCGGTACGTGAAAAACTTGGGGAACTGACGCCTGGAATTAATATAGAATATTGGGATGAGATTTTTAGTCTTATTCATTTAAATAAAACTAATTTCGCGGATATACTACGCGACTTTATTTTTGACTAGCTGCGCCCCGCGGTGTTACCCGCGGATTAAGGGACTTCCGGGATGTAAAGTAGTCTATTTGTCATTCCTGGACGTCAGCTTCTTGTATACAAAATTTTATCAAAATCGGTTCAGCCGTTTGAGCGTGAAGAAGTAACAAACATACACACACACTCACAAACTTTCGCAATTATATTATATTATTAGTAGGATGAAAACTACATACTCCCGACGTTTTGGCTACTTTACAGCAACCGTGATCATTAAGACGAGATGTGAGTATCTGTCAGTTTTTATCAAAACCAAAGTCGCGTAGTATATCCGCAAAATACTAGTTTCATTTAATTGATATAGAATAATGAATAAACTGATAATTTAGTAATTTCAGGTTAATGACCTTTTTAGGAAATAAACTATTCCTTTAAGGCATCTAAGTTTTATAAAATTTTAATGATAACTTGAGGTTAATGACCTCTTTAGAACATAGTCTCTTCTTAGGGCATCTTAGTTTTACAAAATTGTAAGTGGAAACAAAGATATACTACATATATTCATTGTCCGGTACGAACACCATACCAGTAATTAACTCATGCAACTATACAGGGTGACTGGTGAATTACTATCGATATTTGAGGACGTGATATTTGACGATCATATATGACGAAATAAAAATTAATATAACATATATGTATATTAATAAACTTCTAAGTAAAGTTAACCAAAAGTTATGTAATTAATTACGTATCGTATGAACACCCTACAGATTAGGTATACACACACACTCACACATACGCGCGCGGCGGCGTGTTGTTGTATCAGCACGCCGCCGTACGCGTCCACACTTGGAACACTTAGAACGTGCCCACGCTTTATTTATTTATACGGAAATTTGGTCAAAAATTAAGTACCTATTTTTTTTACATAATTCGAATGAGAATCATGTACCGAGTATGCTCCTTAAATATTGATAGTAATTCACCAGTCACCCTGTATATTTTCAACCCGGATTTGCTTGTGAAACTTGATACTAACTTGATGAGCAACATGAATGTGATCCTTCTTATTCGCTTGTGGTGTAATTCCCTCATGTGTACTCTACAGAAGTGTCCGAACCGACGGGACACGGTGACGTCATCACTCTCCCCGTTGTCCCGGACACCGATCATTAAGATGTGGATCGGCTCCAACTCCTGTGGGATAACTGATTGGTTAATATTGAAGCAGGTTTAGGGGAAGAAAATTGATTGAACAATATATGAGGATTTGTAAACTGAAACTAAAGTGATTAAGAACATGTGTATATTTATTCTATTTCATGAAACTCTATAATAATATACCCGTTCATTGTTTAAGTCTTATATACTGACAATAGATGGGTCTAGTAGTTGACATATTTTATATATTAAGTACATATATCTCTGAACATAATTCAGGGAGTTCATATCACAATATAATTCTTAATAAATATCTGTTAGTCGGTGTGCTTTCCATTCCAGATTTTAGGATGTTCATTTTAATTTACGTATAAATTAATTATTACATTAATTTTAAAATCATACTATTATTATATTCTATTTTACATGAAGTTCTGATGTATGTATACAGGGTGACTGGTGAATTACTATCGATATTTGAGGACGTGATATTTGACGATCATATATGACAAAATAAAAATTAATATAACATAAATATTAATAAACTTCTAAGTAAAGTTAACCAAAAGTTATGTAATTAATTACGCATCGTGTGAACACCCTACAGATTAGGTATACACTGACACTCACACATACGCGTGTCGTGACGTGATACAACAGTATCAGCACGCCGCTTCACGCGTCCACACTTGAACACTTGGGACGTGCCAACACTTTACTTATTTATACGGAAATTTTGTCAAAAATTAAGTGCCTATTTTTTTTTACATAATTCGAATGAGAATCATGTACCGAGTATTCTCCTTAAATATTGATAGTAATTCACCAGTCACCCTGTATATGTATATAATATACCACTTCATCTTCAGTATTCGGTTTCAGATCAAGTCCCACATTGATGCTGGTGCTGTCACGATTTTCGCTTCCCTCCTGCAGCGCTTGGAGGTCCTGGGAACATAAACACATACAAACATATACTACATATCAGAAATACAGTACCCACATATTATATATGATTGTTATATAAATAACTGTATGACGAAAATGTTTTTCCCCAATTATATGATCAGAAAACATTATTAATGAATCAATATACTTTAATATGCGATATTGCTAGTTAGATTTAAATATTGCATTACATAGAATCAAATATAATTTAATGTAATTTTTTTTAAAGAAAACGCAAAGGGGGTTTTTCAAGCTCATTTTGTCGATGTCTTGCTGTTGTGCTCATTTTGAGAATAAATGACTTTTGAGCAGCCTTATTTCTAAAGTACTATTATTATCCTATATATGTAAATGAAATTACAAAATCACTATTCACGCCTCTACATAATTTCTCAATATTTTTCTGGGTCTCTTACCGCTTTAGGCGTCCAGTGTCCACAAGGGGGTGTTAGCGCTCACTTTGAGAAAAACTGATAGAAGGCTTAGACAATATTTATGATATATTTTTCATATATAACTAGTTTTGCCCGCGACTTCGTCCGACATTTCGGAATTCGTAATATACATACATATATGTTAAGCTAACCGGGCAAACTCTATTCCGACCCAGAGGCGATAAATAACGAGATATTATAATAACGAGAACAGAATTTAATATATGTCCTTTCCCTTTTTCTAATATATCTCTCCACAAATCTTCAGCCAAACCCGTAAAGCCGTTCTTGAGTTATAAATAGTGTAACTAATACGACTTTCTTTCATATATAAGGATATAATCTAGATTATTTCATCACACTAACCTCACGTCTAACAGTAGCTGAGCTGGCAAAATCGTGTACCAAATCCAGTAACTCATCAGCGTATTCTGCGAACTGCTCGAATGAGTTGAATGCAGCCAAAGCCCCCGTTCTATGGTGACATTTCCTCATCGCAGCTGTTGATAGTTCCGCTGGTACACCCTCTTGATCCTGGGCTGATGCTAGTTCGATTTCTGATTGGCTGATAGGTATCCTGGAAAATTTGTTTGGGACTTTTTTGTATTTTTTTGCATGGGATCATCGATTTGTGATGATAGGTTAAATCAAATATAATATAGCAATAACGTGTTATACAAATGGCAGACAAAAAATACTTGAGTAACCTGCTTGTGATCGTAAATCTTCTATCAAGAAATTAAATTGTTTCTCCGCTCAATAACAAACTTCTAAATTTTCTTATACAGTACTTCAGTTCCAATTAATCAGTTTAACATACATACCAAAAAAAGCAAACATACTTAGTTTACCTTTTAGATTAAGAAACTTTTTGTTCAATAACTGATAATAAGGTCTGAATAAAGGCTTACATTATTATTGTATACCAAACAATTATTTGAAAGAAAAACGCTTACTAAATTTTTTTCTATCGCTTTATTTCTGAATAAATTTTTTGCAACTACCTACATCTCCATAGTAATAAAATTCTTCCCCCAAAATCTTACCTGTTCGGATGTCCTGTGGGGAGCACGAATTGGAAGTGAACCACACCCAATTCCCCAGACAAAGCCAGGTGCTGGAGGCATGTTATGTCGTATGATGTGTACGCGCGACGAACATAGACTTCCAAGGCAGCATTACACACCTAGTTATTAATATTAATTAGTCACTTATAACTTTAGGCTCGTATACAAGAAAAAAAATTCTGTATGTAGCATATATTCATTTAAATAAATAATAATATGTAAAACATTCATAAAACCGTCGGAAAACTTGCACACCTCAAGAAATATTTCATCATCATATCTTTCACAAACTATCGTAAAAAAATATATCTTAAAATGTATAGAGAATTAAAACCATTAACATTTTGAAGATTATTAAGACACTATATCCTATCACTTGTTACTCTATCCCGTGGAAATGCTATTAAAACTTCATCAGTCGTTATGAACCATAATTAGAGTATCATTTAAAGTATAACATTCAAAAGTTTTTTTTTGCCTCTATTGGTAAAAAAATAGGTAAAAATGAAATCATAAAATGGAATAACAAAGACTACATTCCACTTCATAGATATCACATAATGAATTATACTGATATTGAAAGTAAGAACAATAACGCAAACGAAGCCAGGGGGAAAAATAGTATTCATTATTTCAAAACCACATAAATTACAGGTTTTAGAAAGATGATTAAGATCCTTGTAATATAAAGCGTTTAATAATAAGAACAAATTAAATTGCAATTTTGCAATTTTATAATTCATAATTAAATTGCATAAATTACTTACAAGACAACTGGTTTTTATAATATAATATTTTATTCTCTTTAACTAAAAAGCTATCGTCGTTTAGCTTAAGGCGTTCAGAGTATACAGGGTGTAACTTTATTTTTGTTTAATATTTTTCATATAATAAGAGTTATCAAGTGTAATAATATGAACATACTGTACATAGAAGTCTTTATATAAGACGAACGTCGAATATGCATAAATTAATATACTATTCAGAAATGGAGTGTTGGAAAGGTATTTTTCTTTAAAAAATACTAAAAATTCGATTACGACCAATTATTTAGTATGTAGTTTTTGTGTTTTTGCTGATAAAAATGTTTTTTTATGATGAGATTGTTTTAACTAACTGTTTAAAGTATAGAAAACCTTAAAAAAATAGCGTTATACATTGAATATATGATTTTATTTTTTATTATTACTCTTAGTATAATTTACATTACGATTATACTGCGAGTTTCAAAGTTTCTAATTAATGGACCATAAGTTCCTTATTGTCCGGGATATGTAAAAAAATATGAATCTTAATAAATTAAAACGCGCATTTAGGATACTGATAAGTATCAAAAGAATCTTTGACATTATTATCAACATGAAAGCTTCACTGCCTTTTTTTAAAGCACCAACTCAATATTTTTAACTGCCTACCCTCAAAAACAAAGTATCCAATAAATCCATAAATATTAAGATTCTTTATAGGGAAGACAGTGATTAAATATATATGTAATATTAACATTTATTACAGATGATAAGATTTACAAATCCTTCAAGGACACCTACAAGATCGTAGCCTTCATGATGACAGTCGGCATGATATATCCGAACCCAAAAAACATCAAGCTTCGAATTACTGTGATCTGTGAGTTAATCACTATTTAATTAGTACGTAAGAGGGTTGATGTCAGACAGGCGGCCGGTCGTAAAAACAATTAGCCAAAAATATTCACAACATGTAAGGCAGACCCTGGCTAAAGCTGGGAAATTGCCAGGAAGAAGAAGAACTAGTACGTAATTAATGGACAAAATAATCTTGCTATATAAGGACGGTAGTAAAATTTTAACTGAGTTAATGGGTTTGGCAAATATAGAGAAACAGCTCAACAATCATTTTTGGACTTTAAAAGATGAGGGTTTATTTTATGCATTGAAACACAATTATCATAAAAATAATATTAGCATAACTGGTTTGATACATAATTAAGAGATATTTAATTTCTTATTGGCATATTATATCTATTTTCGAGTCACAAAGTCATAGAATTAGATAAGACAAAATCAAGTGCGAATTCGGACCTAGTCAACTGAAATCTAGTTTTGTAAAATTTATATTTGGAAATGAAACTAAAATCCACGTATGATTCTAAAGGTAGCACTTCACTTGGCGTTGCGTATTCGTATATCCAAATATTTGTACGTAGTCCAAATAGCCCAAACACTACATCCACACTTGGCATCACAACACGTCTTTACGCGTTTCCGCTTATTTGCGTATGTGTATTATTTGTGCAAACATGTCAAATGAAGACGAATAAATCCTCCACACATGGTCTTATTTGGCCAAACACAATAGACGCCAAGTAATGTGCCACTTTATGATTGCTCACATTCAAAACCCTTAAAGGATAGGTAAAAAAAATATTGATATTCAAAAAAACATTTTGGATCCACGGACGGATAGACAGAAGAAAAATAAAACTAGATCGAACTAAACATATCCCAACCACACTCAATTGTATTTATAAGTGATTGTTAGTTTTTACGACAGCTAGTTAAGGACATCGAAGACTTGAAAACAGTATTGAAAAACGCCTACAAATACAATAAGGAAGTTTTGAATAACCTTTATTTTGTTTTATAGCTGTTTTGTTGTTCTATTAACAAATTGCATAGATGCACTCTTGCAAAACCTATTGGTTAAGATTAGGAATATAATCCATCCAGTATTAAATGGAGATGATGAGGATTTGGAAATAATTTTGAAGAAAACCTTGAAGAACTACGTAAAAACCATTGGGGTTGAATGATAGGGAATATCTTGAAGAACGCGTATTCCAAGTTTTGTATATTTGACAAAAAATACCTCATTCAGAATATAAATGTCTAATCAAACCACTTACGTAATTAAATTTAATATCTCAGCAAACATATCCTTTGTAAAATTGTACTATAATTAAGATTCGGCCAAATATAATCTAAGCCCACACCTTCTTCCTGGCAATTTCCCACCTATAGTCAGGGTCTGCCTTACATGTTGTGAATAGTTTTGGCTAATTGTTTTTACGACCGGCGGCTTGCCTGACATCAACCCTCTTTGGGAATCAGCATTAACCAGTGATGTCTAAATACTCTTAGAAAGTACATATGACTCGTAAAAATCACATTGGTACTTGAAAGGGCCAATCAACCCTCTTTTTGGGAAATATATACTCTAAGCAAACAGTACACTTAGAAATAGATTTATGTCTTGAATATTTTCAGTGTTCGTGTTACTGAGCACAGCGCCGATGTGTTTCATAATATTGGTAGACATCTACAACTCATTCTGGAGAAGAGATATTTTCAACATCATAAGGCATAGCACGATCGTTGGACCTTTCTTTGGAGGACTACTCAAAGTAAACTCAATTATGATATCTTTTAGAATATAATTGACAACCATGGTACAAGAATACTTGCCAACACGATGTAGAAAATTCTTGACAGAATCTCCATAGATTTGACAGATTGTTGCTAGCAATGATGATTATTTTTATATGTTTTAAAATATGAACGTTAAAGAATTTTCGCTTTTGAACCTTAAACTTATGTCCAGAACTCACATTAATTCATTCTTGGAGCGTACGTCAAAGGCAGCCCTAGTAGGTTCTTTTCAAATTTGGTAGAGAGGGGAGCTTGTACGGTGGAGGTGATCGTTTAACGTTAGATAGGGTCCCTTAAACCTACACCTGGGTCGCAAGTCACAGTCACTGTTGAAGCTCCTCTCACTACAACGATGGACCCGACACACGCACCGTGAATACATGGAATGATGAGAGGTTTCGTCTCTCTATATATATTAAACCTACACCTGGGTCACAAGTCTCAGTCACTGTTGAAGCTCCTCTCACTACAACGATAGACCAGACACACGCACGGTGAATACATAGAATGCTAAAAGGTTTCGTCTCACTGATATGCAAAACATATTCCAGATGTTCATAATGCTGTACAAGACGGACACAGCGAAAGCATTAATGGATGAAATCGACAAAGACTATCAGAAATTTTGCAAACTACCAAAAAATTACACAAAAATCATTGACATCAGGATAGCTGATAATATATTTTACAGCGAGAAATGTTGGGTTTTGACTGTTGTTACATGCACCATGGTGTTCCCAGGAACCGCTGTTGTAACGACCATATACAACTGCCTATTCTCTGACTGCCAAAAAGTCATGATACATGAGGTCGCAATCCCATACATAGAACTGGAAACTAATTACCAAACGCCAGTTTATGAGCCGATGTTTGTGTACCAGTTATATATATGCGCTATATTCATCGTAACTTTTGTTGGTTTGGATGGTTTCTTTGGTCTGTGTGTTAATCACGCCTGTCTGAAAATGGAGTTGTATTGTAAAGCTGTTGAAGAGGCTTTGGGTGGGGATGACGAAGTGATGATGAGGAATGCTGTCGTTGAAGTTATACGGGAGCAGAACAGGACAGCGAGGTGATCAAGACATATATATATATATCCTACTAATATTATAATTGCGAAAGTTTGTGAGTATGTGTATGTTTGTTACTTCTTCACGCTCCAACGGCTGAACCGATTTTGATAAAATTTTGTATACAGGAAGCTGACGTCCAGGAATAACACATAGGCTACTTTACATCCCGAAAATCTTGGAAATCCGCGGGTAACACCGCGGGGCGCAGCTAGTATATATATATATATATATATATATATATATATATATATATATATATATATATATATATATATATATATATTATGATGATGCCCTTTCCCTGTTCCCAACCTTTCCTTGTATTTCCTCATTCCCACCCCTCCCTTTTCCTCAACAAGTAAGGTTGGCAACGCATCCGCAACATCTATGTTGTGGATATCCATGGGCGGCGGTCACTACTGACCATCAAGTGGGCCGTCTGCTCGTTTGCCACTTTTTAAATAAAAAAAAATATATACTAGAGAACATATGTATATTCAGGAATTATTAGTATTTTTGCTATTATATTAAGCAGAAGTCTAGTTTACCTTTTTTTTATTATATTAATTATTTATAATGTTAAAAGTATGGTTTGCAGATATACTGAATTGATACAGGAGACTTTTAACATATGGTTGGGCATCATATTGTTGGCTACTATGATACAGATAGGAACTTGTATGTTCAAATTAATAGAGGTATGTATGTATATATATACAGAGAAATTAAGCAGTAGTATTTATAATCATAACATACTTAATTTGTCAATAAATGTGTACAAGATATATTTATATTGACCTTTCTGCTCTAATATATGTTTTTTTTGTAAAACCTATAAACATAGCGATATCTCACTAGTCGTAGGATCATTCGATCCTTTGACTAGTGAGATATCGCTCAATGACTTAAGTTATATATGTTTGTATGTTATACATGTTATTATAAAAAAATATATAAATTTTATGTAATATAATATATTTATGTAATATAAAATATTTATGTAGTATATTTATGTATTCCAGGGCGGTGACATGGATTTTAAATACATTGTATTCACTATAGGGATCATAATACATATTTATCTGCCGTGTAGATACTCGGCTAAGCTGAAAGATATGGTAAGTGGCTGTGATGACGGAAAATACACACACACACACACACACACACGCACACACACACACACACACACACACACACACACACACACACACACACACACACACACACACACACACACACACACACACACGCACACACACACACACACGCACACACACACACACACACATACACACACACTACTTAATATTATTTAATACATATTCCAGTCTACAGATACAGCGACTCTTATATACTGTTCGGGCTGGGAACATGTTCCTTCAAAGACTATACGAAGAATGATACTATTCATGATAGCCCGAGCCCAGGTACTTACATATATATTAATTGAATTGATTGATTTGCATGTTTTATTTATATATACATATAGTAATAACATAATAATTAGATCAAAAGTATGTATTCATTGAATAAGCAGAAGAAAATTGATAGTAGAATTTTATATTAAAAAATATATGATTAAATTATAATTTTCTCATATATATATATATATATATAATGTCAATATTTTTGTAATTTCCAGATCCCTACAGAAATAACAGCTATAAACATATTAATATTCGACATGAATCTGTTTGTCAGAGTGAGTATGAAGTATATTACATTTTAAATGTACTGTACCAAGTAAAGTTCTTTTAAAAATGAATTCTTTATGTTATAATTGCCTTATTTGTTTCAGATAATGAATTCTTCATATTCAATGTACACTTTACTTAGATCTTAGATAAAACGCAACGCTTTGTAATCATAATAAAACATTTCTTATAACTGCACAGATTTTGTCTGAATATTTAATAATTATATTCGATTTTCAACAAATATATAAACACTTAATTTTAAAAATCACTTCGATATTTAAAATAAAACCTAGAATTTAAACTGTATTAGCTCACAAAAAGTCACGGTCTACTATTTTTTTAACTGGTCTACTGAGTTCTACTATGGTCTACTCGGTCTACTCACCGCCGCGTTCGTGTGATAGAAGAAATCGTGTAGTATGTCGAATATCGATGTCTCAGAGAGGATAAGCTTCTGAAGGTTCTCCGGATGGAAGTCATGTCCATACATGTCCACCGCGGATAGAAATATTGATTCCATTTGATTGTGACGTAGTTCGTAGGCGGGCTGGTGGGCCGCTATCAACACCTGGATAAAGGTATATATATAATTTAAATCTATTATAGAGAATATAAGTAACGATAAATATATTTACAACATTTAAAATCATATAACGCTTTAACTGACTTTTCAGGGTTTTTTTTATAACAATATATATGATGAATTGAAATGCTTAAAATGTTAATCATAATTTATAAGTATAATATTCAAATATTGATTAATTAATAAAAGATAGTATTTGAACATACTTAATATGAGAAATATATTTAATATTTATTATTTAATAATAATTCATTGTTTTTCTATATTCAATGGTAAAAATAACAATAATGAATTGGAATAACTAGTCTTTTCATACACTTTGTAACTCAGATTTTGTTCAAAACCTTTCAGATTTTCTAAAGTCTACTGATTTCTATTAAGGTCTACTCGGTCTACTCGGTCTACCGTACCTGTCTAGCCCTCAGCGCTACCCGACTGTGTTCAGCTCGGTGTAACGAGGTCAATTCGTTGAGAGTGGCCGCGAGCTCATCGGTAAGACCTGGCTCATTAGACCACAGATGGTCTATCAACATTGTTACCTAAACAAAAATAACTTTTAGACATACAATTGAACAGAAATAGTTCAAATTAGCTATAAGAATTAATAAATAAATTTACTAATAATTAATTATTATTTTATTCATGTTAAGTAGAATCTTGTAAGTATACTATATATTTTTGAGATGGTAGAGCCTAGTTGAAATCTAGTTACTACATCTCGAACATGTTCTGTCTCGACCGTAAGTACCACCCTCTCACAGAAGATCAGCGTGAAGTAGTCTTTAATGGCTGCGTTTCTGATGAGTGAGAGAGACGGTTGCCCTTTCCTTATTCCCTCCCTTTTCTGACAATTCCTTATTCCCATTCCTCCCTTTTCCTCAACAACTAACCACAACATCTCTTAATTAGCAGATATCTATGGTCGTCATTGACTACTGACCATCAAGTAGACCGTCTACTCGTTTGACACCTTTAATATAAAAAAACTACTATGTCTACTAACCAGTAGATTCTTCTTGGCTACTTGATTGTGTGAGAAAATGATGTTAGCGACGGCCTGCATGTCGTCCTTGTAACGGTCACGTAGCGCCATTACACATTTGTCGTACGAACCTAATAATTAACAATATTAATATATAGCGCTATATATATGTATTTATTAATATACTTATGGATATACAAAACTTAGTTAATAAGCTTTATATTACAAACTATATACTATTTTATTCAGTATCAAAATCAAATGACTGCTTGACAAGCTATGTACTAAATATAAATGTATATAATACATTAATTAAATAATTAATTATTTGTCGTTTTATCATATCAGGTATACATACAACGATTATGTACCTCGTATGTAATACAATTAAAGGGATTATTGTAATACATTATAATCTACATAATATATTCTATACTGATAAATTAACTATCTATTCAAAAGTTTAATTACAATCGGTTCAGTATGTTTCGAGTTAAAGTGTGACAGACATCCATACATCCATTCTGTATTTTACGTATTCGCTATATATTAAAAAATAAATGAACATCGCCGGGGCTACATCTTAGTATGTATAATATATAACGAGTGACGCCGCTGACTCCGCGGAACGAACACCAAGCGTGTGAACCAGAAGATTCCTGATACACACAAGCTATGGAATGGTATTGCTATCATAACATCGGGTCAATCATGTAGTCTTAGGTGTAGGTTATAAGTTTTAATATGTAATTCTTATTATAATATACATATTAGTATGTTTCGTAGTTCTTGGACCTACATATATAATTTGTAATATAATATTATTAGGACGTTATCCATAATTATCGTTAAGTTCTGTCGTAATTTTAGCTCATTAAACCTAAATCCCTTACCCAGTTGGAAGTTGCTCTCGACCTGGTAGTACTGCTTCAATAGATCATGAACAGCAGCCTTCATTCTGCCGCGGATTCCGTTCCTGGGTAATACATAGGTTTAAAGAAGTTTATTTCCAAAAAGAAAAAAGTTCGCTTACGAAGGAAATTTTTAAAATTATAACTACAATTAAGATTACAAATAATAAACATTAGTGATATTGAACAAGATCAGTGAAATCATATAATATATGGGTTCTTAATCGTTTTTTTAAATATATTTAGAGATTTTGAATTGACAACACTTAGAGGCAAAGAGTTTTATACAGCTGTGCTCCTTCAAATGAAATAGTTTTAATGCCGAGTTTTAGGTGTTTCTAAGTTATTTCTGTTCTATTATACACATTAAGTCATATCTGTTACATTATATACATTATAGAAGAGTTATGACGTCATTATAAGGCTTGGTACACATTAATGTCCCAAATTACCTACGGACAGAACTTTGAAAGTACAATAGTTGGTTTCAAATGAAGTGTAATAAATATAGTGTGTATGTTATATTATAAAATTAAGTCTAGTGTAAAGTCACCTTTATAAAACATCTCCTGTATACATCCAAATATGGTGGACCACCCATTGGCCCAAGCTTTTTTTATGTTATATTAAAATCTTCTATTATTATTAAATATGACTTAAAGCTACAAGGACGTTTCTTTTCAAACCCAGTAATTTAACCACATTAGACAAATATCTTCAATTAATTAAACTTCTGATAGTTAATTAATATTAAGGAATAGCTAATTATCGTTATACTAAACGTTCCGAGTGGTTCCAATCAATCAATCAATCAATGTTCATAATAACTCACCTATACCGCTGTACTAGCACCACCAAGGCTTGCGTGCTCATGAAGAACACGTCCCTGTCAGCGCGCTTCGCGAGTGACGCCGCGTGGCTGAAATAGTCGAAAAAATATAACATTATACATATATATAAAAAACTAGTATTTGGCAATGATTTTTTCTGTGTTAGTTTCAGATATAGAAATGTATAGCTGACCGGGCGAACTCTATTTCTCTTTAAAGACTTACCGTCTTTAGTATGTCTTTAATATTATAATAAGATTTTGGATTTTAATTTTTATTTCTCAATCGAATCAAAAATATCATATTATGTCCGTTCCCTTGTTCTAATCTATCTCTCCACCAATTTTCATCCAAATCCAAACCCGTACAGTCGTTCTTGAGTTATGACTAGTGTAACTAACATGACTTTCTTTTATATATAAAAATATATATATTTATATATAAATTTTTTTTCTTGTAATTTCGTATATTGGGTCTTAAGATTTTTTTCTTTAATAGTTATATAATTATCACTTAAATTCAACTTCTATTTGTGTGAATGTTGTGTACATCTGTAATGTCACTCATATCAGGTCCTAGATTTGTTTTTTTCTATTTTAGTTTATGTGTGATGTTGATGTACCTTTTAATTAAATAAGTAAATAACTATGTGGTTTGTAAGTGTTGTTTTTATTAATTAGTGTTGTTTTTTTTGTAGAAGTAATTTAATTTAATTAGATTAAGGTGTTGTTATTGTTAAAAACTTTAGACAATGCTGTGAATACCTGTAATAGGTGTACATATGAAGACCTATACTTTTGACTATATTTTTGTGTAAATGTTGCATATGTGTACTGTTGGTGTTCCTGAGTAAAATAAAAATAATTTGTGGTTTGTTAAGTGGTAGATTGTATCTCCTCACTGGTCAATAACGCTGGCTATCTGCTGGCTCGGGAACTGCGCCAGCACGCTGGTTATGTTGCTCTCATACAACGCCATCAACTTGCGAACTTTCTTTTCCACTGAAACCGGGATCCGACCCGACGTTGATGACAACACCTGCAATAGAAGAATATATATATGAAGAATTTGATTATCACATTTATATTTTTATTGAAAAATTATATCTTTCTTACTGTTCAAAATTGAGTATTAGTACATTTTACAATATTTACAGAAGACGGAGAATAAATACCTACAACTAACAAGATTATTTTTACATTTAGTGCTCCGGTAATCCCTACTAATATTTTAAATGCGAAAATAACTCTCTCTGTCTGTCTGTTACGCTTTCACGGTTAAACTACTGAACTGATTTTAATGAAATTTGGTACAGACATAGAGTTGACCTTGAGAAAGAACATAGGATAGTTTTTATCCCAGACTTTTGAAAGGTTCTCTTGGAAATACGACATAACCGAACTCCACGCGGGCGAAGCTGCGGGCGGAAAGCTAGTAGTAAATAATACAACAATATAAGTATTATTTAATTTGGTTTGACATGAAAAACCTGTGCCTAGTATAAATACTATGTCATTTGATTTAATTATTCAGTACTGTAATAGACACTCAATTATACGGACTCTTGCTAGTATAGTGTTATATCCTTGTATAATAACCTATTATAACATATGTACATGTATGTGGATGATATTATTATGAAAAGTAAAACAAAATATACATATACTAGCTTTCCGCCCGCAGCTTCGCCCGTGAAGAGTTCGTTTATATCGCGTTTTTTTTTAAGAGGACCTTTCAAAAGTCTGGGATAAAAACTATTCACAACATGTAAGGCAGACCCTGGCTATATCTGGGAAATTGCCAGGTAGAGGAGGAGGACTTATCCCTACTAATATTATTAATGCGAAAGTAACTCTGTCTGTCTGTCTGTTACGCTTTCACGTCTAAACCACTGAACTGATTTTAATGAAATTTAGTACAGACATAGAGTTGACCTTGAGAAAGAACATAGGATAGTTTTTATCCCAGACTTTTGAAAGGTTCTCTTGGAAATACGACATAACCGAACTCCACGCGGGCGAAGCTGCGGGCGGAAAGCTAGTAGTAAATAATACAACAATATAAGTATTATTTAATTTGGTTTGACATGAAAAACCTGTGCCTAGTATAAATACTATGTCATTTGATTTAATTATTCAGTACTGTAATAGACACTCAATTATACGGACTCTTGCTAGTATAGTGTTATATCCTTGTATAATAACCTATTATAACATATGTACATGTATGTGGATGATATTATTATGAAAAGTAAAACAAAATATACATATACTAGCTTTCCGCCCGCAGCTTCGCCCGTGAAGAGTTCGTTTATATCGCGTTTTTTTTTAAGAGGACCTTTCAAAAGTCTGGGATAAAAACTATCCTATGTTCTTTCTCAAGGTCAACTCTATGTCTGTACTAAATTTCATTAAAATCAGTTCAGTGGTTTAGACGTGAAAGCGTAACAGACAGACAGACAGAGTTACTTTCGCATTAATAATATTAGTAGGGATAAGTCCTCCTCCTCTACCTGGCAATTTCCCAGATATAGCCAGGGTCTGCCTTACATGTTGTGAATAGTTTTGGCTATTTGTTTTTACGACCGGCCGCCTGCCTGACATCAACCCTCTTTTGGGAAAAAATTTGTAGGGATAAGTATATGTATATAAAGAACTCTGACTTTGCCTGTACTACTACTTATTATCATACAATATATTTATTTACTAACCTCTTGTAACTCCAGTAAGGGCAGCGAGGGGTCTCTTAAACTTGACATGAACTTCTCCACAACCTCGCGGAGACGAGGAGTGTTGTAAGGCTCGGGGAGACAGTAGCCTGGAACAGACAGGCAGACAGGTCATTATTAGTATTAGTAACACACACACACACACACACACACACACACACACACACACACACACACAAGTACAGATACTTCTTTCTACCAGGCAATTTCCCAGCTTTAGCCGGGGTCTACCTTACATGTTGTAATTAGTTTTGGCTAATTGTTTTTACGACCGGTCGCCTGCCTGACATCAACCCTCTTTGGGAATGCATTAATCAGTGATGTCTAAATACTCTTATAAAGTACATATGACTCGGAAAAATCACATTGGTACTTGCCAGGATCGAACCCGCGGCCTCGTGCATGAGAGGCGGGCCTTATAACCACTAGGCCACCACTGATTTACACACAAGTACAGATACATACACAGTAATTTATTAACACTTCAATGAACAAAAAACTTTTCATGAAGCATATAGTAGTGAGATTCAGGTCATCTGTTGGATATAATTCCTTATTATTTCTTTACATGTAATAACACAAATTAATTATTTATAGCAACTGCAGAAATACTATATGAACATGAAATATCTAAATCCATGGATTTATTAGTTCCTCACATACTATTAATATTTATTTATTAATTTAGAACTACCAACAAAAGATACAATAATTCGTGTACAGCAGTAATTTTAGTAATACATTTCAATTGTTCTTTTACTTACAGGTAATTACAGCATGCAATTTATAAAAATAATAGACATTCAATTGTGTAAAAAAAACATGATTACAATGGAAAAAAAAATGGAAAAAAGCTAGTAAAACTATATAAGAATTACATTAAATAATCAAAGTACGAAGTAATGGTGTCAAAAAACTATACATACGTATTATATATACATACCAGCAAGTGTGTTTTCCAGTATATATCTATATTTGTTGTGTGCGTGGTTTAATTTCTCTGTTAAGTTGGGATTATCTTCGTGTGGGAACTGACCCTTGTAGGGCTGGGCTGTGGTCACTAGCGACGGATCGTCTAACTCTGAAATATAATACAAACACACATATATAAAATGAAAACTATTAAAATTATTAATATTTATAACTGAACTAGCTTTCCGCCCTCGTCGAGTTCGGTTATATCGCGTTTCCAAGAGAACCTTTCAAAAGTCTGGAATAAAAACTATCCTATGTTCTTTCTCAAGGTCAACTCTATGTCTGTACCAAATTTAATTAAAATCAGTTCAGTGGTTTAGACGTGAAAGCGTAACAGACAGACAGAGTTATTTTAGCATTTATAATATTAGTAGGGATATACATGTACATAAATCAAAAATAAAATAAAAAAGAATTGTATTAAGTTTGTGTCCTAATAAGAATACAATACATTTAAATTCATATTGTTTACAAAATTTATCATAATATTTCAAAGTGAATATGATAGTATGTACATAACTCAAAAATAAAATAAAAAAAGAATTGTATTAACTTCGTGTCCTAATAAGAATAGAATAGTTTTTTGTTTAGAATTGTTTTTTTTAGTAGATTAGGTTTAGACTATAGCGTACACATATAGACCTGCCTAGTCTAGACTAATCTTTATACTGACCTAGTGTACCCATCAATGCTCCCATATCTAACACAGCACCAGGTCTTAGATTCCAGAACACTTTGCCAGATTCTGGCGCTGACAGAGTCATCACCATTTTCATCACCTGATGATGAAAAATAAAATTGTAAAGTACTTTAAACATTAACATCATTAGCTTACTGATTAAGTAATATGTTTTATAACTAAAAATATATTCTTAAGATATATACATAAGTTTTAAACGAGACACGTTACCAAAACCAACTACTCAGTTACAGATCAATCAATATACACGAAAGTCTTTCAGGTCTACTCGGTCTACTACGTTCTTTCGGTCTACTCACCTCTATCTCAGCGTATGGCTGACCCTTGTCCACATGCCCTCCGTCTTCTACCAATGTATTAACAAGTTTCCCAGCAGACGGAGCCCTCAATTTAGAAGGATCTTTCTCCTTTTCAAAGACCACAGTTTGATTTCCGATCACTATCCTATATTTATCTACTTCTTCTTTCAAATACGTTGTGTATGACGCACCGTCGATTGATAGTAGGGTACCTATAGTATAATATAAATTAGCACTTATAATAATATACATATGGTTAATAAATTCTGGTATATAATTAATTATAGTTCAAATATCTTTCAATAGTAGAATCACTTTGTGTACAATAATAAATTTGTTTACTCATTACATGTTTACTAAAGTGCAGTCTATTTGAGTATTATATTAAAAAGTAAGAAATAAATTAAACTTCTTTTTATTTATTTCTGGCTGATTAGTCTACTTTGCCTTTTTAGACTTCTCAGTCTACTCAAACTAATCGACAAATTTGTTACTTTGTATACTCAGTCTACTTGGTCTACTCAATAATCTCCCTGGTCTACTCGGTCTACTCACCGCCGTCAGTCAGCTTATGAACCTCAAGCTCCTTGAAGCTTCCATTCATAGCCAGGAAGTAGGAGGTAGGCCCAGATTTAGTTGCTTGTACTTTGTACTTGTGCCCGGAATGTATAAGCTCCACTTCTACAGTGTTTGAAAGTTGACTTGACCCTTGAATCTGACCCCTGGGTTATAATAAAATAATATATAAGATTTTGGTAATATACTATGAATTTTTGATTTTAAATAGACTAATTTATACATCAGAGACATTTATAGTAATTGGTCATTAAATAAACTAATATAATTTACATGATATATTACTAATTATATAAGATATTGTTTATTAAAAAAAACGAATTACTGCTCTTGTTATATATAAAAGCATTAATATATTAAATGTAACTACAGCGCGCTCTATATTAGTCTTTATTATTGTAATCATCATTTTGTGGAAAGTTATTTGAGATGTAGGACGTAAAGCATACTACATCAGACGTGTTATAAGCATCATGTATATAATATATATAATACATCTTTTATATTGCCATTCTATAGTAATATTAATTAATTTATATCCATACTTCTCCAGAGCGCTCTTAAACTCCAACAGATGAGCTGTGATGAGGTTGTCAGCTATTAGGATTGAGCCGCAGATGACGCCCAGCATCACGTCCGGCTTCTCAGACTGAACCTGAACACACAGACATACATTTATATAAATTATGATGTTTTTTCTTCTACCTGGCAATTTCCCAGATTTAACCAGGGTCTCCCTTACATGTTGTAAATAGTTTTGGCTAATTGTTTTTACGATCGGCCGCCTACCTGACATCAACCCTCTTTGGGAATGCATTAATCAGTGATGTCTAAATATTGTTAGAAAGTACATATGACTCGAAAAAATCATATTGGTACTTGCCCGGGCCAGGATCGAACCCGCGCAATCGAGCATGAGAGGCGGACGTTTTAACCACTAGGCCGCCACTGACTTAATATTAATTATCATAAGCCTTCATTATGTTCTGACATTATATAGAAACATTAAATATGGTCTTAGAAGTAGAAGTCAGTGAAATTGCCAGGTAGAAGAGATTAAATATGGTCAAACAATTATAATATAAATATTCTAATAAATGTTTCCGATACATATTCTATCATTTCTTTTATGTTCTATTATTGTATACTATACATATAAATTGACTATCAGTACAGTCTGATAATATACTATGTTATAAAACCTTATTTTTTCATCCCCTCCACTTACCCTCTCTGCTATGAGAGCGTCGAGCCAGCTAGTATCAATATTATTATCTTGGAAGGCAGGCGTCTCCAACAGTGTAATCAGATATTCAACTGTAGTCCTAAAATCTCCTCGGATACTCAACTCTTTGAGAGCTATCACCAAATTCCTGTTGAAATACACACATATATTAGATAAACCTATATATTCCATAGTAAATTTATACCTACATAATGAGATGTAAAACATTGCCGAGTATTCATTTAAATAATACTAATATTTTTCGGATTACTACATATATTTTATTAGATGATAATTAACAAGACCAACTGAAAATTACATCTCGTCTGTCCGTGATCACGGTTGCTGTAAAGTAGACGAAATTTTGGGAATATGTAGTTTCTAAAAATAATAAAATACATGTAGCATAATCCGAAAATATTAGTTTCATTTATCTTCTTCTTCTTCTACCTGGCAATTTCCCAGGGTTAACCAGGCCTTACATGTTGTGAATAGTTCTGGCTAATCGTTTTTACCGGCCGCTTGCCTGACATCAACCTTCTTTGGGAATGCATTAATCAGTGATGTCTAAACCTATGTATTTCATAGCAAATATATCATTCCATAATGAGGTCTTAGATTTTCGCGAGTATTTATTTAAATGAAACCAATATTTTTCTGATTACTATGGATATTTTATTATTTTTAAAAATCTCGTCTGCCTGTGATCACAGTTGCAAAATAACCGAAAAATCTGGAGTATTTAGTTTTTAAAAATAATCCGAAAGTATTAGTTCCATTTATACACCGAAATTTAATATTTTACTTTAGCTTGACATAATTTTGTTTCAAATTTTAATTTATGCTTTTATATTTATAGAGCAAAATATTCTTACTATAGTCTAAATTTTCCTTACTTACTATGTATACATATGATAAATCTTATATCTTTTTTCTCTATAATAATATTCTTAACAAACTCACTCTCTAGCCTGTTCTCGAGTTTCGCCCCAAGAGAAGCAGTGCCCAAACTGTGAATCAGCAAACTCGTGCAAGCCACCGGAAGCAGCCACACTGAAATAACCCCACACGTTCTTTGAAGACCGGAAGTTGAGCTCTTGGACCGTACCGGAAGAAGGTTTGAAACCTGGGAAGTATGAAACATGATGGCTTAGATTGTAAAGTAGATATAACACTATTACAGAGGTCATAGGTTCAAATACAGCTTAAAGAAAATTATTCTTTATGTATATTAATTATAATTAAACTAACAACAATAATCAACATTGCTTCAATATTTAAACACAAAAAAAATAAGAATGTCATTTAAAAATGAACCAAAAAAATACATATTTTAATATCATTGCTAAAGAAATATACTTATATAAATAATTTCACAGATATGGAGTCATCTATAAACAACACACTACTTTTACAACATTTTAACCCCTCCCCAATCCATATCACAGATTATCACATTTCTATAACCCCCCCCCTCAAAATGTGAGGTCATACATTTTTAAATTTATGTATGTATTTAAAAATAACCAAGAAACAACAGCAATTTTCATTTTTACTTATTAATTATCATTAAATAATAGTCTAATAAAACCAACAAAATCCAATTTTAATATGTGACGTCATAAAATTATTACCCCCACCACGCCCTTTCTCACACTTAAGTCATCCCCTCCCTTCACACTAACGTGTGACGTACTTCATGTATGGCCCCTACTATAGTTATCATTATCCTACTAATATTATTACGAAAGTTTGTGAGTGTGTGGGTATGTTTGTTACTTCTTAACGCTCAAACGGCTGAACCGATTTTGATGAAATTTTGTATACAGGAAGCTGATATCCAGGAATAACACATAGGCTACTTTACATCCCGGAAATCTAGTTCTACTATAGTTATACAGGTTATATACAGGTCTCCTAGAATGGGGTCCAAAGGAAAACACTGTAATAGTTTAAGTTTAAGAAGATTAATTGTATCATTATATGTTAATCTATTATTATGTAAGCATTGTTTTGTTAATAAAGTTTATTTATTATTATTATTATTATTATATATGTGTGTAGTAACCTTCGTCAGGGTTTTCGGAGGTGATTCTGGCAGCTATGACGTGTCCCCAGGGCGAAGGTCTCTGCTTGGGTTCGTCGAAGTCTATCTGCGTCATTCCCCACGGGGATTCCCCGTACAATAGACGTATATCCTTTATGTGGTATAAGGGCAGGCCCATGGCGATCTGAAGATCATTATGAACGTATAAACTAGATATATTTATTATTAGAGTATATATATAGTCTTAGAATCAGCTATATATCCATACTAATATTATAAATGCGAAAGTAACTCTGCCTGTCTGTCTGTTACGCTTTCACGCTTAAACCACTGAACTGATTTTAATGAAATTTAGTACAAAGATAGAGTTGACCTTGAGAAAGAACATAGGATAGTTTTTATCCCAGACTTTTGGAAGGTTCTATTGGAAATGCGATATAAGCGAACTGGACGCGGGCGAGGCTGCGGGCGAAAGCTAGTATATACAGGGTGACTGGTGAATTACTATCGATACTTGAGGACGTGATTTGTGACGATCATATATGACAAAATAAAAATTAATATAACATAAATATTAATAAACTTCTAAGTAAAGTAAACCAAAAGTTATGTAATTAATTACGCATCGTGTGAACACCCTACAGATTAGGTATACACACACACACACACATACACACGTTGTGTTGTATCAGCACGCCGCCGCACGCGTCCACACTTGGAACACTTGGAACGTGTCAACACTTTATTTATTTATACGGAAATTTGGTCAAAAATTAAGTACTTATTTTTTTTACATAATTCGAATGAGAATCATGTACCGAGTATCCTCCTTTAGTATTGATAGTAATTCACCAGTCACCCTGTATATACTATATAGATCAAAAACAGCATTGTATTTATATACTCTAGTAGTAAAGGCTTAAGTGAAGATCATAAGATTAAATATTAGTGATTACATCTATATGATTTAATATTCTACTGAAATTTAATCTACTTAAACTTAAAATCTCTTCTGTCCATGATTACGGTTGTTGCAAAGTAACCGAAATTTCGGGAGTATGTAGTTAAAATAATAAAATAAAACGTATTACATAATTATAATATTAGTATCAATTAAATTTCTAGTCTACTGGGTCTACTTTACGATTGCTGCATAGTAACTGAAACGTCGCGAGTATGTAATTAAAATATTCAAAAACGCCTAGTAATCTAAAAATATTAGTCTCATCTATCTGGTCTACTAAGTCTACTAGGTCTACTGTGTCGGTCTACTCACCTGTAGCTGCGCGGCTGGTAGGTTAACATCCGCCACCATTTCCGTACAAGGATGTTCTACTTGCAGGCGAGGGTTTAGTTCTAGGAAGTAATAGGCTCCTGTCAGCGGCTCATACAGATACTCCACAGTACCAGCGCTCACGTAACCGACCATTTTCGCTAAACGAACAGCCGCCTGGGAAGAAAATATATCATTATTATTATTATTATCATCATAATATCATCATCAGCCTATCAGAGCCCACTGCTGAGCTGCCTCTTCTCATATGGAGAAGGTTTGAGCATTAATCACCACGCTTACTCAAGACGGGTTGGTGATTTCAAACTTATAATTGAAATAATAAATCAATGTTTCCTCACGATGTTTTCAAATACTAAACACAAACAAACAAACACCAAATTATTATTGTATTTTAATTTAAATTTTGATTTCCTACAATTATTATATTTTGCATGATGTGATAGCCTATAATTAAAAGGACATTTAAGTTATAATTTGATAATGTAATGAATGTAATAATGTTTTCTTTTGTTGGTTATCCAAATAAAATAAAAAAATATATATATTATCTGTGGTTCATTAACGAAACTCTTGCCAACAACAGACTGTAGAATAGATTACATTTATTTCAATTGTGATACTATCTTTATTTGTATTTATTTTCTTACAAGTTAGTCTTGAAACAATGAGTTCACCAAAAATCTATTTCTACCCTTTCCTATTATTATTTATACTTTACTAAGTTTAATTTCTTTTAATCCCCCCCCTACCTTTTCCATTTCAATGAACACTTCCGGCTTGGCGACAGCCGCTGGCGCTTCCTCAATGATCTTCTGATGCCTTCGTTGAATTGAACAGTCCCTCCCGAATAGAGATATAGCGTTACCTACACACACACATACACATTATTATTACTATTAAATAGTACTAAGAGTATAAATTACAAAAAATTGTTAGCTTTTAGGGATGTACTTTTATGTCGTCATCATCCTATCAGAGCCCACTGCTGAGCTGCCTCTTCTCATATGAAGGAGGTTAGAGCTTTAATCACCACGCTTGCTCAAGACGGGTTGGTGATTTCAAACTTATAATTATGAAACTATAAGTCCAGGTTTCCTCACGATGTTTTCCTTCACCGTCTGTCAGTGATGTCTAAATACTTTCATAAAGTACATATGACTCGGATATTTTTATGTATTATCTCTCATATAAAAATACTTAATAAGTTTTGATTTAAATTTGAAGTGATGAAATAATAGTATGATGTACCAATTGATGGCGCTTTACTCGGTTACAATATCTTTATTTATGTATACATTATAAATCTCTCTCTACTCAATACTGAAATCCTAAACAAATTCTGTCCTAAAGTAGTACTTATATTTATTAATATTACTTAGAGGAGCTTCAACAGTGACTGTGACTTGTGACCCAGGTGTAGGTTTAAGGGACCCCTATATAACTATTAATCAAACTATAACTCACCATATTGATCAGCTAATAGTTGTACTTCCAAATGTCTGGCTGACCGAGCAAGCTTCATCACGAATATCGGAGAACCTGGTACTTCTGCTTGTACCTGGATAAATGAATGAGATATATACAATTCAATTATAGATTTAATGAGGTTTTTTCCTTGATATAACCTTTATTCACTGAGCTATTTAACTTGGAATGGAAATTAATATATAACAACAACATGTACAGTTTTCTTTTCATACATCTGATATAACAATATTAATTAGTACTTGAAACATTGCTTAATATATATACATACATTTATATTTATATTTTTATCCCCTAATAATTTCCATAAATATAGTATGTGAATATAACATTGATATTATTTTCATTCCAGCAAAAATAAATTTATCTGCATCTGAGTATGAAATTATTCAACTAATTTAAAACTTATACATATAGTTATACTGTAACAATATAAATGCAACTTTATTCATAAAATAATAAGGTAGTTATTTGAATACAATGTTAGTAAGCTGACCTGTCTGAACATGTTGCTGAAATCATCAGGAACTTCAACCTTTCTGATACCTTTACCACCTCCACCCTCAGAAGCCTTTATCATGACGGGGAAACCTGCGGGATAATAATAGTATATATATATATATGTAAGAAAATATAATGCGTTTGGTTTAAGCAGAGCTTTGCATTTGTGTGAGTGCACACGGATAGTGTAGGTGAGATGTCAAATTTTTGAATGAAACATTCTTTTCTAGTTTTTAACCAGTTTATTCTGCTTTTACTCCGCCCCGCACCTTCCTCACTACACCCTTTGTACTGGTAGCAACGTCAAATGTTGAAAACGCAATGTCAAGTGAAGAAGAATTTGTATAGATTTTTTCAAAATGTTTATTACTTTATTATTATTTTTTTCCATAATATTTCCATCTGGCCTTTTACAAGTTTTGCTTATTTTATTTCTAATCTAGAATATCACTAGCACTTATGTCATGTAACAATGAAAAATGTAATAGAATTGAATTTTAAATTTTTACTTTCACTCACACAAATGCAAAACTCAGCTTAAGTCTAACGGACTATATTGTTAGTTACACTATTTAAAACTCAAGAACAGCTGTAGAGATATAGTTGGAAATTAACGGAGAGATAGATTAGAACCTGGAGACGGACATAGGATATTTAATTTTGTTCGATCGAAACAGAAAACAAAAACATAAGAAATTAGAATATCTGGTTATTTACGGCCTCTAAGGCGGAATAGAGTTCACCCGGTCAGCTATACACATATTACTAATACCGAAATTAAAGCGAAGTCGCGGGCAGAAACTTATATATAATATACATGTTGTTTATAAAATATTTACTATTGCTTTAAACTCCAGATCTCAAAAGAATTACCTCAAAAACTAAGCTTAAAGAACAAACAAAAATATCAATAACTAAATTTTGTTATATTTTTCTCAATAGATATAGACAATATTATATTATAAATTAGTTCTTGAGATTATAACAAACAGATAGAGAATTATATATATATGTATATATATATATATATATATATATATATACATCATACCAATCTTATTAGCCGCTTGTAATCCCTGCTCAGGAGTTGAGACACAGCCTCGGGCAAACAATTCCGATGATATCTTAATCTTCTTTGTATTATACTCAGCTTTCAGTTCTGTAAAACATTATATTAGCATAAAAATTCTATATATTTACTGTGATATAAAAAAATTTAATAGTCTAGTGTAATTAACTATAATACAGCTTTTACCAAAAGTGATAACGGCCCCTTGTGAGTGGTGCAGGCTTAAATGGAAGTAAAAGGCCCATAAAAAATGGACCTTGGGGATAATTTGTGATTTTAAGTATAGTTATAGTGGTTATTCAGTAGCAAAATATAGTATTAAAAAATAATATATTCTCAAAGTTGGATAAAGACCAAAAGTTTGGAAACCCTTGTTCTAAACTATATACTTAAAAGAGAGTCGTGTTAGTTACACTATTTATAACTCAACAACGGCTATACGGATATGGATGAAAATTGGCAGAGATAGATTAGAACAAGGAGACGGACATAAGATATTTAATTCTGTCGATTAAAACAAAAAAATTTATAATAAACTCCAATATCTGGTTATTTACGGCCTCTAGAGCGGAATATAGTCCACCCAGTTAGTAATACATATATTACGAAGTCGCGGGCAAGAACTAGTATAATATATATATATATATATATATATATGTATATATATTAGTGATAATTATGTAATGTCTTATTAATTTATTATTATTGTTTTTTAATTTTAAATTTTGATTTACTACAATTATTATATTCTGCATGATGTGATAGCCTATAATTAAAAGGACATTTAAGTTATTATTAATAGTTTAATAATGTAATGAATTTAACAATGTTTTCTTTTGTTGGCTAGCCAAATAAAGTAATTTAATTTAATTAGATTAAGGTGTTGTTGTTGTTAAGAACTTTTTAGACAATGCTTTGAATACCTGTAATAGGTATAGATATGAAGACCTATACTTTTGGCTATATTTTAGTGTAAATGTTGCATATGTGTACTATTAGTGTTCCTAAGAAAAATAAAATAAAATAAAAAATATTTATACCGCTGCCACTCCAAGCTAACGTCGGTATATCAGCTGTTTGAGCTACTATTGATGAAGCTATCTTATCTCCCAAAGCCCACATAGCTTTTTCTGGTGGTCCGATGAATGCTACACCAGCTCGATGGAGAAGTTCTGGCAGCTTGGGATTCTCTGAAGCATGACCCCAACCAGCCCATACAGCCTGATAGATGAAAATAATAATTATATACTACAATAACATAACTATATTTAATATATATATGGTAAATAGCAATCTTAATATTATATGGTAGTCTATCTATATTATTTAACATCAACCAAGTATAACTAATACACAACTACAGTTAAATTTCATCTATCTTTATATATATATAATTCTTCTGTGAGTGTGTATGTCACTCAACTTCTCCCAAACGACCAGACCGATTTTTATGAAATTTTTTGCGTGTGTTCAATGGGATCTGGGAATGGTTTAGATTCACAATTTTGTCTTCTGGACAATGTTTTTTTAATTAATTTTTAATTTATTAGTAGTTGTTGAACCAACTTTTTTTTTTGACATTAGATTTGACAACTTATATGTCAATCATTCTGTCGCACTTCAAAACACGGAGATTTATGGCTTTAATAGGTAAACTCCAAAAATATAAATAAAAAAACATAACAGATATTTCTTGATTATAGGGCGACACGAAGTTCGAGGGGTCTTCTAGTATATATATATATATATAGTAAAGAGCAATCTTAACAAGGTATTTTTTTCATAATTAGTAATAAATTAAACACTAAATAACTACTAATTGTAAAAAAAAATTGCTTAAAAGTCGTTAATATAGAAAATATTTCATCTCAAACTTTCTTCTGATAATCTGCTTCCAATGTAGATACGCGGAATTATACAATGGTATCAACGAGAATTTGCACTATCACCGACCAAATATTCCCCTTCTAATTTCCCTACTAATATTTAAATGCGAAAGTAACTCTCTCTGTCTGTTACGCTTTCACGCCTAAACCACTGAACTGATTTTAATGAAATTTTGGTACAGACATAGAGTTGACCTTGAGAAAGAACATAGGCTAGTTTTTATCCACGACTTTTAAAGATTCTCTTAGAAACGCGATATAACCGAACTCCACGCGGGCGAAGCTGCGGGCGGAAAGCTAGTATTACACTAAATGCACTCTATTTTCATAGTACTAGGGTTCAAAACATATTTGTACCTGTACTTGTGTCCGTATAGCAATATCCACAATAAGTTCAACATTGGCATAATTATTGTTATTAGAGCCACCAGGAACGGGAACATAATGATCAGCCATCTTTATATATTCAGCATTAGCTTTCAAGTCCTCGGGAGTTACCTGAATGGAGATCATATTATATTAACAATCGACAAAAATAAGAAATTTTTATTCTATACAAGAGTAATGTTGCAAACTATATTATTTAATTGCATGGGTTAAATGATTATGTGTGTAATAAATTGTAAAATGTGTCCATAGAAGGTTTTTGTGAAGTATTACTGTTGAATAATGAGATCTAAGATTTTCTCAAGTATTAGTCATTTAAATGAAACTAATATTTTCGGTATACTATACAACTCTATTTTTGATAAAAGATGGTTGATAAGTAGCAGAAACGTCGGAAATATGTAGTTTTTTATTAAAAAGCTCGCATACTACATCCGAAAAATATTAGTTTCATTTATTATTGTTGGAGTTTTTCAATGAAGTGGAACACAAAACAATTATTTTAAGAATGTTTCTGTATGTATTGTATAAATGTATTCAGTGATTTAAGAACATATTAACTAAGTTTATTTTAGTGTGATTATATGCATATTATCATCAGCCTATCAGGAAGTAAAGTGTTCTCATATGGAGAAGGTAATATATGTACATATATTGTATATATAGTTTAATTGTAATTTCATATACAGGGTGACTGGTGAATTACTATCAATATTTAAGGAGCATACTCGGTACATGATTCTCATTCGAATTATGTAAAAAAATAGGTACTTAATTTTTGACCAAATTTCCGTATAAATAAATAAAGTGTGTACACGTTCCAAGTGTTCCAAGTGTGGACGCGTGCGGCGACGTGCTGATACAACAACACGCCGCCGCGCGCGAGTGTGTGTGTGTGTGTGTGTGTGTATACCTAATCGGTAGGGTGTTCACACGATGCGTAATTAATTACATAACTTTTGGTTAATACTTAGAAGTTTATTAATATTAATGTTATATTAATTTTTATTTTGTCATATATGATCGTCAAATATCACGTCCTCAAATATCGATAGTAATTCACCAGTCACCCTGTATATACATATAAAGTTATTTACCATAACAACAAAGCGTACAGCCCTCTCATTCTTGAACATCTCATAAGACCATCTTCTTATAGAGCGCATACATTTAACAGCACCGATACCATTATTAGCTATCAACACCTGGAATACAAAACATTATTATTATAAAAAAACATTAAATGAAAAACCTCTTTTACTTGGAACCTCCTTTTAGAATTGCAAAAGTCTACATAAAATGAAAGGTACTTGGTGGAAATTATCACCTTTTTTAGTATAATAGTAATAAACACAAGTTATTTAGTTCCAATAGGAAAGTAATATTCAAAATGTTTCAAAATTAAAATTATGTTTTCAGACATGTTAACAATAAAAAATCAGTTTAATTTGATCAACAGAGAAAAAGTAGTACATACTCAGCTCAATATATATATTTTTATATATGTATTAAAAAAAAACAAATCAACAAATTCTTATGTCTAGCCTTCATTCCTATAGATTCATCAAAATCGTCTCAGTAGTTATGTACAAAAATACTAATCATACATCAATACATGCTCAAAGAAACTAAGACATCATTTAACCTACTGCAAATCCCTACTACTATTATAAATGCTCAAGTAACTCTGTCTGTCTGTCTGTTACGCTTTCACGCTTAAACCACTGAACTGATTTTAATGACATTTGGTACATACACAGTTGACCTTGAGAAAGAACATAGGATAGTTTTTATCCAAGACTTTTGAAAGGTTCTCTTGGTAACGCGATATAATAACTCCACGCGGGCGAAGCTGCGGGCGGGAAGCTAGTATGATGTACCTTATTAATGGCCCTGGTGCCTTGAAAACGTCTTACAAACTCTTCAGGGGTGGCAACAGTGAAGTCCTTCTCTTGGAAACGCTGGCTGTGAATCACAGTACCTTGGGACATAGACGGCCTGGAATTAAAATAAACTTAATTAAATTACTAGTTATTTTATGCGGTTATGTCCGTACTATGATAGTGTACTATTTAAACTCAAACTCAAATAACTTTATTCAATATAGAAGCATTACACTTTCTTATTGATGGTCACTTGACTCTTGAGACATTACCACTGGTTCGGAAAACAAAATACCCTGACCTGAGAAGAACCCGCGAAAGAAACTCAGTGGGTTTATTTTTATATTTGTCTCATATATTATATAACAATATATACATCGTCAAAATCTGTAATAATTATCCAGTAGTTTCTACATTAGTCTATCGAAGGGTAAAGCTGAAGTAAAGCCTCTTATTAGAATAACCTTTTTTATAATTCTCCTTTATATCATGGTATATTTTGATACGGTGAACTCTTCTTCTTCCTGGCAATTTCCCAGCTTTAGCCAGGGTTTTCCATATAGTGAACATTTTTACTAACTAAACCAATTGTTATATGCTTATTAAAACTATCAAAGAAAAAACTAAGAAGTTTCTATAATGGAATAGTATCTTAGTTTTAAAAATCCATATATTTTAGTGATGCTTAAACATCATGAAACATAATAATTGTAGACATACACATATATATGTATATATATATATAAATATTTGTATTTCGTTTGTATAGCTATTAAACAAAAAATAAATACATTTTGTTTAGAATCTACCGATCCAACCTTCACAAATAAATGAGTTCATGAAAAAAAAATTCATAATCATCATTAGTAGTGTAAATAATGACGCATTCCACTTCCTTATGTAGTATATTTACAAAACTTAATTCACAAAAACCCTAAAATAAATAGTATGTATTTTACATTTAGATACATTTATTTATCTCAATTTATCTTGAGAAACTGTTATTTGAATAAAATATTACTTTAATAACATATTTATTCATTAAAGCTTTCTTTTTTATTTAATATATATGTAAAAGTTTCACATATAAAATATATTACCAATATATATTGTAAATTTCCCTATTAAGCATATATTTCTGTTACATATAGTTACTTTACAGGAAAATAACAATAAAATGATAACATAATACATAAAAAATAATGTATAATATATATATTTACTCATGTTAATAATTTCAGAGTGAATTGATGTCTCATTCTAAGAAAAATTGAAAAAAAGTGATACTTAACTTATGTAAAACGCAGATATATCTAAATAATATACAAATTGTATATAAAATATTTGTATAGATTTAAATATGTAATATATATTATAAAAAAATACGTTTTTTAACGTTACTCATGATTTTTCTAACCTGTGCTTCCTTTCCGTATACAGTCCATTCATCGTTGGATACATAACGAAAGTTCAATAATATATAACTTGTATTCACAAATAATAATTATTTATTATATTATAATTATTAATATAACATAAATGAAACATTTCTTTGCCGGAATCAGTTTTTGTTTTTAATTCGCCTGACGTACTAACTGCCAATGAACTTAGGCCGGGAATCGTACGATGCTTCTATCTCGCTCGCACAGATATATTAATACGAGTAAGAAAGAGCAAGCAATATAGTAGTACAATTGACAAATAATGTAGATTGCATAAGAAAATTGTTTTTCGCATAGTAATGTGAGAGGTCCAGATAATATCTTATCGATACTTACAAAGTCGATAAAACCAATAATATAAATAAATCAATAAGTTGTTTGTAAATAAATAAATTTGTTACTTATTGAAGGTTTTATGTCAAAGGCATTATTTTGCCACGCTTACATATTGACGTCACTCAACGTTTTTTCCCATCGAATTAATTAATTTTTATATCACATGTTTGTTTCCAAGACTGTAATTTTTCATTCGATCAAAAATACGATTAAATAAAAGAAATAAAAGAACGGGAAAAACCTATTTTTTGTATAAACTGTGACGGCATGTTTTTTATCAATAATAGTTTGTTGTTTTAAAATCAATTAATTTTATATACATAACAAAATGCATATAATTACGTTTAGAAAAAACAAATCACCCTATAACGATCTGATGAAAATAATATGTATCAAATATTTATTATTACAGATAAAAATGTTTTTCATAAAGCACTAGACATATGTTTCATTACAAAAATATACTATGTATATGCTTACCACAAGTTTTCATACACTACATACGTATAGTTTCACGTTTCTCATTCAATACTACGTCAATACTATAATGTGAGAAATTATGAATGAAATACTGTTAACGCTACGTATGTAGTGACGAAACTCATGATAAGCTTATATCTGTTTACCTAAATTATATAAATAAGTAATATTTAAGACTAACCGTGACATTTGTTTAAATAAACACATTTTTTCATTCTCATTTCCGTTTTAAAGATAAGATATATAATATTTAATTTATTAGATAAGATAAGATATGTGATTTTTCCGAGTCATATGTACTTTCTAAGAATATTTAAACATCACTGATTAATGCATTCCCAAAGAGGGTTGATGACAGGCAGGCGGCCGGTCGTAAAAACAATTAGCCAAAACTATTCACAACATGTAAGGCAGACCCTGGCTAAAGTTTGGAAATTGTCAGGAAAATGATAGTTAAGATATCGTCATCATCAATTTATCATCCTATCAGAGTCCACTGCTGAGCCTCTTCTCACATGGAGAAGGTTTGAGCATTAATCACCACGCTCGCTCAAGACGGGTTGGTGATTTCAAACTTATAAATTGATTAATTGATTTAGTTCATTAATCAGTGATGTCTAAATACTCTTATAAAGTACATATGACTCGGAACAATCACATTGGTACTTGCCAGGATCGAACCCGCGCCCTCATGGGTGAGAGGCGGGCCTTTAAATTCGAGGCTACCACGACTCATGAATTAAAATATGAACAATATTTTATTTAGTAAGGCGAAAAACGTTTTAACTGAAAGTAATGTCGTTAACTATAAAAAACAAGTTCGGATCATCAAATTTAAAATTGATAATAATAAGAAACAAGTGCTAAGTAAAAACAAATTCATATACATAAAATTATGAGGTATATACTACATAGTATATATTAATAGTTAGGTATTCTGAAATAAACCTTACTTTATTTTCAAAATGACAGCATTAGATAGACATAGCTCTAATCAGAAAATGGAATAACAATACTTAAGGATATCTAAGACTTTCGCGAATTTTCATTTAAATAAAACTAATCTTCTATATATATAAAAATGGATTGCTGTTCCTTAGTCTCGCTAAAACTCGAGAACAGCTGAACGGATTTATCTTATCTTAGTCTTGAAATGTTCGTGGAGGTTCAGGGAAGGTATAAAAGCTGAGAAAAATTGATTCATTACTGAGTAAACCATAAAAATAGCCCTTTTCTATTTCCCATACAAACGTTTTTTTTGACATTAGATTTGACAACTAACTAATATGTCAATCATTCTGTCGCACTTCAAAACACGTAGATTTATGGCTTACAGGTAAACTCCAAAAATATAAATAAAAAAACGTAATAGATATTTCTTGATTATAGGGCGATACGAAGTTCGCCAGGGATTTCTAGTATTTAAATAAAACTAGGTAATATTTTTCAGATGTACTACGCGATTTTTATTTTTTATTATAAACTACATTCTCCCGACGTTTCGGTTCCTTTACTCTTTACAGCAACCGTGATCACGGACAGACGAGATGTTTTATTTAAATGAATACTCGCGAAAATCTTAAATGTCATTAAAACTAATATTTTATGACTTATGTACTACGCGTTTTCTATTATTTTAACTACATACATCCCGATCGGTAACTTTTCAACAACATAATCTAGGCAGACGTGATAAAACAATTATATATCCGAAAGCCTAGTTTTATTTGAAACTATTTTTTTTAAATATCTGACTCTGAACTCTATTTCTACTTAAAGACAGTAAATAAGAAGATTTAGGATTTGATTATTATTATTTTTTCAATCGGATGAAAAGTATCCTGTCCTTTTACTTCTAAGCCAGTGTTTCTCAAACTGTGGGTCGCGACCCCCAAATCATCAAATGACCCCTTTTGTTTTGGGTGGGGCAAGAGGGAGTGTCAGACTCCTACTGACTAAAAACCCCTTTACCTACTCCTTGCGCTTACACCCGCGAACTTGCCTGGCGTGGGTCGCGACCCCTAAGACTTTGCGGGGTCGCCAGCAAAAAGAAAAAGGTAAAATTCTATACTATAATAAAAAATATATCTTAATGAAAAGGATGTGCTTGTATATTTTTTAAAAGCATATCAAATCGTGGTGATATTTTTGAAATAATAACTATAAAATAAGCTTGTAATTGAAATTTATTTCTTTTTGTTTTGATGACAACCATTGCAGGTAATGTCTTTAACTGTAATATGTCTTTAGACTTATAATATTATAATTTCTTTAGCTATGTATGGTACAAGGGAGTCGAATAAATTTTCAAGCCGTAAAGGGGTCGCGATATCAAAAAGATTGAAAAATATTATTCTAAGTTAACTCTTCACCAATATTCAACCATATCCGTACAGCCGTTCTTGAGTTATAAATAGTGAAACTAACATGACTTTCTTTTATATATAAAGACTAGAAGACCCGGCGAAGTTCGTATCGCCCTATAATCAAGAAATATCTGTTACGTTTTTTTATTTATATTTTTGGAGTTTACCTATTAAAGTCATAAATCTTAGTGTTTTGAAGTGCGACAGAATGATTGACATATTAGTTAGTTGTCAAATCTTATGTAAAAAAAAATGTTTGTATCAACAACTATGCACTAATAAATTAAAAAAAAACATTGTCCAGCTGACAAAATTGTGAATCTAAACCATTCCCAGATCCCTTTGAACACACACAAAAATTCATCAAAATATATCCATTCGTTTGAGAGAAGTTCAGTGACATACACACTCACAGAAGAATTATATATACAGGGTGACTGGTGAATTACTATCGATACTTGAGGACGTGATATTTGACGATCATATATGACGAAATAAAAATTAATATAACATAAATATTAATAAACTTCTAAGTAAAGTTAACCAAAAGTTATGTAATTAATTACGCATTGTGTGAACACCCTACAGATTAGGTATACACACACACACACACACATACGCGTGCGGCGGCATAGTGTTGTATCAGCACGCAGCCGCACGCGTCCACACTTGGAACGTGTCAACACTTTATTTATTTATACGGAAATTTGGTCAAAAATTAAGTACCTATTTTTTTTACATAATTCGAATGAGAATCATGTACCGAGTATTCTCCTCAAATATTGATAGTAATTCACCAGTCACCCTGTATATAAACATAAACCTTTTATACTGATCACTTACTGCAAGGTACTGGTTGTAGGCGGCCTAAGCAGCCTTCTGTCCAATTCCAGGTCATCATCTTCTTTATTTCCATCTGGTTCTGAATCAATAGTGACCTGGAACTTCTGCAGAATATTTGCTGGCATCACGTCCGTAGCCTCATCATCCCAGTCCCCTTCATCAACAGAAGTGTCACCCAGCACAAACCGTTTCGACGTACGTCTCTTCAGCATGATAAACTCACAAAGATATCTTCCAATTGTACCAAAATAACCGAAATTCTCGCTCATATATTCACATGTGTTCAATTTTATCTTATTTTCACACTAAAATCACGTTAATTCACTTATCTTTCTTATTGTTTATAATCCTTTAAAGTAATATAAAAATAAGCAAAGTCACTACATCAAATATATTTACGTCTTTATTTTGAAAACAAAGATACGAAAAGATAAGATTATATAAATATTTAAGTCAATAGTGATGTTTGTAAAATTTAATTAAATACAAATAATGACTAAGTATTTTGAGTAAAAAACGTCAAACTACAAGTTCGTAGTATAAAACACATATTAGTACGTTTTCTTATTTGAGATCTTAACGAAAAACACTGTAATAATTAATCGTTTTTCAATTATAGTTTAAAAATTAACTTGTCAGTTTAAATATTTTAAAAAATAATTAATAGTTTAACATTAAAAGATGTATGAACGACTAAACTGATAGTATTACGTTTAACGTCGCGAACCCGTACTAAGATGATTCAACGTATAAAGTTTTTAATTAAAATATCTCCATAACTAACTTGTTAAGGTAAAAATCTAACTAAGCAATTGAACCAAACATTTGAACGACTTTTAAAAATGCCAGTCACTTAAAACTCAACAAACTATTGAAATTTCAACAAGTTAAGTAACTATATCCTTAGTATAAGTTCTCATTACTACACACTACGCGTTTCCCGTATCTCATTAAAACCGTAATACAAAAATATATAAACGAATTCATATAAACGTTAACGCCGCGTTAATAGTTAACGTAAAAACGCGTGGTAAGTTCAACGTTAGATTACGTAAGTAAAGTTGCATAGTTGTTAAACAAATACTTGGAGGTTTGAGTGTTACTCGACCTTGTAGTACAGAGTTCCTCGTTGATTAAATAAAAAAAACCTCAAGGAAACTATATGGAAATATAGTGTATGAAATAAGTTTTATTACTATAGTAATGTCATGTATAGATGTTAGATTTAAATGTATATCTTCTTCCTGACAATTTCCCAGCTATAGCCAGGGTCTGCCTGACATGTTGTGAATAGTTTTGGCTAATTGTTTTTACGATCCGCCTGCCTGACATCAACCCTCTTTGGGAATGCATTAATCAGTGATGTCTAAATACTCTTAAGTACATATGATTCCGATAAATCACATTGGTACTTGCCAGGATCGAACCCGCGCCCTCATACGTGAGAGGCGGGCCTTTTAACCACTTGGCCACCACTGACTTACATACATACTTATATATAGGTACATATATATATACCTATATAAAATTCTAAAATTGAGGAGATCTTTAAAAATATATTATATATATGTAACAGTCTATAAATCTTTCATTCCTTCATTATAATATATATGTATGGAATTATTGTAAGTATTGGGATTTCAAAATTTATCCGCAAGGATAAGGAACCGCAAAATATGTTTTTATTAATATAATATATATATATATATATATATATATATATATATATATATATATATATATATATATATATATATATATATATATTAATATATATATATATATATAATGTATGTATGTTACAGTTAGAACCAGTTCTTAGATAGAACGCATATTTCCTAGTTGAAAGTAGACATTAACTAAAAAAACTAGTTAAAACCAGTTGTAACCAAAAACGGATTTAACTGTAACATATATCTATACATATATGTAATAAAATTGTAGAAAAGTGCTGTCTGTACATTGAAAATAAAAATAGCAGGTGTTATTGTTATGTCGATGTCGAACCCAAAAATGTAATTAACTTTTTTTTATCCGTTTGTCTGTTCACGCTAATCTCAGAAACGGCTGATCCGAGTTGGATGCGGTTTTCACGAATATATTGTGGTATGCTTCAGTTATGCTCTAGTGTTTGTTTCATGTCAATCGGTTCATAAATAAAAAAGCTATGTCAAAAAAACGCTGCTCATAGTCACTATTAAACGCGAACCAAGTCGCGGGCACAGCTAGTATATAATATGTTGTGGTCTTTCTCAGATGAAATCATATGTGTACAAAGAGTTATCATATATTATTCACGAAAACAAACACATAATGAGAGATTATATGTGATTTAATATATTTACAATGTGTCAACTATATCTATATATATATATACTAGCTTTCCGCCCGCAGCTTCGCCGCGTGGAGTTCGGTTATATCGCGTTTCCAAGAGAACCTTTCAAAAGTCTGGGATAAAAACTATCCTATGTTCTTTCTCAAGGTCAACTCTATCTCTGTACCGAATTTCATTAAAATCAGTTCAGTGGTTTAGGCGTGAAAGCGTAGCAGACAGACAGACAGACAGACAGACAGAGTTACTTTCGCATTTATAATATTAGTAGGGATGTTTGTGTCACTATATGTATATAAATTATCATATAACATTCAACATATGTAGCTTGCGAATTAATATATATGGACAAATGTTACATTGTAAATATAGTGTTCATAGAAGGAAAATCGCTAATTATTTTGATGAGATTTATAACATAAAGAAACTAAACTAGAATAGAAGAGAAGAGAATAAAGAACGTCATAGAAGATAATTAAGAACAAAACGAGAAGTAACTTAAGAATTAATTCTTCCAGTTAAAGGAAAGAAGATACATAGAGACTTAAGTTGAAGAGTATTATACAGGGTGACTGGTGAATTACTATCAATATTTAAGGAGAATACTCGGTACATGATTCTCATTCGAATTATGTAAAAAAAATAGGCACTTAATTTTTTACCAAATTTCCGTATAAATAAATAAAGTGTGGACACGTTCCAAGTGTTCCAAGTGTGGACGCGTGCGGCGGCGTGCTGATACAACACCACGCCGCCGCACGCGTTTGTGTGTGTGTGCGTGTATACCTAATCTGTAGGGTGTTCACACGATGCGTAATTAATTACATAACTTTTGGTTAACTTTACTTAGAAGTTTATTAATATTTATGTTATATTAATTTTTATTTTGTCATATATGATCGTCAAATATCACGTCCTCAAGTATCGATAGTAATTCACCAGTCACCCTGTATCGTCAGGAATAGTGCAAATCTAACTAGAATCTTATAATTCAGTGTATCTATATTGGAAGCAGATTATAAGAAGAAAGTTTAAGATGAAATATTTTATATATTTACGACTTTTAAGATAATTTTGTCACAATAAGTAATTGTGTTTAATTTATCATGGAATAGTTATTCTAACAAGTCAGTGGTGGTCCAGTGGTTAAAAGGCCCGCCTCTCATGCACGAGGGCGCGGGTTCGATCCTGGCCAACCAATGTGATTTTTCCGAGTCATATGTACTTTATAAGAGTATTTAGACATCACGGATTAATGTTGATTCCCAAAAAAGGGTTGATGTCAGACAGGCGGCCGGTCGTAAAAAACAAATAGCCAAAACTATTCATAACATGTAAGGCAGACCCTGGCTACAGCTGGGAAATTGCCAGGTAGAAGAAGAAGTTATTCTAACAAGGTAAGGATCGTTCATTAGCTGCCCAAGGAACGAATCATTTCTTAAGCTGAGTAGTGAGAGGAAAGGTAACTAAAATGTATTTTAATATGTATGTAGTAAAAATAACAAGGTCATTGATCTCAGAACTCATTTTTCATTGATAAGTTTTCTATATTTATTTATACCACGAATTCGCTTTTATAATACCAGATTTAATTTATATAAAAAATCACTATTAATAATTTTAATTATGAGATCATTTCTATTAAAAATGTGATTCTAGTAATAAATTTTCGATGCCAACTGTTTTTTATTTTAAATAATTTTTTGATAATAATTTATCACGTGTTTTAGAACTTTTAATAAAATTATATTCAGAAACTTTACCAGTACAAAAAAGATGAATAATTAATTTATATTAAAAATTGTTTTCAGTGCAACAGTTAATAATTCTTATCATATATAGGTATGCTTTGACGTCACTATTTAAAACTTCCGATACTTACAAAAAAATACAAATATTCTTTACATTTTTCATTGTAGAAAAAGTTATTATCATTAATCATTTAATAATGTAATTAAAGTATAAAAAAAACATTAATTTGATCAAAAATATGTGTTAAATAAGTCCAACATATAGGAAGGCAATTCAGAAAACTAAATTGTTTGTTATTCGTAAATAACATTAGTGAAGAAAACTTAAAAGACGTATTAAAAAAATATATAAACTAGAATAAGAATTACAGGAAATAGAAAATTCTAGAAATCAATATCATTTAAATGAAACTAATATTTTTCGGATAACTACGCGTTTTTTATAAAGCGAGAGTTATAACAGCGAATCTTTCTACAACCTACTAAAAGACTTGGGCCTGTCCAGAACTCACATTAATACATTCTTGGCACGTACTTCGAAGACAGGCCTAGTAGGTTCTTTACTAATTAGGTAGAGAGAGGAGCTTGTACGGTGGAGGTGAGCGTTTAACGTTAGATAGGGTCCCTTAAACCTACACCTGGGTCACAAGTCCCAGTCACTGTTGAAGCTCCTCTCACTACAACGATGGACCCGACACACGCACCGCGAATACATGGAATGATGAGAGGATTCGTCTCTTAACTACATACTCCCGACGTTTCGATTACTTTTCATCAACCGTGATCATTAAGACGAGATGTGAATGTCTGTCAGTTGGTCCTGTTATTAATCATATCATTAGCATATTATATGGTGGTAGAAATACTATTAAAAATCTATATATTTTTTTCTCTTTTTGACATCGTCAAAGCCTTATTCGAATTTTTTGACTGGCATCCAAAATTAATTGGAAATGGAAAATTCCATGAAATTTTGCCAAGAACTAGGGACTAAAAGTTTTGTAGAGGGAAGTACCACCCTCTCACTGAAGATCGGCGTGAAGTAGTCTTTAATGGAAGCGTTTCTGATGAGTGAGAGAGACGGTTGATCTATCTCTTTCCCACCCTTTCCTCTCTACCACAATTAAAGTTCGCAACTCATCCACAACATCTCTTATGTTGCAGATGTCTATGGGGTAATGTGATCTACAAGTAGACCGTCTACTCGATTCTTTCTCATAATAAGAGCTTAATAAATTGAAATGATTCCTCCAATTGAATTTATTAAACCCCATACTAACAATACAATGTGTCACTAGCATGAGGAAATGAATCTTCCTCAAATGCTTTACAATACTGATGTAGCATTACTTATTACTTTGGACTCAATATTTACTTCCATCATTTACTATGTGTTTTCCCATATATATTTATGTGTATTTTCCCGTTTTAAGGATATTTTTTATATAAATACTTAAGGATAAAATTGTTACATATTATAAAATTTATCTCAACTAATATTATAAATGCAAAATAACTCTGTCTATGTCTGTCTGTCTGTTACGCTTTCATTTCTAAACCACTGAACTGATTTTAATGAAATTAGGTACAGAGATAGAGTTGACCTTGAGAAAGAACATAGGATAGTTTTTATCCAGGACTTTTGAAAGGTTCTCTTGGAAACGCAATATAACCGAACTCCACGCGGGCGAAGCTGCGGGCGGAAAGATAGTTTCCTCTAAAGCAGGAATTAATATTAATGTCTTGTTAGGACATTTAAACAGACATTAGCGAGTGGTGGGACGCTCGATGCTTCTAGGTGGCACTACACTTGGCGTTGCGTATTCGCGGAATTGTCCAAATATTTGTACGTAGTCCAAATAGCGCAAACACGACATCCACACATGGCATCACAACACGTCTATACTTGTTTCCGCTTATTTGTGTATGTGTGTTATTTGTGCAAATATGTCAAATGAAGACGAATATATCATCCACACATGGTTTTATTTGGCCGAATACAATAACGCCAAGTGGAGTGCCACCTTAACAAGATTTTACTTATTTAACATTGATTGGTAGTCTAAATGACAATTGTATTTCGTATTAATGATGTCCAACTTAAGTATCGATAAAATATCCTAGTCTTAGTGCTAGAAATAATTCTTTGTTCTTTTTATCCTCATGTAATAATAAATTTACAAAGAATTTGTTTTTATACCGTTATTTCCTAAATTATAATATTAAATTCCAAAACTTAGATATTTTTTGCCCAAAAAATGATGTTTTTAAATGTGCGGTTGTTAATATCTTGAAATGCTAATTGTTTTTAACTCTTTTAAATGAAGTTTTAATTTAAATTTAAATTTAATTTAATTCAATTTGTTTCTTTTTTTTTGTGTATTGGCTTTACGTGGAAACTTGATTGATTTGTAATTTTTGTTATTTTTTGTTTTACATTACAGTGTTTTTAAATTGTTTCCCAAATAAATAAATTAAAAAAATGGTATATTTCTTAATATTATCGATGTATAAACGTGCAGCGACGCGTTAATTCGCTTACAGTTGCGTAATCGTTAAATAAACATCCTTGTAGTATGTTGTAGTATTTATTTATTGATTCTTAACACTTGTGATAGAAAAAAATCATTTGTTCTGCTTTATAATGTAAATATATGAAATATGTGATTTATGTGATTTGAGTTTGGTTTAAATCCCTACTAATATTATAAATGCGAAAGTAACTCTGTCTGTTTGTTACGCTTTCACGACTAAACCACTGAACTGATTTTAATGAAATTTGGTACAGACATAGAGTTGATCTTGAGAAAGAACATAGGATAGTTTTTATCCAAGACTTTTGAAAGGTTCTCTTGGAAACGCGATATAACCGAACTCCACGCGGGCGAAGCTGCGGACGGAAAGCTAGTCCAGAATAAATCTATATTTTATCATAGTTATCAATAGGAGATCTTACTTATATATTAAAAAAAGATACTTTTCTCATATTTTTCTCATAAATAATATATTGACCAACATCAGAATGTTAATTGGTGTCAAAAAACCGATAATTACTGATAAGAAATCAATTCATTAGCATAACCAATCCATATCTTAAATGTTACATCACTTTCTGTTCATCCTTGAAGCGAAATAAATTTTCTATGATAAAAATATAGAAGAAAAAACAAATTACAATTTATTCAATACTAGTTTTTGTCAGCGACTTCGTCCGCGTTAATTTCGCAATTACTAATATATGTATGTACAGCTGTCCGGGCGAACTTTATTCCGCCTTGGAGGACATAAATAACCAGATATTGGAATTTATTATTATTTTATTGTCTTTTTCGATCGAACTGAATTAAATATCCTATATCCGTCTCCTTGTTCTAATCTATCTCTCCACCAATTTTCATCCATATCCCTACAGCCGTTCGTTATAAATAGTGTAACTAACACGACTCTCTTATACAGGGTGACTGGTGAATTACTATCAATATTTAAGGAGCATACTCGGTACATGATTCTCATTCGAATTATGTAAAAAAAATAGGCACTTAATTTTTGACAAAATTTCCGTATAAATAAGTAAAGTGTTGACACGTTCCAAGTGTTCAAGTGTGGACGCGTGCGGCGACGTGTTGATACAACACCACGTCACGACATGCGTATGTGTGAGTGTCAGTGTATACCTAATCTGTAGGGTGTTCACACGATGCGTAATTAATTACATAACTTTTGGTTAACTTTACTTAGAAGTTTATTAATATTTATGTTATATTAATTTTTATTTTGTCATACATATATGATCGTCAAATATCACGTCCTCAAATATTGATAGTAATTCACCAGTCACCCTGTATAAAGTTTATTTATTTATTTATATAAGAACAACTAACAAAACATACAACATTTAAAATTTAAAAAAAAATAAAGATAATTACATTTTTGCTAAGTGTTGTTTCAGTTATAAGTTATCACGGCTTGGATTTTTTTTTTCTACTTAAATTGTACAAAAGGGGACATTAAAATTATACAAAAAGAACTAAAATATGTACAAAATACAAAATTAAAATTATACAGAACCTAAACGACACAATATAAACGTGATCGATGTTGAAAGACTGGAATGTGATCATTATTTTATTATTTTCAACTTACAATTAATAATTTATACTTGACGATTTAAAAGTTATGAAGAAGATTAAATTTTAACTAATTTAAAGTTAAATTACGATGGCGTAGTCTTAAATCGTTTATGGGTAAACCGAGGTCGTTTGGTTAGCAATAATAAGTTCGTTAAAACAGTTACAAGGACTGATTAACTTTGCATTGATTGATTATACCTACTTATTTTCTTTCTGAACTTTAAAGAACTAGTTTATATCTTTTAAATAGTATAGTTTCCCGTTTCTCATTCAATTCAAAGAAAAATTGTTAACGCTACGTATGTAGTGACGAACTTGTAGTAAGCATCTATAAGCTTTACTATAAGTCTGCATCATACATATATATATATACATATATATATCTGTGTGTGTGTTTCGTCTTAGATTTTAGCAAAAAATTCCCTTCAATAATAATTTAACTCACATAGTTTTGCAGTACAATATTATAAGAAGATCACATATTATTTTACGAAAACGTAAAAACTGTTCGTATTGATTTTATGTGAGAACTCGTACTAAGAATAAAGAGAAAAATATGCCTCTCAAATATTTCGGTTTTGAAGCTGTTTCAAATGTTGGAAATTTTAATATGTAACATATAGCTTATATACATATAGAAGACAATTTTTTTAAGAAAAAAAAATATATGAGTAGATTTAAAATTACTTTCCGTGAACATAATAACTATACTGAGAGTTAGAGAATTATTTAATTGAATATAATTAATTTTATTTTAAATAAAATATATATATATAAAAGAAAGATAATATATTATGTTCATTGACCGTATTATAAGCAAAAATTTATATTCAGTTACAATCTTATTTCTTACATAAGACAATTAATGCATAGTGCTCACTTTTTATAATTATGTATGTATTAATAAAATTATAAAATAAATTCTATTTTAATATAACCACATATCAAAGTTTTTATTATTAAAAACGGTAAAAAAAACTACCTAAAAATTACAGACGTCGAAAAAAAATGTTCTAGAAGCTTTAGATATTTTAAAATGTATTAGAAAATATTTTTTGGTATTAAATTAGTAAATTTTTTAATACTTAATATTTCATTTGACGTAAAAATATACACAATCATTTGCTTATATAAATAATATGGAATCAAAATATTATTTTCATAATACGATAGCGATTGATTAAAATGCTAATCGATAACTAATTGTGATACTGATTTAATTTTGATATATTATATATCATCATCAGCCTATCAGAGCCCACTGCTGAGCCTCTTCTCACATGGAGAAGGTTTGAGCATTAATCACCACGCTCGCTCAAGACTGGTTGGTGATTTCAAACTTATAATTTGATATAACTCCAAGTTTCCTCACGATGTTTTCCTTCATCTGTCAGTGATGTCTAAATACTCTAAAGTACATATGACTCGGGAAAATCACATTGGTACTTGCCAGAATCGAACCCGCGCTCATGCATGAGAGGCGGGTTTTAACCACTAGGCCACCACTGACTTAAATATAGTAACTATCGATACAAAATATACATCACTACAAACTTCAACATAAAATATATTAAAAAAATATATTCGGAAAATAGACAACACAATAATTTGATAACACAATTATTATAGCACAATCACTAATATTATAAGTATTTATTTTATTTTATTTCAACAACCGAGAATCAAACCGTCTCTGTCGACAGTCGATGCGCTACTGACAGATGTTTTCACTTTTCCCGCCATTACGTGTACACAAATTACGCGATCAAAAACTCAATGTTGTATTTTTGTTATATATTAATCTTCTTCTACCTGGCAATTTCCCAGCTATAGCCAGGGTCTGCCTTACATGTTGTGAATAGTTTTGGCTATTTGTTTTTACGACCGGCCGCCTGCCTGACATCAACCGTCTTTTGGGAATCAACATTAATAAATATATTTAATTAAATAAATTAGTTATATTAAAATAATAGTATATAGTTATGTAATATATTTGTGGCAATTTTTAACATCATCACTTCGTTAAGATGTAATTTTTGTTTAATATTTTTTTTTATAAATATATTTTATAATATATTTCGGTAACGTATAATTTATGTCGAGGTTAATTAAAATTCTACGCACATCAAACGTGAGTAGTATTTAGATCGTTATACTTACTTTTATTTTATGTAATGTATTATATACATATAAAGTGTGTGTGTGTATGTTTGTTACTTCTTCACGCTCAAACGGCTGAAACGATTTTGATGAAATTTTGTATACAGGAAGCTGACGTCCAGGAATGAGACATAGGCTACTTTACATTACGAAAATTCGCGGGGCGCAGCTAGTATTATAATAATTTTACGTACCGTAACTTGCTTCGCTTCTCAGCCAAAGCCAATTGTTGAGCTACAGTCAGTTTGGGCTTCAAGTTGGGTGGTGGTGCGTTAGGGAAGGAGTCCCTACCCTCGTGGGATGGACCCTCATCTTGGACCTCTTCATCACCAACTATGAAACGAGCATCGCCCGGCGGAGAAGCCTGTATTAACATATTAGTATACTATGATAAATTTATATGAAATTGGCTAACATATAGATAATATTGAAGACTGGAATGAGTTTGTAATATTGAATTGAAGATAAAATAGTAGAGAGAGGAGCTTGGACGGTGGAGGTGAGCGTTTAACGTTAGATAGGGGTCCCTTAAACCTACACCTGGGTCACAAGTCCCAGTCACTGTTGAAGCTCCTCTCACTACAACGATGGACCCGACACACGCACCGTGAATACATGGAATGATGAGAGGTTTCGTCTCTCTATATATATTAAACCTACACCTGGGTCACAAGTCCCAGTCACTGTTGAAGCTCCTCTCACTACAACGATGGACCCGACACACGCACCGCGAATACATGGAATGATGAGAGGTTTCGTCTCTCTATATATATTAAACCTACACCTGGGTCACAAGTCCCAGTCACTGTTGAAGCTCCTCTCACTACAACGATGGACCCGACACACGCACCGTGAATACATGGAATGATGAGAGGTTTCGTCTCTCTATATATATTAAACCTACACCTGGGTCACAAGTCCCAGTCACTGTTGAATAGGGTTTCTCAATTCTCGACCTTTTTTATTTCCCGGAGCACGAGAATTCTCGACCACTATTTCTCGGGAATTCCCGGGTTGTCGAGAAATATGGAAATTTTCAAAAATATGTGTGATTTAACAATAAAACTACGCTTTTTATGCAATATTCAACAACATTTATTTTAAGTTTTATGTGACTTTAACTTAAGTAAGTATATAAAACTTTAATTAAGCGAAATAAACTCTAGCGAGATCTTTTGTCATTATTTCTACAAACAACTTTAGGACTACATAGTCTTCTTCTTTGGAAAAAACAAATAAAATATCTTCTAAAAACAATGTCATCATGTCACCACAATAAAATTTAGTACCTTACATACTAAATAATTTACTTTAGTCTCTGTCTGTACTACAAACTCTTCAATTATGTAACATGAAACGACAGTTTTTCAATTAGATATAAAAAATAACAATCAGACTAGCTTCATAATTACGAATAACAATAAGGTACAGGTAACTTAGTTTAGTCCAACTTTTCAATATTTGTTTATAATGGAGTTTTTTTCGTTACGTAAGTAAACATAAGAACCTAAAAAATAATTAATAATCTTAGACTAATTACAATCACAATTTAAAGCTGAAACTGCTTCAAAAGCTAGTCCACTATGCCTTGTAACTGACTGGCGTGTACGAACAATACGGGGAGGGAGCGGGGCACTGTCGGTCACTTACACACCGCGTGACAGAGCCGCGCGCAAGCGCAAGCGCGTTATTAAGTTTTTAAAATTTTTGACTGAATTTCTCGATTTCTCGATTTCTCGACCACTTTTTTCTCGTCTCGAGTAAGGCAAAATTTCCCGGGAATTCTCGGTTCGAGAACTCTCGAAGAGAAACTCTACTGTTGAAGCTCCTCTCACTACAACGATGGACCCGACACACGCACCGCGAATACATGGAATGATGAGAGGTTTCGTCTCTCTATATATATTAAACCTACACCTGGGTCACAAGTCCCAGTCACTGTTGAAGCTCCTCTCACTACAACGATGGACCCGACACACGCACCGTGAATACATGGAATGATGAGAGGTTTCGTCTCTCTATATATATTAAACCTACACCTGGGTCACAAGTCCCAGTCACTGTTGAAGCTCCTCTCACTACAACGATGGACCCGACACACGCACCGCGAATACATGGAATGATGAGAGGTTTCGTCTCTCTATATATATTAAACCTACACCTGGGTCACAAGTCCCAGTCACTGTTGAAGCTCCTCTCACTACAACGATGGACCCGACACACGCACCGCGAATACATGGAATGATGAGAGGTTTCGTCTCTCTATATATATTAAACCTACACCTGGGTCACAAGTCCCAGTCACTGTTGAAGCTCCTCTCACTACAACGATGGACCCGACACACGCACCGCGAATACATGGAATGATGAGAGGTTTCGTCTCTCTATATATATTAAACCTACACCTGGGTCACAAGTCCCAGTCACTGTTGAAGCTCCTCTCACTACAACGATGGACCCGACACACGCACCGCGAATACATGGAATGATGAGAGGTTTCGTCTCTCTATATATATTAAACCTACACCTGGGTCACAAGTCCCAGTCACTGTTGAAGCTCCTCTCACTACAACGATGGACGCGACACACGCACCGTGAATACATGGAATGATGAGAGGTTTCGTCTCTCTATATATATTAAACCTACACCTGGGTCACAAGTCCCAGTCACTGTTGAAGCTCCTCTCACTACAACGATGGACCCGACACACGCACCGCGAATACATGGAATGATGAGAGGTTTCGTCTCTCTATATATATTAAACCTACACCTGGGTCACAAGTCCCAGTCACTGTTGAAGCTCCTCTCACTACAACGATGGACCCGACACACGCACCGCGAATACATGGAATGATGAGAGGTTTCGTCTCTCTATATATATTAAACCTACACCTGGGTCACAAGTCCCAGTCACTGTTGAAGCTCCTCTCACTACAACGATGGACCCGACACACGCACCGCGAATACATGGAATGATGAGAGGTTTCGTCTCTCTATATATATTAAACCTACACCTGGGTCACAAGTCCCAGTCACTGTTGAAGCTCCTCTCACTACAACGATGGACCCGACACACGCACCGTGAATACATGGAATGATGAGAGGTTTCGTCTCTCTATATATATTAAACCTACACCTGGGTCACAAGTCCCAGTCACTGTTGAAGCTCCTCTCACTACAACGATGGACCCGACACACGCACCGCGAATACATGGAATGATGAGAGGTTTCGTCTCTCTATATATATTAAACCTACACCTGGGTCACAAGTCCCAGTCACTGTTGAAGCTCCTCTCACTACAACGATGGACCCGACACACGCACCGCGAATACATGGAATGATGAGAGGTTTCGTCTCTCTATATATATTAAACCTACACCTGGGTCACAAGTCCCAGTCACTGTTGAAGCTCCTCTCACTACAACGATGGACCCGACACACGCACCGCGAATACATGGAATGATGAGAGGTTTCGTCTCTCTATATATATTAAACCTACACCTGGGTCACAAGTCCCAGTCACTGTTGAAGCTCCTCTCACTACAACGATGGAGCCTTCGTCGTTTTTTTTTACAACTTTCGTCTGTCTGTCTGTTTGTTCCTAGTAATCTCTGACATAGCTGGACCGATTTTGACGGAACTGTTACTGGCAAATAGCTAATGTAATAAGGAGTGACTTAGGCTAATTTTAATCTTGATCCCGAATCCCAAACTCTAAATCAAACGTAATCGACAAATTGAAAAAACAGAGTCGCAAGCAATAACTAATATAATATATAAATATATATTTTTAAATCCATTTAGAAAATAATGAGACAAAAGTATAGTAATTTTTACAGTCTATGACAAAGTTATACACGTTATTATATTTTTTTATATTATTATAATAAATATTTAATATAAAACCAGTTGTTGCAAAGGTCAATGAATAAATAGGTGAGATCGTACCTAATCTGACGCCGTCTTAAATTTATCAAGAACAACATAACTTTACGTAATTGCTAAGAATATTTTCACAGGCTTAATAAATAAAGTCTACATGACTTTTATGTAGAGTATATAATTGTTTTCAATAATATATAATATGTATACTAGAAGACGTGGCGAACTTCGTATCGCCCTATAATCAAGAAAAATTTATTACGTATTTTTATTTATATTTTTGGAGTTTACCTGTAAGCCATAAATCTCCGTGTTTTGAAGTGCGACAGAATGATTGACATATTAGTTGGTTGTCAAATCTAATGTCAAAAAACGTTTGTATGGGAAATAGAAAAGGGCTGTTTTTATGGTTTTCCCAGTAATGAATCAATTTTTTTCAGCTTTTATACCTTCCCTGAACCTCCACGAACATTTCAAGACTAAGATAAGACAAATCCGTTCAGCAGTTGTCGAGTTTTAGCGAGACTAAGGAACAGGAACAAAGAATGTTAGATATTAATGTGGAAGGATATGTGGGTCGAAGTAGACCTAAGAAAAGATGGTAGGATTGATTGAAGGATGACATGGCTAAGAAAGGGGTAACAGATGAGTTGACGACTGATAGGCGAGACTGGAGAAGAACATGTTGTGCTGACCTTATATAAAGTGGGACCAGGGCAGGAAGAAGAAGATACACATATATGTATACATGGTGACTGGTGAATTACTATCGATACTTGAGGACGTGATATTTGACGATCATATATGACAGAATAAAAATTAATATAACATAAATATTAATAAACTTCTAAGTAAAGTTAACCAAAAGTTGTGTAATTAATTACGCATCGTGTGAACACCCTACAGATTAGGTATACACACACACACACACACACACGCGTGCGGCGGCGTAGTGTTGTATCAGCACGCCGCCGCACGCGTCCACACTTGGAACACTTGGAACGTATCCACACTTTATTTATTTATACGGAAATTTGGTCAAAAATTAAGTACCTATTTTTTTTTTTTACATAATTCGAATGAGAATCATGTACCGAGTATTCTCCTTAAATATTGATAGTAATTCACCAGTCACCCTTTATATGCCCAAAGTTAGCTGATTCAAAATTTATCCTATTATAACGTCTATATATGTATGTGTATGGAAAGATAAATAAGAAATTAAAGAATGATTAAATGTGAGTTAAATAAAAAAATCAGTACTGACAAAAAAAAATGCCCAATCTATACACTTATTGGTAAGTTTACTTCTTAAATATATATAAATATTTTATTTTTGATATTTTTTACTTACACCATCAGCTGATATGTCTTCGGAGTCAATTTTTTCAAAGTTATCACTCTCGCTTGACGAATGCCGCTGTTCTTCTTGCTCCATATTCTCTGCTAAATAAAAAAAAATCATTTATGTATCATATATATATTTAAATATATTACAATGTTTTTTTAGGGTTGATGTCAGGCAGGCGGCAGGTAGAAAAAACGTTTAGCAAAAACTATTCACAACATGTAAAGCAGACCCTGGCTGAAGCTGGGAAATTGCCAGGTAGAAGATATTGAATTTTTTTCAATAGACAAAAACGATGATAATTTAGTAATTAACACGTACTTAGGATCAGTAGCTTTATAACAAGTTTGCGTCGTGAAACTAAATACGAAAAGTTTCACGTTTTTTATTACTGAAGCTAGTAATAAGTACTTAGACAATAACTTTGATTAAATGGGACAGTATAAATTGTTTTCATTATCACCTTTGGTGCTAGTCAAAATATAACTAGAATATTATATTAATACTAATAATAATAATCTTCTATATATACAGGGTGACTGGTGAATTACTATCAATATTTGAGGACGTGATATTTGACGATCATATATGACAAAATAAAAATTAATATAACATAAATATTAATAAACTTCTAAGTAAAGTTAACCAAAAGTTATGTAATTAATTACGCATCGTGTGAACACCCTACAGATTAGGTATACACTGACACTCACACATACGCATGTCGTGACGTGGTGTTGTATCAACACGTCGCCGCACGCGTCCACACTTGGAACGTGTACACACTTTACTTATTTATACGGAAATTTTGTAAAAAATTAAGTACCTATTTTTTTTACATAATTCGAATGAGAATCATGTACCGAGTATGCTCCTTAAATATTGATAGTAATTCACCAGTCACCCTGTATAAAAATGGATTGCTGTTCCTTAGTCTCGCTAAAACTCGAGAATAGCTGAACGGATTTATCGTATCTTAGTCTTGAAATGTTCGTGGAGGTTCAGGGAAGGTATAAAAGCTGAAAAAAATTGATTTATTACTGGGAAAACCATAAAAACAGCCCTTTTCTATTTCCCATACAAACGTTTTTTTTGACAGTAGACTTGACAACTAACTAATATGTCAATCATTCTGTCGCACTTCAGAACACGGAGATTTATGGCTTATAGGTAAACTCCAAAAATATAAATAAAAAAACGTAATAGATATTTCTTGATTATAGGGCGATACGAAGTTCGCCGGGTCTTCTAGTAATTAAATAAATGCTTTTATTCCATTCGACAAACTCCTACGTTTTTCCACAAAGTACTCAAGATGATTCGTTCAACAAAGAAGAACATTGACATTAGCAAAATATTTATCAACTCCAGTGCAAATGAAGCCTTAGCTTAAAAAAATATTCTGAACTATCTTCTTCTACCTGGCAATTTCCCAGCTATAGCCAGGGTCTGCCTTAAATTTTGTGAATAGTTTTGTCTAATTATTTTTACAACCGGCGGCCTGCCTGACATCAACCCTCTTTGGGAATGCATTAATCAGTGATGTCTAATACTCTTAGAAAGTACATGTGACTCGGAAAAAATCACATTGGTACTTGTCCGGGCCAGGACCGAACCTGCGCCCTCGTGCATGAGAGGCGGGCCTTTTAACCACTAGGCCACCACTGATGCTATTCTGACTATCAATTATTATCAATAAAATAAAATTAAAAATATACAATTTTAAATCATTATAAGTAATAGAAGTTTATTTAAAGAACTAAGTAGATAAGATCATCATGATGATATAAAAAAAATATTTTGGTACTTTTAACTAAAAACTATAACACTTTATTTGTTATACCTTAAGAATTAAAATAATTACTTTTTTATTTTATAATACAAATATAATGTTTTTTATATAAAAAAGTTTCAATAATAATATAATTTAGATAAACGATATTGTAATTAAAACGCCTGTGGAATAAATATAGCAATTGTTTTGTCAAACGATTTTAGTAATTTTAAAATGCTTTTTTTATATTTAATCTTTAATATATACATATATATTGATTTAGAGTTATATAAATATATATAAATATTATTTTATATGTACATATATATAAAAAATTAAACATTAATTTTAACGAGTTATATATACCTACACTCGTGTAAGTGCTTTTTGGTTATTAATTTCATTAAAATAAGTAAAACCACAAAAATATTACAATTGGTTCTAAGAAAGAAAGAATTAGGAATAATTCGTTTAAATTAATAACATACAATAAATTTTTTTTAATCGATATATATATATAAAAGTAGAGATTTATATAGGTACCTATATAGATTAGTACGCAGTTCTCAGTAGAAATTATAATGGGAAAATTCCAAAGCCATGGAATTTTCATCCGGACTCCAATATAAGAATTGCTGGAATTTCATTCCATTTCATCAATATTGGATTCCATTGATATAAATATTTTAACGTCTACCATTATATATTAAGTATAAAATATACACCTTTTAAAGATTTAAACTATATTTATTGTAAACAACACTAAAATCAGTACAGCATCTCAAAAGTAATAAATAAAAACAAGACGAAATCACGGTTATCACCTAGTTAATTATTAAATGATTTCCAAAAAACACCAAAGTGTTATATTTAAACGGAATAATTTACTCAATATTTTTTTTTATGTTAATACTTAGTTTCAGGGAAAGTAATGGTTTAACATTTAACATTTGCTTTAATATACGATATCAGTCCTATTAAAGTTTGTCATACTACATACGTATAGTTTCCCGTTTCTCATTCAATACTACGTTAATACTATAATGTGAGAAGTTATGAATGAAAAACTGTTAGTTTATACTGATTTTGTAATAATCCAACCATTTTTTTCTGTTGACGCAGGGAAACTCTCTTTACGAGCCGTCCAACCGGCCTTGGTGGGGCCGGAAGGGATGTGTGAGGCTCGGCCTGGGCAGGCCCCTACTCATTAAAACCACTGCGAAAGCCATCGGCCGCTATGTCGGTGTACCCCGGATCTAATGCTCCAACCATCCTATCATATCTCCAATATAAATAACTGACCATTGATCTGACCTCACTTCTTCATTCATCCGTCCTTCATCTATGCCTGATCTTCTACATAATATATTTTTTCACTTTTTAGCCTATCAGAACGCACCGCTAAGCCTCTTCTCACATGGAGAAGGTTTGAGCATTAATCACCACGCTCGCTCAAGACGGGTTGGTGATTTCTAACTTATAATTTGATAATAAGTCCATGTTTCCTTACGATATTTTCCTTCATCAGACAGTGATGTCTAAATACTCTTATAAAGTACATACGACTCGGAAAAATCATATTGGTACTTGCCAGGATTCGAACCCGCGCCCTCGCCAACGAGAGGCGGGCCCTTTAACCACTAGGCCACCACTGACTTATATGTACTTATATGTTACATTTATTGAATTGTATTTAAATACAGCTGACTTGTACTTGGTATTAAATATGCTTACTATAAGTTCACGAAGTTAAACTAAATACTACCGGTTTGTAGGTATCTATTTAACTTGTATAAAACATCATAAAAATCGGATCAGTAGTTTTAAAATATATCCTATAATTGAAGATATGTTTTGAAAATAAATAACTAATATGAAAAAACTACAATAAAAATGAAGGTATGTTTAAGTTTTTGTTCCATTAAACAAAATATGATAAACCGAATCTGATGAAATCATAATAATTTAATAGTTCACCTCTCAGGAACTAGACTAGCTCATAAGAAACTAATATTTTTCGGATACACTACTAACCGTGATTAAGTTTGCTGTAAAGTAACCGAAACGTCGGGAATATGTAGTTTTTCCCAAAAAACAGACTAATATATCCGAAAAATAGTTTCATTTAAATGAAACAAAACCTTGTCTAATCTTCTATATATATAAAAATGGATTGCTGTTCCTTAGTCTCGCTAAAACTCGAGAACGGCTGAACCGATTTGGCTAATTTTAGTCTTGAAATACTCTTGGAAGTCCAGAGAAGGTTTAAAAGCCTAAAAACAGCCCTTTTCTATTTCCCATACAAACGTTTTTTTTGACATTAGATTTGACAACTAACTAATATGTCAATCATTCTGTTTGATTGAAACAGGAGAAACCTGATTATTTATGGCCTCTAAGACGGAATAGAGTTCGCCTGGTCAGCTATACCTACATATATTACTCTTGACCAAACTAACGCAGACGAAGTCGCGGGGAAAAACTAGTCATAATATAATAATATTATAATCACCAAGTAGATCTGTTTTGAGAGCAATGCATCTAATTATTATTTATCATCTGTTATCGGGTGTCAAGTTCAGATGTCAGACTGACAGCTGAAGGTGAAATAGGACAGTATGGGATGTTGGATAGAGGACAAAATAATCCCTACTAATATTATAAATACGAAAGTAACTCTGTCTGTCTGTTTGTCACGCTTTCACGACTAAACCACTGAACTGATTTTAATGAAATTTGGTACAGACATAGAGTTGACCTTGAGAAAGGACATAGGATAGTTTTTATTCTATACTTTTGAAAGGTTCTCTTGGAAACGCGATATAACCGAACTCTAACCGGAAAGATAGTAACATATATTTAAAGATTTTAATAGATATGTTATTCTGTTTTAGATTAAGTTTCAAGAAATTGTTTCTTTACTTAAACGATCATTAGTTAATGATTATGTGAATTATGGCGAAATATATTTTAACCGGTTTTTTCAGTATACTCAATAATCATTTTTATGTCATAAAATTTTTATTTCACAATGGAACAAACTATTTAAATTATTTTCATTGTTTCTTAGTTATTTGTAATTCAGTAGTTTATTTAAATTCCAGTACAAGACGTGTGTATATATGAAGGTGTATATATATGAAGGTGTATATACAGTGATGTGTCTTATGTATCAAAATATACTGATTTGTCGGTAATAAAAAAATCCAAGTTAAAAATTACGAAGCATAGTATTTGTATTATATTTAATATATACATATATTTAAAATAAATTCTAATTTAATGTTAATTCTATATATTTAGTATGTAATAATTA